GTCGCTCTGAGGATCCCCCGAGTGGATCCCGAACAACGTCAAGTCGGCGATCTGCGACATCCCGCCCAAGGGCCTCAAGATGTCGACGACGTTCATCGGCAACTCCACGGCCATCCAGGAGACGTGGAAGCGCGTGGCGGAGCAGTTCACGGCCATGTTCCGCCGCAAGGCGTTCCTCCACTGGTACACGGGCGAAGGCATGGACGAGATGGAGTTCACGGAGGCCGAGTCCAACATGAACGACCTCGTCTCCGAGTACCAGCAGTACCAGGACGCGACCGCCGAGGAGGAGGGCGAGTTCGACGAGGACGAGGAGGGCGACGACATGATGGGCTAGGCGCGCCGTGGCCCGGCGCGCGCCCCGCGGCGACGAGGCGAAGACAAGTCCTCCTCGGCCCCCGCGCGCGCCGCCGTCTACGTAACGCGCTTCGGCGTTACAGCTTCCCGAGGTACGCGCCCGCGGCGACGGCGCACGCGACGATCCAGACGGGCAGCGGGTGGAGCAGGTCCCCCAGACCCAGGCCGCCGGCCCGCGCGGGCGCGCGGTAGCGGCGGACCTTGTCCCGGAGCGCGCTGAGCGGCGGGAACGGCTGCGAGAGGAAGGCCTGGAACGCCGCGTAGAGGGGCAGCAACACGAGCGCGTCGAGGCCCGTGTCGCGCTGGACCCGGTCCGCGAGCGCGTCGAGGGGCGGCAGGAAGGCGCGGTGCCACATGAAGCAGAAGAGGCACAGGTTGCCCGCCCGGCTCCAGGCCGACGGCGTCGCCGGGGTGACGTACGCGGTCGCGGCGATGTACGCGCCCGAGAAGAGCGCCTGCGCGAGGAGCACGGCGAAGGCGAGGGCCGCGCTGTTCAGGTCGCCGACGAAGCCGCCGTCGCAGTAGGCCCGCAGGCCGCAGACGACGAGGGACGCCGCGCCCGGCGAGCCGACCGCGCGCGGCGCGTCGCGGCGGTCGTCGCCGTAGCCGAGGCCGCTCGCGGACGCCAGCAGCCGCGCGGCGATGACCGCGGCGGCGGCGTGGCGCGCGGCGGCGGGCGACAGCGCGACGCCGGCGTCGTCCTCGTCGGGCTCGTCGCGCGCGCGCGGCTCGTCGCGGACCTTGGACGACGGCCGCCGCAGCCGCCGCGCCGCCGCTTTCAGCCCGCGCGCGCATCGCAGCAGGAACGGGTCGACCTCGAAGGTGACGCCCGCCGCGGCGTCGTCGCCGAAGGCCGAGCACGCGGGCGTGAGCGCGCCCGCCGGCAAAAGGCAGGGGCCGAAGAAGTACCACCCCGCCGCCGTGACCCGCTCGTAGTAGAGCAGGCCGAGGCCGCTGCCCGGGACCTCCACGCCGCCGAGGGGCGCGAGGGCGACCTGGCCGACGTGGACGACCAACGCGACGACGGGCACGCAGCGCCGGAGCGCGCTCTCCCGCGGCAGCGCGCGGACTCTCCGGCCGAGGAGCCGCGCGAGGGCGAGCATCGCGACGAACCACTTCGTCCGGTTCAGGTTCGGCCGCAGGGGCCAGGGCGCCTTCTGGGCCTCGGCCCAGCCCCAGCCGAAGTTGCGCCGCAGCGACTCGTAGACGACGTGGGACGACGCGTCGAGCAGGATCATCGCGCCGTAGACGACGGCGAGCGGCTTCAACACCTCCCGCGCGGTCTGCCGCTCGCGGCGCCCGTGGCGTTCGAAGTTGCGCGCGTCGCCCGCGCCGGCCACGGCGAAGAAGAGGGCGATGCCGTAGCCCGCGCCGATGTTCGCCCGGAGCTGGCGCATGCCCGCCCAGTTCCGCGGGCGCGCGGGCGACGCTATATGGTCGAGCGGCAGGGACCCGTGCGTGAGGAGGATGCCGAGCATGGCCACGAAGTAGACGTGGCCCTGCATGGCCGCCGCCGACGGCTTCGGCGGCCCCGCGGGCCCGCCCCCCTTGGCGAAGAGGGCCATGGAGTCGTCGACGGCCTCGGGCGACGAGTCCGCGTCGCGTTTTCCGGACGAGGCCGCCGCGGCCGCGAAGAACGCGGGCGCGGAGCTCCGCAGGCTCACGGGCGTCGCGGCGTCGAGGAAGGCGTCGGGCCCGACGTCGAAGGACACGGGCGTCGCCGCCCGGAGCTGGTCCAGGGCCTCGACGCCCAGTCTCTGCGCGAGTTTGATGCGGAGCGGCTTGCCCGTCGGGCCCTTGGGCACGCGCGCGGAAAAGACCGTGAGCGCCGGCGCCCACTTGTCGTCCAAGGCGAGGGCGTCGCCGACGCCCGCGACGCACCAGTGCCGTAAAGCCTCGTGCGTCGACTGGCGGCCGGCCTCGAGGACGACGAGCGCGCCGACGACCTCGCCGAGCTGCGCGTGCGGCGCCGCGAAGCACGCGACCTCGCGCACGGCCGCGTGCCGCAGCAGCACGTCCTCGACGGCCAGGGGGCTGATCTTCTCGCCGCCGCGGTTCACGATCTCCTTGGATCGCCCCACGAGGCGGAGGCGCGGCCCCCGGCCCCCGCCGGGCTCGAGCAGGCCCCGGTCGCCCGTGCGGAGCCAACAGCGCTCGCCGGCGCCGCCGCGGACGAAGGCGGCGACGTTCGGGTCGCTCGGCTGCCAGGGCCGCAGCTCGTAGCCGCCCGTGACGCAGGCGCCGCGGACGCAGACCTCGCCGACGTCGCCGGGCGCCGCGGGCGCGTCGCCGTCGATCTCGACCACGGCGACGTCGGGCCCCGCGGCGAAGCCCACGGCGGCGAGGGCGGCGTCGTCGTAGCGGCCGCCGCGGCGCGGCGCCGTCGACGAGCAGATGGGCATGGATTCCGTCATGGCGTAGGTCGGCAGCGCCTTGGCGGGCGCGAGCGCGGCCTCGAGGCGTTCGGACAACGACGGCGGCAGCGCGGCCGAGCAGGACCGCGCGACCTCCAGCCTCGGCAGGGGCGCGCCGTCGTGGAGCGGGCCCCCGGGCTCGGCGACGTGGGCGAGGGCGAAGTGGAGCGTCGGGACGGCGCTGTACCAGGACGCCGGCGGCGCGGCGGTCCGGCCCCGCGCGAGGTCCAGGAAACGCGCCGGGTCGAGCGCGAGCTCGCAGGCGACGCTCGCCCCGCGGAGCAGCGTCGCGAGGATGTTCACGCTCAGGCCGTGGATGTGGAAGAGGGGCATGACGTTGACGCACGCGTCGTCGGGCCGGAGGTCCAACGTCGCGCCGATGGACGTCGCGCCGGCGAGGACGCGCCCGTGCGTGAGGGGCACGAGCTTCGGCTTCGACGTCGTGCCGGACGTGTGGAGCAGGAGGGCGACGGTGTCCAGGGACGCCGGGGCGCCGGCGAACGGGGGCGCGGGCGCGCGCGGCGCGAGCGCGAACGCGCCGACGGTCTTGCGGTCGGGCGCGAACGCGAACGTCGGGACGGCGCGCTTCCCGCACTCGTCGGCGGCCCAGGCCGGCGCGACGGCGTCGTCGAGGACGACGGCGTGGGCCGGCAGGTCGTCGAGCTCGAAGGCGAGCTCCGCGCGGCCGATCGCCGCGTTCAACGGCGCGAGCGTCCACCGCTCCGCGAGGCACACGAACGCGACGGCGGCGGCGGCGGAGTTGCGCAGGAGCGTCGCGAGGCGCGGCGGCTCGCCGCGCGACGCGTCGTAGGCGGCGCACGCGTAGAGCGCCGCGCCCGCGCGCGCGCCAAAGGCCGCGAGGCCGCCGTAGGTGAGCGGCGCCAGGTGCGCCTCGCCGCCGCCGCCGCGGAGCGCGACGGCGGTCGGCGCGCCGGCGCCGGCGATGGCCGCGAAGATGCTCGCGTGCGCGAGCGCGGTCGTCGAGCATCGCTCCTCGGGAGGTGGGGCGAGGCATTTTTCATCATTCATGCTGGGCTGCGTCGGTGCAGCTTCGCAGCATTCACTACAGCATGTGTGGTTGGTTGCATTACTGGTTGCACTTTTAAGCGAGCATCAATATTGCCACACTCTGCTCGGCATTTTTCATCATTCATGCTCGGGCGATCGGCAGATTCATTACAGCAATGTGTGGTTCAAGCACTGGTTGGTTGCATTATCTGGTTGCATTTTAAGCGAGCATACGACGATGTCCGCCGCTGCCCATCGGCCACAGTTGGCGCCGTGCCTGCGCGCGGGACTGGATCCCGACGCCGGGCGGTCGCCGCCGCCGACGCCGCCCTGGGCCCGGCACAGCCTGTCGCCGAAGCCGCTCCGCGCGGCGCTCGGCGCCTCCGCCGAGGCGCCGCCGCTCGACGACCGGCGCCGCAAGTCGCTCGCCGCGGGGCTGGCGCTGGCGGCGGTCATGGTCGTCACGGTCTGCGTCGCGCCCTACGGCGCCGCCGCGCCGCCCGGAAGCGCCGCGCTCCGGAGCGAGGCCCGCGCGGTTCCGACGGGCGACGTCGCCACGGTCCTCGTCATCCGCCACTGCGACAAGGACGAAAAGTCGGGCAACGACTGCGACGCGCGCGGGTAGTTCTCAGCGTCCGACGCTTGGCTCGTAGTTCTCGACGTTCCCAACGCAGGTTCCGGCGCGCGCACTGGCTGCCTTCCCTCTTCGGCGACGGCAACCGGTTCGCGGCGCCGCGCTTCGTCTTCGCGCGCCGGCCCGAGGGGAAGCGCCGCGTCATGCGGAGCGTCGAGATGGTGTCGCCCCTCGCCGAAACATTCGGCCTGCCCATCGACGAGTCCTACGGCGTCGCCACGGAGAAGGACCTCGCGGCCAAAGTCCGGGGCCTCGTGACGGGCGGGGACCTCGACGACGGCCTCGCGGTCATCGCGTGGAAGCACGAGCAAATCCCGCAACTCGCCTACGACCTCGGCTGGCACGACAAGTCCAAGGAGCGCACGACGTGGCGCGCGGACGACTACGACACGATCTTCGAGCTCACGTACACGCGGTTCTCCGACGGCGCCTGGCGCTGCGCCGGGGCGCGGAGCCGCGAGGGCTTCGCCGACGCGGACCAGCGACGACCATAAAAGCTGGCCCCCCTACTGGAGCGACAGGTGGATGAGGACGTTGCCCGCGGCCGCGACGGCGAGGACGACCGCGAGGGCGACGGGCCCGTTCTTGTCCTCGTAGGGCCCGGGCTCGCGGCGCCGGATGGCGCGCGCGCGGACGTAGTACTGGCGCAGCGCGTGCATGACGAAGGTGATCGCGACGGGCAGCAGGACCAAACCGGGCACGGGCGACACGCCGGACCGCGCCGCGAAGCCGATGATGCCGATGGCCATGCCGCCGAGGAGCAGGGCCATGTGGATCCAGGCGAGGAACGTGCGCTCGTTGGCGAAGAAGACCTTGGGGTCCACCTTGACGGGCTGGAGGCGCGGCTTGTCCGCGTTCGACAGCGGCGGCACCGTCTCGTAGTTCGCGCGCCGCCGGAAGGTGAGGCACTCGCGCTCGGCCCGCCGCGCCTCGGCGTTGAGCGACATGGCGCGGCGCGCGGCGCGGCGGCGGTGCGGCGCGGGCGGCGCGAGGTGCGGGCGGGCGGCTGCCACAGGCTCTGCTCTGCCTCGACAACTCGAAGTTCAACATCGGATTCTTATCGGCGTTGAAGGGCACATCAAGCGTCGAGGGACCCGCCCGTCAGCAAGGGAAAGTCCGGCGGTCGCGTGAGAGCTTGAACTCGCATTTTTGCCCGCACCAAATTGACCGAAATGTTGCCCCTGGGGAGTGAGAGTTGAGAATGCTTTGTTTGACGGATGATGATCCTCAAAAAAATCCGCCCCCCAATTGCAACCCGTCTGCACGTGTGTATGGAATGGGGCGGCTCCGCGTTGCCGCGGGCCTGCTCCTCGTCGTCGCCGCAGCGGCGGGCGTCGCGCCGGCCGCGCCGGGCGGCGGCACGCTCGCCGCGCCGCAGCGCCGGCGGCTGAGTGCTCGAACCTCGCGGAAGTGGCAGCGGGCAGCCCTCGGCGCGTCCCTCGCCGCCGCCGCCGCCGCCGTCGCCGTCGCCGTCGCGCTGAGCTCCGCCGCCTACTTCAGCCGGCCCCTGAGCGACCAGCGGCCGCGCAACGTCGTCGCCTTCTTCCTCGCGGTCTTACTCCTGGGCGCGGACTGCGCGCTGGCGCTGCCGACGCGGCGCGAGCTCGGCGCCGCCGCCTACGGCGTCCTCGTCGCGACGATCGCGCTCACGCTCGCCGTCAACGCCTACGTCGTCAACGTCGTCGCCTTCGACGACCGCTGTTCCGCCCTCGACCGCTTCCAGGAGGAGCGGAAGACGCGCCGGGCGGGGCGGCACCTCGAGGCGTTCGACGCACGCCAGTGTTTCGCAGTTCCGAACGCGTCGAGCGCGAAATCGCCCGTCGACGCCGCGCGCGTCGACCGGGACGCGCGGTCCCCGACCCGAGGCGTTTTCCAGGCAAGTTATCAACCACCACGACCTCGACATCGTACCGGTGCCGACGCGGCCGCCGGGGCCGACGCGGGGTGCTTCGACGCGCGCGGTCCGCGCTCCCCGAGGAGAGGCCCGCCCGATCGCTCGTCCCGAGCCAGAGTCTCTCGCAACCCTCGCAGGTCCTGTCCGGCCACGCGGTCGCTCGTGGGCAACGCGCGCGTGCGCACGGCCGCCTACCTCTCCGTGGCGTCCCTCGACGGCCTCGTCGTCGCCCTGCCGTGGCTCGAGCCCGAGGAGGAGCTCGACGGGTTCGACGCCGCGCGGCAAATCCACCATCGGTCCCGGCCGAAACGTCGACCGCGCGTCGCCGCGCAGGTTCCAGGACTGCGACCTCTGCGCGTACTCGCTCGTCCGCGTCGCCCAGGACGTCGCGGGCCTCGGCGCGTCCGCGGGGCTGCTGGCCGCGTCGTCCGGGCGCGACGCGCGCGCGTACCTCGCGGGGTGCGCGTCCGCGGCGTCGCTCTGGCACCTCGCGGGCCGCGCGCGGCGCCTCCGGCGGCGCCGGCGCCGGCTCCGCGCCGCGCGCGTGGAGACGCCGGGCGCCGCGGCCGGGCCGGGACACGACTTCTTCACGGGCGTCCTCCGCGACCCGCGCCTCGCCCCCCCCGCGGACGTCGACGCCGCGGCCGTCGCGCGGCTCGAGGCCGCGCTCGAGGCCGCGCTCGAGGCCGCGCGCGACGACGACGACGACCGCTACGACGACGTCGACGACGACGACGACCGCTCCCGCCGGCGCCGCCGCGCGCGGCGGAGCCGCGACCGCCGCCGCCGGCCCGGCCGCGACCGCGACCGCCGCCGCTCGTGCTCGTCGTCGTCGTCGTCGTCGTCGTCGAGCGACCGCGACCGCCGCCGCCGCCGCCGCAAGAAGCGGTCCGGCCGGTCGCGGCGGCGTCGCTCGCCGTCGAGCGGCGGCGACCGGCCCACCGGCGGCGCCGCGGCCGACGACGGCGGCCTCGAGCTCCTCGAGCTCCCGGGCCGCGAGGGCGACCGCGGCGCGGACTCCGTGTGACCGCCCTCCGAGGCGGGCGCCGGCGACGTCGAGATCAGCCCCTTGGCTCGCTCGAGGTCCCTCTGCGGCGCGGACTCCGTGTGACCGCCCTCCGAGACCGGGCGCCGGCTGATGTGCGATGCCAGCGGCGCGCGGTACGCCCCCCACATCCTCCCCGAGCGCTGGACTCCTCGCCGAGGCGTCCATACCCCGCCCCCCGCCCCGAAAGAGCGCGCGCGAGACCCCTGCCGCGGGTATACGACGCGCTTACCGAATCCCGCGTCGACGGGGGACGCCGCGCGGGGCCCGCCCGGATCGCGGCCGGGCGTCGCGCGCCGCCGCGGACGTCGCGGACGCGCCGCCGAGGATCAGGCCCGGAGCCAGGCCTTGAGCTCCGCGAGCCACGCGCCGACGAGTAAGCACAGCACGACGACGCCCAGGATGAAGGGCCCCTGGGGGTCGCCCCACTCGACGGGGTCGCGGCGCGCGATGCGCGCCGCGCGCCACTTGAACGTGAGCGCCGCGTAGGTCGCCAACCCGCAGGCGCCCAGGCTCAGCGCCGTCGCGTACGCCGCCGCGCGCCGCCGCGCCGCCGGCGCCGCGACGTCGTCGCCGTCGGCGACGCCGTAGGCCGCGGCGCCGAAGGACACGAGGACGACGGCGGCGTGGAGCCAGTGCACGAAGGTGCGCTCGTTGGCGAAGTGGAGCTTGGGCTCCACGCGCTGCCGCGGCAACGGCTGCTGCATGCCGCCGCGGACGTCGAGATCCCGCCCGAAGCAGTCCGACCCCTCGCAGAGCCGGCCGTCGAGCTCCGGCAGCTCCACGCCGCAGCAGCCCTCGGCGTACAGCCGCGAGGCGCTGTCGAGGCGGCGCTGCCGCGGCACGGCGCGCGCGGCCGCGAGCTTCCGCGGGTCGGTCCACTGCGCGCTCGGCTCCGTCCACTTCTCGAGCGGCGGCGCGCCCGCCTTCCCCGGCGACGTCTTCCGCAGCAGCGTCGCGCCGACGCCCGTCGCCCTGATCGACGGCGCCAGCGCCGGGTCGTCGATCCAGTAGGGCATGGCCTGGACCTCGTCCGGCAGGAGCACCGCGCAGCCGTGGACGAACTTCGAGAACTTGTGCACGGGCGCCAGCCCGTCCGAGTCCACCAAAGGCCGGAGCCAGTCCGGCAGATCGTCGGTCTCGTCCATGGCCAGCTTCAGCTCCAGCACCGCGAAGGGGAACCGCGTGATCTCGTTCCGCGGGATGTTCTTCGACGCGTCCCGATACCACCTCGGCTCCTTCGCGGCCTCGAGGGGGTCCTCGCCCTGGACCTCGGAGATCAGGCACAGGTTCGTGTCGATGGACGCGCGCACGGCGTTCGTGTGGGACAGCTGGAACGCCGTGCGGTGGCACTGCGACCGCACCGTCGGCACCAAACCCTTCGCGGAGATGAGCCGCCGCACCTCGTCGAGGAGCTGGAGCTCCTTGGCGCTCAACGGCGTCGCGGACTCCGACGGGTCGAAGGTGCCGTCGAGGAGCTTGGCCACGTGCTCCGGCGCGATCGCGAAGCGCTCCTTGACACTACTCGTCGCCCGTCCACGAGTCGCGGTGCGTCTTCCGCTCCACCTGGGCAGCAAAAGGGTGATTCAACGTCGCTTTAACGTGAGTGTTCCGCGCGCGCGCGTTCCGGAAAAAGCATCCATGCTTCGAGACCGCTCCGAGAGATGATCGCTCGTCCAAAAATCGGCCAAAACGAGTGGAAAACGGCCGAGATATGAGGCTTTGAAGTTGGGAATTTCGCTCTCTTGTGCTGCCCTGCGCTCCACGTAGACGAGGCGCGGCTCGCCCGTGCCGTACCAGCGCAGGCGCAGCGCCACGGCGCCCGGCAGCTTGTTGAGGCGGCCGTGGTAGAGCTCGAGCGTCGACGAGTCGAGATAGACGGAGTTGACGAGCTGCGAGTCCTTGCTCTCCGCGCCGCCGCGGCCGCCCTGGAGCAGCACGGGCAGGTGTTTGGAGATGGCGAGCTTGACAGCACTTAAATCGTCGCTGCGGACCCAGTACTTTGTCGTCGCCCGCACGAAGGACTGCTCGTCGACGGCCTCGGACGGCGGCGGCGCCGCGCGCGCCGCCGTCGCCGCGTAGAGACGGCTCAGCCGCACGACGACGTCGCTGTAGTCGTTGCGCACCCAGCGCATGTCGTGCATGCGCGCCGTGTAGAAGGCCTTGATGGGCCGCTGGGGCAGGACCTTGTCGTGCTTCTTCAGCAATTTCCGCACGGCGGTCACGTTGACGTTGACGTAGCGCTCGACCTCGAGGAACGTCTCGCCGCAGGCCGCGACGCGGCCGTCGAAGGCGTCGCCGTCGGCCGCCGCCGCGTCCGCGTCCACGGCCTCGAGGGCGCGGAGCTCCGCGCGCACGGCGACGACCTCGCGGTGCGCGAACGTGTCCATCTTCTTGAGCTCGTCGTCGAGCGTCGTCAGGAACGTCTCGTGCGTCACGCTCTGGCGCGCGGACATGCGCCGCGTCAGCAGGCGGCCGTCGTCGCCGTCGTCGTCGTCGTCGTAGGACACGGGCTGGGCCGCCGCGTTCGTCGCCGGCGTCACCGAGAGGCCTAGATTCGGCGCTCGGAATCTCGCCGGTTTCGGGCGCGCGCGGGTCGCGTCGACAATCCCTCATTTCCCCGGACGCCGCCGGCGCGCTCAAGGCGTTCTCCTCGAGCGGCTCGCGCAGGTGCTGCGTCTCGAGCTCGTAGAGGTATTTCTTGAGGGCCTCGTAGTCGAGGAAAGCCGACGCCGGGAACCTGGGCGTTTCGGGTCGTTTCGCGCGGGAACGGCGCGGACGCGGACGGCGCGCTTCGAGGCGCTGGCCGCATTGAGCAGCACCTCGCCGTAAGCGACCATGGCTCTGAGAAAGCCGCAGCGACTGGCTCCGGCTCCGGCTGCCACAAACTCGGCTCGTCGGGCGCCACTGGCGAAGGTCAAGTTGCCGTACGCGTCGACCCCGGGCGAGCTGATCGGCTTGCGAACTACTTAGCGAGCCGTCCAGCGCCACCGAGCCGTGGAAGACGGTCCTTACACTGGCTCCTTCCCGTCCATCTCTCCCCCCCGGCGCCTACTTGGCGGCGTCGCCGGAGAGCTTGCGCTTCTTGCCCGCGGCTTTCGGCTTCTTGGCCTTGGGCGGGTCGTCCGGCGGCGGCGGCGGCGGTGCGGGCCGCTCGGCGGCGTCGACGAAGAGCGGCGGCGGGTCCGCGTCGCTGTCGAGGGGGCTCGTGTCGCCCATGGACAGGAGCGCGCCGTTCTGGCGGCACGACTCCACGAGGCACGACACGAGCGCCTGCGTGAGCACGGCGTCGTCCATGGCCGTCTTCCGCGCGGCGTCGCGGCCGTCGAAGAGCTCGAGGCACAGGTCCGCGAAGGTGTCGAGGAGGCGCACGCGCTGCGCGTGCGCGTTGAGCACGCGCGTCTCGTTCTTGACGGCAACGACGCACGAGTGGAGGTCGACGAGCGGGCTCGAGTTCCAGGGGAACGACTCGACGGTGTAGGCGCAGTCCTTGGCGAAGCGCGGGATGACGAAGTCGTCGCAGGTGAGCACCTTGTGGTCGCCGACGACCTCGAGCCACTGGCGGAGCGGGTGGAGGAACGAGCAGTGGAACGACAGCACCTTCTTCCGCTCGTCGTCGAAGTAGCAGACGCCCGCGACGTCCAGCGGCACGCCCTGGGCGTTGGAGTCCGTCACCGTGGCCTGGCAGCTCTTGGGGTTCGCGTCGGGGCCGAAGGCGAGCAGGCCCGCGCGCGCGCAGTACCAGCCCAGGTCGCCGAGGCAGCCGAGCGGGTCGTCCTCCGCCGCGCGCGCCGACTCCGACCCCCGGAGGAACTGCTCCGTGGCCCCGAAGGAGAAGGCCGCCGTGACGCGGCGCACCTCGCCGAAGTCCCGCGGGTTGCGGATCTCCGTGAGGATCTGCTCCGTGCGCTCGTGGTACGGGAACATCGTCGAGTCCATGAGCACGACGTCCTCCTCCGCGCACGCGCGGCGCATGACCAGCGCGTCGCTCAGCTCGCCCGCCAGCGGCTTCTCGACGAGCACGTGCTTGTGCATCTTCGCCGCCGCGCAGCACCAGACCATGTGCTGCGCCGTCGGCAGGCCGATGTAGACCGCGTCGACGTTGTCGTCGCGGAGGAGCTCGTTGTACGACTCGTAGAACCGGACGCCCGCCAGGTCCTCCTCCTCGCCCCAGGCCGCGAGCCGCTTCTCGTCGCGCACCGCCGCCGCGACGATGGCGCACCGCTGCGACTGGCGGGCCGCGTCGACCAAAGTCCGCGAGTGCGGCGACAGGCCCAGCAGGCCCAGGCGGAGCGGCGTGAAGTCCGGGTACCCGTTGTCGTGCGCCTGCGGCGTCGTCGTCGCGAGCATCCTGGCGAGGCCGGCGCGCCGGGGGTGAGGGGCGACTCGCTTCGGCTCGACTCGCTCCGGCTCGGCGCGCGCGCCAACAGGCCCGGCAGGAGACTCGAAGCGAAGCTCGTCGGCGCCGGCGATGCACTCGATGAACATTCGGGTGCCGTGCCGTTCACCATCGTCCTGACAGCCATCGAGGCCATCGGCGCCCGCTCCCCCACTCGAAGCTAGGCACACCCTAGAGCTCGCCGAGGGCGGTGCCGAGGCGGCCGCGGACGGACTGGTGGGCGACGTGGGGCGCGTGGCGGCTGAGCGCGGCGGCGACCTCGGCCTTGTAGGGCCCGTCCTCGCAGCGCCGGGGCCCGCCGAAGTCGTCGCGGAGGTAGTGGCAGAGGGGCGTGGCCCGGCCGCCGGCCGTGCGGTAGACCTCGGCGCGCGGGCAGTCGACGTCGTCCGGGTCCCCCCGGTCGTCGAAGGGCGCGCGCCGGCGCCGCCGGTCGGGCGGCTCGTCGGCCTCGGCGGCCTTGGCCGCCGCGAGCCTCCGCGCTATGTAGGGCGCCTTCGTCTCCGGGTCGCAGGCGAAGTCGCGTCTCACGGCCGCGGCCTTGCCGAGCTGCTCGCCCCACGCGGCCCGGAAGTACTCGTTGCAGCGGTAGCCGTTGTGGCCGTCCGCGTCGGACTCGAAGCAGCCGCCGGGGGGCGGGTCGGCCCGCGCCCAGATGGCGGCGACGCAGGGGAAGAACCAGCCCGGGGCGCTCCAGGCGTGGTCCTTGAAGGTCACGAGCGAGTCGCGGTCCGTCGCGAGGTGGCCCCGATGGTCGAAACCCGCGAGCTCGACGCGCTGCAGCAGGTCGAAGCGCCAGACGAGGACGCTGCGGTAGAGTTCCTTGACCGCCACCTTCTGCGTCTTCGCGTAGCGCAGCACGGCCGCGGCGGCCGCGGCGGCCGTCGTCTGCTGCGTCGTGGCGTCGGACCGCGGCACGAGCGCCGCGTGCTTGACGCGGTCCGCGCCGTACCAGTCCACGAGGTCCGCGTGCCAGGCGCGCGCCTGGGCGTCGCTGACGTCGCTGAACTTCTCCGTGCCGACGCAGCCGTACGTGGCCAGGAAGACGTCGACTTTGACGCCCGCGCGCTCGAGCGGCTCGATCAGATTCGCCACGTGGTTCTCGCTCTCGGCGCGCTGGATGGCGTGGCTGCTCGGCAGGCAGACGGCGTCGCGCTTCACGTCCTTGGGCATCATCATGTGGATGCCCCGGAACGACTCGCCGCGGACCACGAGAGCGACGCGCCGCGTGTCCTCCCGCTCGTCGGCGACGGCGTCGTCGTCGGCCCAGCAGCTCCCGCACTCCCGCGGCGATGGCAGCTTCACGAGGCCCCGGGCGACGGCGGCCATGGCGAGGACGAGGACGGCGCGCGGGCGCGGCGCGGCCATAATGATGCAGCCAGATGATGCAGCCCACCATCAAGGCGAGCGGCACTTCCGACTTCTTTACTTTCAACTCAGCGATCGATGGCCGACGCCGCTCCCGACGCAGCCATGGATGCAACGGCTGCTCCCGACGCGGCCGTGGACGCCGCAACGCCTCCACCGGCCGGCGAGGGCATGCTCCGCGACGTCGCGGCGCCCATGCGCCAGGGCGACCTCGTCATTTTATACCTCGGCCACGACAACGTGGACCACCTCTACCTCACGCCGGACAACTTCTCCATCTACAATTCGAAGTTCGGCGACTTCCACCACGTCGACTTCGTCGGGAAGCCCTTCGGCTCGCGCGTCTACGCGCGGTCCGGCGGCGGCCGCGGCGGCGGCGACGACAAGAAGGGCTGGATCGTCGCCTTGGCGCCGACGCCGGAGCTCTGGGCCATGGCGCTGCCGCACCGGACGCAGATCGTGCAGCCGCTGGACGCCGCCGTGGTCTGCGCGCACCTGGACCTGCGGGACGGCAAGGTCGTGCTGGAGAGCGGCACGGGCTCGGGCGCGATGACCTCGTGTTTGGCCCGGTGCGTCGCTCCCACGGGCCGCGTGCTGAGCTTCGAGTTCAACGGCACGCGCGCGGCGAAGGCGGCCGTGGAGTTCCCGCGCAACGGCCTGCCGGCGAGTCTGGTGACCTGCGAGCATCGCGACGTCTGCGCGGACGGCTTCGGGGACGCGGCCGACGCGGACGCGGTGTTTCTCGACCTGCCGGAGCCCTGGCTCGCCGTGGGCCACGCGGCGCGGGCGTGCCGGCCGGGCGGCCGGCTGGCGAGCTACAGCCCCTGCGTCGAGCAGGTCGCGCGGACCTGCGCGGCGCTCCGCGAAATCGGCTGCGACCGCGTGAGGACGGTCGAGGTCCGCGAGAAGGAGTTCGACGTGCGGCCGAACGCGCTCCGGAGCCTCGAGCCGCGGGCGCCCGACGGCGAGCCCGACGCGAAGCGCCGCCGGGCCGAGGCCGACGCGCCCCTGCCGGGCTTCCTCGCGAAGCCGCTCCCGGACATGCGCGGCCACACGGCGTTCCTGACCTTCTGCACGCTCCCGCTCCGCGCCGCGGGGGAGACGTAAGTTTTATGGGCCGCCCTCGTCCCCTCGCCGGCGGGCCCGCGACAGCCCGACGACGGCGAGCGCGATTCCGACGGCGCCCGCGGTCGAAATCGGGAGGACCGCGTCGCGCCACCGCGCGGTTCTCGCGACGCGGCGCGCGAGCACGACGAAGAGCGCGACCTTGGGCCGCGGCGGCACGGCGAGGAGGTCGCCGCGCGTCCCGTCGTCGTCGACGACCCAGGCCTTGCGCAGGACGAGCACGCCGAAGAGCTCGGACGCGCGCACGGCGACGTCGACGCGGCCGTCGTCGCGCTCGGTGAGGAGGAGCACGCGCCGCGTCGCGCAGAGGCGGCCCGGCGGCGGCGTCGCCGTGTCGTTGCCCCAGTTCCGCGCGCCGACGAGGGCGCCGAGGTCGTGGCCCAGGTTTTTGAGCTTTGCGTGCGCGAGCCGCGCGACGCGCGCGTGCCGCGCCAATCGGGGCTTCCCTTGCGCAAAGGCCTCGAGCGAGTCGTACTCGCCCGCCTCCTCGCGCGACTTCAGGCGGCCGTCGGCGTCCTTGCCCATGGGCGGGCTCAGGTTCTGGTCCGCGAGCTTCTCGGCCATCCGGTCGACCTTCATGCGCCGGTCCTTGCCGAAGCGGTCGACGTAGTCCACGTGGCTCGCGGCGACGTCGCCGGCGAGGGCCGCCCGGAAGCCCTCGACCATGTTCGCCCGCGTGCCCCCGTGGTCGCGGACCGTCGCGCCGTCGACGCACAAGGCGATCCAGGCGACGAGGGAGGCAGCCCGCATGCTTACGCTTTTTGGTACTTGAATAAGACGTTGACCTCATATTTCCCTTTCAAAGCGGGCTGCCAGCATGATCGTGCTCAGGCTGTTCCTGCTAGCTCTCCTCTGCGATGCCGCCCAGTTGTCCGCGCGCGAGAAGGTGCGGCGCGCCAAGCGGATGCGCGAGAAGCGCGAAGCCGCAGCCGGCAACGCTATCCCCGTCCAGCGGGGCGCGGGAATGGCGCCGGCCGCGAGCGAAGCGCTGCCCGTGAGCATTGCTCCCGCCGCGCCGGCCGCGAGCAACGCGTCGGCGCCGACCGCGAGTGTCGCGCCGGACGCGAGCGACGCGCCGGCGGTGAGCGCATCGGCCACAAGCGTCGCGCCGGCCGCTCCCGCCGCTCCCGTCGCGCCGGCCGCGCCGGCCGCTCCCGCCGCGCCCGCCGCGCCGGCCGCGCCGGCCGCTCCCGCCGCTCCCGCCGCGCCGGCCGCGAGCGTCGCTCCCGCCGCGCCAGCCGCGAGCGTCGCTCCCGCGGCGAACGTCGTTCCGATTGTGAACACGGCCACGTCGCCGCCGCCCCGGGCCGTCGCGCGCCCCGCGTCGAACGCGACGATCCGCAAGTGCGTCGACGACGCCACGGCGACGGGGAGGTACACGGGGAAAATGCCGACGGTCGAATACCGGCTCCACGGCGACTGCCGCTACGCGCGCGTCGGCCGGAGCATGGCGCGGTGCGCGTTGCGCCACGAGCGCGTCGTCTTCATGGGCGACTCGACGATGCGCCAGCTCTTCGCCGCCGTCGCCTGCAAGCTCGACGGGAAGAAGAAGGGGCTCGCCGACCGGCGCGCGCTCCGGGGGAAGGGCCGCACGGCCGGCGGGACGACGGTGCACCCCAAGTCGAAAGCCGAGATGCTCGGCACGGGCGGGCCCCCGGCCAAGGCCGTGCGCCCCCGGCACCTGCCCGGCCTCGCCATGGACGGGACGACGCGGCTCGAGTGGGTCGTCTACCGGACGTCGGGCGGCGCGAACGAGTGCGAGCCCGAGGTCCGCATGGTCAACGAGCCGCGGAAGCACCCGCCGCGCGTCGCGCGGTACCACCTCACCTGGGACGTGCCCGGCGACGACGACGTGCGCCTGGGCTTCCACTGGCTCGAGCAGCACGGCGACGTGTCGCGCGCGGCCGCGGGCGACGCGCGCGCGTACCCGCCCGCGGGCGACGCGGCCGCGACGATCCTCGTCATCAACGTGGGCCTCCACATCGACGTCCGCGCCCGGGACACCTGCGAGGACATCGTCGCGGCGACGGAGGCCGCGCTCGAGGCGCTCCTCAACACGACGGCCTTCCGGGACGCGCGCGCGTACTGGGTCGAGACGCAGACGCTCCCGCCGGCGAATTCGCGCAAGTTCCTCACGGAGAACGTCACCTGCCACCCGGACCACCGCCAGCGCCTCGTCGACGCCATGCGGCCCATCGCGGACGGCCGCGTGACCCTCGTGCGCACGCGCGACATTCTCGTCAAGCACGAGCGCTACAAGGCCGAGGGCGACCTCCACATGCAGTACTGCAACGAGTTCCGCGCCGACGCGCTCCTCAACCACATCGCGCCCGCCGCCTGCTTCCCCGGGGAACCCGACGGTCGTTAAGACGGAGATAGACGGCCACGAGTCGGCCACGCCTAAAGTACTTCCTAAAGTCGTCTCTAAAGTCGTCATGTCCTGCGTACTATTGTACGGTCGCCGCTGACGTCATGACGATGAAGGGCACGGTGAAGGGCGCCGCCGTTCGCCGCGGATTCGTAATGGGGCTGCCTCATCGTCGGGCCGCGCTGGCCGCGCTGCTCGCGCTGCCGCATGTCGTCGGCCGCGCCCTCCGGGCGAACGGTACGAACGTCACGGCGGACCTCGTCGACGCGCGGACCGCCTGGTGGGCCGCGCCCTACCGGACCTGCGACGAGGACGTCTACCTGAGCGTCGTCATGGTCGGCCGCAACGACGACTACGGCGGCACGTTCCAGAAGCGCCTCGAGGTCTCCCTCGCCCTGAACCTCGACGCGCTCAACGGCGCCGCGGCGAGGAACGGCGCCTTCTCCGCGGAGGTCGTCTACGTCGACTGGAACCCGATCGCCGACGGCCCGACGTCCTACGACCTCCTCGGCGCCTACGCGGCCAACGCGGCGCGCGCGGGCGCGACCAACGCGACGACGCGCGTCCGCGTCGTCACCGTGCCGCCAGCCGTGCACGACGGCATCCGCGCGCTCTTCGTCGCCCGGGGCTTCCCCGCTTCCGGGAGCTGGCCCAAGGTCATCGAGTACTTCGGCAAGAACGTCGGCGTGCGGCGGTCCCGCGGCGCCTTCGTCCTCGCGACGAACCCGGACGACGTCTTCCACCGCAAGCTCGTGCAGTCCTTCGGGCTCGCGAAGCTCGCCAAGATCCACTTCTACCGCGCGCAACGTACCCACTGCGCCAAGTGGGGCCCGCTGCAGAAGGGGCCGTCCAGACCCGCCACGGCGTCGCCGAGAAGTGCGCCAAGGACCGGCGCCTGCCGCCCTTCTGGGACGCGGCGAAGCGGGCGAGCAAGGGCTCCTGCGCGAGCGGCGGCGTCGACTCTTGGTTCGACACGCACGACCCCAAAACGCACGCGAGCGTCGCGCTCACGCGGCCCTTCTGCTACGCGTCCGGCGACTTCTGGCTCATGCACCGCAAATTGTGGCACGCCGTCGGCGGCTACATCGAGGCGGGCGTGACGCAGACGCGGAAAGGCGGCCTCGTCCTCGCGGCCGTGGGAGGGCTCGACGGCTACAGCTTATGCCGCGCGCTGGGGCTCGGCGTGCCCCAGGTGACGCTCGACGGCGACTGCGTCACGCTGCACCTCGACCACGACAAGAAGCACGCGAACGGCGCCGTCAGGCGGCCGCCGGGCGAACCGGTGCCGCCGCCGCCGTTCGACGACGCCGCGTTCGCGCGGGTCGAGGCCGCGTGGCGCTCCCCCGCGCGCGGGCCCCGGCGCGCCGCCGCCGGCGACGCGGCGGCCGTCGCCGCGGCGTCGGCGGCGTTCACGCGCGCCTGGGCCGACACCGTCGGCGTCCCCGACGGCGCAGACCCGAACTGGAGCAACGCGGGCTGCAAGGCCATGGGCAAGGTCCAGGTGCGCCGGGAGCGGCTCTTCGACGCCGACGCGAAGGCGTACGCGCCGTCCCTCTTCGGCTGGCCCGAGCTCACGCTCCCCGCCGCCGTCGTCTGGCCCCCGGGCCTCTCCGAGGACCGCCTCGGCCGGTGCCGTTGACGACGGCGCTCTCAGCTTCCAAAGGGGCCGTCTGTCATTTAAGAAAACTACCCCGGCGGCGGGTAGCACGCGTCGAAGCAGGCGTCGATGAAGCGGTCCCGCCGCGTCGCGCGGCTCTTGTCGTTCTTGCGCTCGCGGGCCCGCGCGAGGGCGAGGCAGTCGAGCCAGCAGGCGTCGAAGTCGGTCCGGTCCACGTCCGCGGACGTCGCCGGCGGCGGCCGCGGGGACCGGTCCGCCGCGGCGCCGGCCGCGCACGCCGCGCCGAGGTCGCGCTTCGCGTCTCGCGTGAACGCGCGGAGGCGGTCGAGGGGCGCCGCGTAGCGCACGATGCGGCTCGCGTGGGGCGCGGGCACGTCCATGTAGACGCCCGGCACGTCGCGGTGTGCGTAAAAATAGGCGACGTCGCCGTCGACGACGAATCCGTCGACGGGGTGGTCCGTCGACCTTCCAAAGGACGCGGCCGTCGAGTTGAGCACGCGCCGGAGCTTTGAGAAGCGCACGCCGTCGCAGGAGAGCGCCAGCCCGAGGAACGCGTCGGCTTCGCCGCCGCGGTCCCGCACGACGGGGAAGAGGGCGAGCAGCGTCTCGCCGTCGGCCGGGTTCGCGTCCACCGCCGCAAAGTAGACGTTGTCGCCCGGCGCCGGCGGGTCCCGGCCGCCCTCGCGGTAGCCGTCGATGCGGAGCGGCGCGAAGGGCGACGCCGCGTACGTCGCGCCGTCGAGGGACGCGGACTGCGCGTGGCGCCCGCCGAACGTTCCGGTCGTCGTGTTCCGCCGCACGAGGTTCGCGCGCGCGAAGAGCGCCGCGGCGCCGCGCAGCGGCGCCACGCTCAACTTGCCGTCGAACTCGCAGCGGCCGCGCTGCTTCGGCCGCCGGTCGACGCAGCCGGGGTGGTCGCCGCGCGCGACGGGCGACGGCGGCGCGGCGCCGAGCGCGTCCAACGACTCCGCCGCGTAGCGCACGAGGCCCCGCCGCTCGCGGCCGGGGCCCGCGAGGCCGCCGACAGCGTGGACCGCGCCGCCGTGCCGGAACAGGGCGCAGTTGTGGGCCACCTCCGGCGGCCAGGGCATCGTCCGCGACCGGCCGCGCGCGGCGCACGACGATTCGCCGTCGGGCGCCCGCAGCGCCGCGTCGCAGTCGCGCCAGACGATCGTCCGCGGCTCCGGGTCGGCATGCGGGTAGGCGCCCGTGCGCGCGTAGAGCGCGTAGGCGCCGCGACGCCGCCGCTGCCAGTTCGGCGCGTCTTTGATGAGGCCAAAATAGCGGCTCGGGTCGCCGGGTTCAAAGGTCGCGACGACCTCCGCCGCCGTGAAGAGGGTAGCGTCGAAGGGCTCCGCTGGTGCCGCTGTTGCTGTATTGTAGAGGGCAGCAATGGCAATGAGGATGCTTGGCGTCATCTCACCATGCTATTGCATTGAATTGGGCGGGAACTTCAATAACTGGTTCAACGTATACAAGTTGTCCTTCAAGTTAGCGTCGAGGCGAGTTTAAAGGCGAGTAAGCGACCAGCAAAAATGCAGAGCACGATCGAGCGTCTTCAGGGAGAGGGTGGCGGCGGCGCGCGGCGACGGGGTCCTCGAGGCGCGTCACCAGTCCGCGGAGAGGAACCCGGCGTCGATACCCGGGCCGTACCCCGTGCTGTCTTCGTAGAGCTCCGCGACGGAGATGGGGACCCAGCCGTACTCGGGCACGCCGTCGGGGACGTCGAGGATGAGGCGGTGGTCGAGCTCGACCTTGTGGTTGACCTTGGTGGCCTTCTTGATGAAATCTTTCTCTTGCCAGTGCTCGTGCATGAGCTCGACGCGCTTCTGCATGGCCGCGAGGACCTCCTCCGTGTAGGTTTCCGGGAACTCGTGCGCGAGCTGCTTCATGGCCGGCTGGTCGCGGAAGCGCCACCAGCGGTAGTAGAGCGTCGCCGTCGACTCGAGGACGACGCTGCGGACCTCGAGCTCGCACTCGGTCGCGTCGGTGCAGTCCCAGCACCACTGCTCCGTCTCGTTCCAGGCATTATAGGCGTCTGCGTCGTCGTAATCGAAGGTCGCGTTCTCGCGGTGGCTGTGGTCGACGTAGTTGGCCCTTCCGAGGAGCGGCAGCGTGTACTCGAGGTCGTGGAGGCCCTCGGGCGCCTCGCTCTCGTCGATGGGCACGGCGCAGTAGTAGCTCTCCTCCGTGCCCTCGGTGCCGACGCGCGGCGTCCGCGTATCGTCGTACGTCGTTTTCAGGTAGCGGCTCCAGACGCGGTCCTCGGCGCCCTGCCAGTCGACGTAGATGTTCGTTTCCGCGGGGTCCAGGGCGTCGCCGCTCGCGTCGTCCTCGTACTCCTCGTCGAAGCTCCAGCCGAACCTACCAAAACCGTTCGTCGTGTTTCCGGGCGAAAAATCTCTCGAAAATCATCGCGGCCGCGGGACGCCGAGCCGAACTCGATGTCCATGTAATTGACGACGTCCTGGTCGTTCGCCCGGAGGCCCAGGTCGAAGCTCGCGCCCTCGGAGGCCATGTGGTAGGACCCGTTGAGGCGCGTGTCGAAGCCCGCGAAGAGCGCCTCGAGCTCGTCGTCGGACTCGCCGGCGTAGGCGAAGACCTCGAGCCAGTGATCGTAGCTATCCGCGTTGTAGGTCCGCGCGTTGAGCTGCCAAGGCTCGAGATCCGTGTGGTTCGGGTAGAGCATTTGCGGGATCTTCCAGTACGTCGGGCCCGTGTAGTCGTCGGGCAGGGCCTCGCCGCTGGCCGTGTAGTCCTCGAAGACGCCCTGGAGGCCCGGGAACTCGCCGCCCGTCGAGGGCCACCAGTCCCCCGGTTTGTGCGTGAACGTGTCGTAGATCGACGGGTTCACGCAGCACGCGTCGGCGACGTCTCCGAGGATCTCCCTGTCGCATCCCTCGCCGGGGTAGTTGAAGTCGTAGGGTTCGCCCGTGCCCTCGTAGTGCGCCTGGGTCTGGTCGCACCACGTCTCCACGCGCCTCGTCCAGAACTCCGGCGCATAAGCAAGGAGCGGGCCCGAGAACTGCGCCGTGTCGATGACGTGCGTCCACGTCGTCGCGCCGAACGACGCGTCGCCGAACACGCTCGTCCGGTCCCTCGTGCTGCCGCCGGGAAAAATGGGCAGCACGACCCAGCCCGCGCCGAGGAAGATGCCGCCGTCGTCCTCGCGGTCGTCCTGCGTCGCCTCGAAGCCGTAGCCCGACGCGGGCACGAGCACGCGGTTCGAGAGCGTCACGAGGCCCAGGTACTGGCAGCCGATGGCGCGCTCCGCGAAGCCCCAGCCGCGGCCGACGTCCGAGACCGGCTGGTACGAGTAGAGGCTCGCGCCGGCCAAGTACTTCGGCAATCGGCTCGCGCCGAGGGCGACGTTGTTGTAGACGCCGCCCTCGATGGACGCCATGCCCGACGCGTGCGAGAGCGAGTCCGTCGCGTACTTCGTCCGCGCTAAAGGCGCGATCCACTGCCCGAGGTAGCCGAACTGCGCCATGCTCGACGTCGACGTCGTGATCGGCTCGCCGACCTCGCGCTCCACCACCCGTAAAATGCGCGTGTACATCGTGAGGCCGTAGTACTCGCGCGTCGTCTGCGCCAGGTCGGCGAACGTCGCCGACTGCCCGCCCGTGGAGCCGTCGGTGTCGAACATGTCCGAGCGGGAGAGGCTCGGCTTCGGGCCGTGGCCGCTGAACTCGGCCATGCCCGCGCACTCCTGCTCGAAGCCCTGCGGGATGCAGGTCATGGAGTCGCAGAAGCGCGCCGCGTAGTCCGCGTCGCAGTTCGCCCGCGGGTAGCACCCGCGGTCCTTGACGGGGACGTCCGGCTGGCAGGTCCGCGTCACGACGTCGAACGCGTAGCCCTGCTCGGAGCAGTCTTTTTGCGAGTACGCGAACGTCGGCGCGGGCGCCGGCGCGCCGACGACCGTGCACCCGTCGCCGTCGTCCTCGAAGCAGAGGCAGGAGAAGGCCGGCGTCGGCGGCGCCGTCGGCTGGCCGTCCGCGCAGCGACACCACTTGCTGAATCCCGGTGCCGGGTCGCCGCCGAAGGTCGCCGCGTTGCACGTCACGGCCCCGTCGGCGTCCTTGAGCGAAAGGATGTGAACCGTGTTCCACATGGGCTCCGCGTTCGAATCCCAGTCGTTGCCGTTGCTCCCGAAGGACGCCCAGTCCCCGTCGCACGCGCACTCGCCGCCCTCGTTCGCGCAGCAGCCGAGGTCGTCGGCGCAGTTCCAGCACTCGGACGAGGTCGTGCACTCGGACGCGCGCGTGCCGGACGAGGTCGTCGACTCCGCGGCCTCGTCGACGCAGCGACACCACTTCGAGTAACCCGACGCTGGGTCTCCGCCGAACGACGCCTGGTCGCACGCGATGCTCGTCGGATCATAGCTCGAGTAGGTCCACATGGGATTGTAGCCCTCCCAATCCTACGCGCGGGTGCGTGTCACGGGGGGGTCTCGAGCGGACGCCGCGCGCGCGAGTCCGTTGCTCCCGTAGGCGGCGTATTCGGAGCAAGCGCACGTACCGCCCTCCTCGGCGCAACAGTAGGGGTCGTCGGAGCAGGTCCAGTACTCGCCGTCGTCGGTGCCGACCACGGTGCTGCTGCTGCCGCCGCCGCCGCCGCCGCCGCCGCCGCCGCCTGCGATGAGGACGCCGACGCAGGCCGTCAGCGCCGCGACGAGGACGAAGGCGGCGACGAAATGGATCGTCTTCTTCGAGGGCGCGGTCGCCGGGAGCGTCGCCGGCGCCTTGCCCGACACCTTCTCCGCCGGTGCGATTTCCATGCCGACCAGGGGCGCCGCGTCCGAGGCCATGCAATGCGCAGCTACGCAGTGACAGCTACGCAGTGAGCAGCAGATACGCAGTGACAGCTACGCAGTGACGCTGTCAATGGCGGCGGCGCAGCGAAGCACTTCGAAGCAACTGCTTCGAAGCAAGGGGATCTTGAAGATCCCCTTGTTCGAAGTGAGAATGCATCGAGCTCCGGCACCACGGACCCGGATCGGAAACTCTGACGTGCGAAGTCGTCGGATCTCGTCGCCGGACACGCCACCGGGCCCAGGCTCGAGACCGTCCGTGCGCCCCCCCGCATCGCTCGGCGCGGCCTTTTACGGTTTCGTGGGGGATCTTTCGGGGGCGGGAGGTCGGGGCCGCGCGCGGGGCCGCGCCGCTCAGCATCGCCACTTGGGCTGCCAGAGCTCCTTGATCATGCCGTCCCACCAGGCGCCCTGGGGGTGGTGCTTGTTCCCGGCGAAGAGGAGGGTGCCCGACGCGCCGGGCTGCTTCTTCGCGCGCCGCTCCGGGGGCCGGGTCGACTTGAGCTCGAGCCGGTTGCCGACGATGTCGAACTGGTGCTTTTTGGAAGCGAGGTTCCGGAGGTGCTGGGGCGAGGGCAGGCCGACGGGCTCGTAGACGCGGCGCGACGCCGCCGAGGCGAAGGAGCGCATCGACTTTTTCGAGCTGGCCGCGCTGCGCTTGGAAGGCCCGGAGAAGACGGACCGCGAGCCGTCCGTGAAGCCCGAGGGCCGGTCGAGGGGCGCCTGCTCGACCGTGGCCTTGAGCACGGCCTCGGCGACGGACGCGGGCGTCGCGTCGGGCTTGGACGCGGCGACCATGGCGACCGTGCGCGCGCGCTCCGCGGCCTCGGAGTTGGGGAACCGCGGCAGTGGCGCGCGGCGCGCGGGCCGGTGCGGCCGCGCGGACTGGGGCCGGGTCGCCGCGTCGGCGAGCGTGCGGCCGAAGCCCGGGCGCTGGGACCCGGCGGACGCCGGCCGCTTGACGACGGGGCCCTTGTGGGGCGCGTGCTTGGCCGGCCTCGCGAGCGGCGCGTCGCCCGGAGGGCGCAGCGCGCCCGCGGACTTGGGCCGCGGCGGCGCGGGCCGGCGCGGCGCGCCGGACGACGCGCCGGACGCGGGCCGCGCGCCGGCGGACGCCGGCCGGCGCTGGTCCGGCGTCGCGCCGCGGCTCTTGGGGGGCTCCCAGACGCGGCGCGCGCCCGCGTCGTCGGCCAGCGGCGCGGGCGTCGCGAGCACGGAGTCCGGCGACGGCAGCCGCTCCGGCGGCGGCTCGGCGGCGAGGAGGGGCGCCTCGTCCTCGTCGCCCGCCTCGGGCGCCGGGCCCTTGGCGTCCTCGGGCACCGTCACCGTCGGGTCCTTCACGTGCAAATACCCGAGCTTCTTCGCGGACTCCTCGGAGATCTCGCAGACGCCCCAGTCGATGCCGCCGCCCTCGTGCAGATGCTCGATGTCGCCGCCGAAGGCCTTGCGGAAGCGGTCGAAGTTGACGCGCTCGCCCGGCGCGAAGCCCGCGAAGCGGAGCATCTTGACGAACTCGTCGTCGGAGACGTTGATGAGGAACGACCGCAGGAGGCGCTTGATCTCGTCGGCCTGGATGCAGCCCGACCCGTCCTGGTCGATGTCCCGGAACCACTTGCGCACCTTGCCGCTGCCCGTGCGGAACTTCTCCCGCAAGAGCCGCGCGGCGTCCTCGCCGGACGAGGACGCGTGGTTCGGCGCGCGCGCGGCCATGCACATGCGCTCGTACTCGCCGCAGAGGCCCGTGCCGACGAAGGCGCCCATGTGGCCGTCCTCGCAGGTCGACGCGACGTAGTCCGGGTGGACTTTGGTGACGACCGCGGGCTTCTTCTTCCGCAGCTCCTCCATCAGCCGGTCCATGCGGTGCGCGTAGCGGTCGTCCTTGGCGCTCCGCACGCGCGGCCGGCAGCCCAGGGTCTCGTCGTCGTGGGTCGCCTGGAGGAACATGTTGTAGTCCACCAAGCCGTCGTCGCCCGCGATCTCGCGCCAGAACCGGCCAAAGTCGACGTCGTGCAACACCATGTTGAACTTCTCGAGCACGGCGCGGAACTGGCGCGCGTCGACGCGGCCGGAGCCCTCGGCGTCGATGGCCCGGAAGGCGCCGGCCCAGGTGCGCGTCGACAGGCGCACGTGCTCCGCGAGCATCTTGCGAACTTGAGCCGGCGCGCACCGCGGCACGGGCGCGCCCTGGCTCTTCGGCTCCGACGGCCGCCGGGGGCTCTTCTTCGGCGGCACCCCGTCGGCGGAGAGGTGCTTGAGCTCGTCGCCGATGGAGAGCATGGTGCCGTGGTCGCTGCCGAAGCGCACGAAGAACTCGTTGATGTCCAGGGCGCCGCTCCCGTCCATGTCCATCCACGCCCAGCACTTCTTCCAGTCGCCGTCCGTGAGCTCGATGTTGAAGAGGTGCAGCAGCTTGCGGATCTCGACCTGGCAGAGGCTGCCGGACCCGTCGAGGTCCAGCGCGCGGAACGCGCGCCGCGCCATCACGCGGTTCGTCACGAGGCGCACGCGGAGCGCCTCCTCGACCTGGGGCACGCTCCAGCGCGTCTTGCGCTCCGTGACGTGGCGCTGTCGCGCGAGGAAGGCCATGCGCCCGGGGTCCCGGTACTTGAAGCGCGGCTTCTCGCCGAGGACGACGGCGGGGGGGGCGACGGCGGCCATGTGTCGTGGGTGCCGCGGGGTGCGTCGTTCGCGCCGCTCACTTCGGCAAAGGTCGCGGGCGGCGTCGGCCGGCGTCGAGGTCGCGAAGCGGCCGGTGAACACCGCGGCTCCCGAGGAACCGTGGCGGCGCGGGAGAGGACACCGAGAGCGAAACGACCGCGTCGTTTCAGAGGGGCAGCATACCGGTAACATCTTTACACGTATCTTGAAAATCACGCGAGCGCGACGACCGCGAGGGCGATGGCGACGTTGCGCGCGGCCACGGCGAGGGCCCCCGCCGTCGGCGACAGGGCCCGGAGCGCGTGGGCGACGAGCTCGCGCTTGAGGCCCGACGCCGCGGCCGCGAGGAGCAGCGCGCGCGCGGCGGCGACGCGCGCCGCGCCGTCGAGCCCGCGCCACCAGGCCGCGGCCTCGGGCCCCTCGAGGAGCGCCGCGTAGGGCGCGAGGAGCGCGCCCGCCACCAGCGCGAGGCAGGCCGACACGTTCGCCGGCGGCGGCGCGTCGACGACCCGCCGCGCCTCCGCGCGGACCGCGGACGTCCACGCGGCGTGCCACGCGCCCGCGGCGAGGGCGCCCAACACCAGAAACACGAGCTGGGCCTCCAGATCGCCGTCGCGCGCCTCGCCCGTGAGGCCGTCCGTCGCGAGGACGTCGCCGTCGGACGCGGGGCCCGCTCGCGATTCCGCGACGACGCCGACGACGCGCGACGCCGCGAGCGCCGCGACCAGCGCCAGGAACCCGCCGCCGTAGGACTCGGGCCGCGGCGCCATGGCCGCCAGGCTCCCGAGGCTCTCCAGCGCCGCGCGCGTCGACGCGAGGTGCTCGCCTGTGTGCAAATCAACCACTGGAACGCCCTGTCCAGCAAAAACTTCAAACCTCTCTAGCTCGGTCAAATCGAAGTCGATTTGGCTGATTTTTGGACGAACCGATTGCTCTCGTCGAGTTCTCGAAGCACAGCCAAAGAGCGTGTGTCGAAGCATTCGAATACGCGCACATTGAAGTCGGGTTGAAGATTTGATTTGCACACAGGTGCTCGCGCGGCCCGAGGCGGTCGAAGCGGACGAGTGGCCCGGCGACCCGCACGGAGCTCGCCGCCGCCGGCGGGCCCTCGGCCCCGCGCCAGGCGTTGCCCAGGTCCCGCGCCGACGCGAGGACGACGCGCCGCGTCGCCGCGAGCGCGACGAAGGACGGTACGGCGACGCCGCGGCCGTCGAGCGCCGCCGTCGCCGCGAGCGCCGCGAGCGCGAGCGCCGCGCCGGCGCCGAGCGCGCCCGCCGGGAAGCAGCGCAGCGTCGGCGGGGCCCGCGCGCCGACGGCCCAGAACGGCAGCGCGCACGCGACGCCGCCGACCAGCTCCCAGGCGGCGACGACGCAGACGAAGGGGCACGTCGCCAGGGCGCGCGCCGTGCACGACGCGCTGCACGCCTCGAAGCCCACGAGCAGGGCGACGTACCAGGCGCTGTCGAGGGTCACGGCCGCGTCCTTGTCGCCCATGGTTCGCGTTCGGATGCGCGCGGATCACGAGCGGATCGGCGGTGTCGGGCTTCAAAAGACGAGATTGCCACAGGGTTTTGCGATCGGCATGCTTGAACCAACGTTGGACTAGTTATTGAAGGGGATGCGCGCCCGCCTGCGACCGTCAATGTTGCTAATCTCCTTGAACATTTGAGCTTTGGGAGCATCGGCAACGCGTCGAGCCGGCGGCAGCCCCCAACAGCTTGGCGCGGTGCGCCGGCGCCCTCCTTCACCATGGTCATCCCGAACCCCGACCTGGAGCTCGTCCCCGAGGACAGCTCCTCCGGCTCCGAGAGCTCGAGCGACGACGACGACGAGTCGGAGTCCGACTACTCGGAGGTCGACGTCGAGGCCGACGACGCCCACGTCGAGGTGTCGACGCTGCAGTCCTGGCTGGCCATGATCCCGCTCACGAAGTACTGGTGGGAGGCGCGGCGCGCGGACCGGGCGCTCCACAACATCAAGGCCATGCACCAGGAGACGGAGCGCGCGCGCCACCTGGTGGGTTTGATCGAGGCGGGCCTCCACGAGGACGCGCTCGCGGAGCAGATGAACGACACGGCCATGGACTTCTTCCAGTTCAACAAGGTCAAGCACGCCATGGAGGAGCACGGCCAGTGGAAGTGGCAGAAGCCGCGGCACCTCATGCGCACCGCCGAGGCGACGGGCGCGGACCGGGGCGGGAAAAGAGTGATGCAACGTCGCTTCAACGTGAGGGTTCCGCGCGCGATTGTTCCAAGAAAAACCTCCGCGCGTCGAGAGCGCTCCGAGAGATCATCGCTCGTCGAAGAATGAGCCGAAACGAGTGGAACATGGCCGAGCGAGGAGCCTTTGAAGTTGGGCATGTCGCACGCTTTTCCCGCCCAGGCGCGGACCGGGGCAAGATCGAATCGAACGCGATCCTGCGCCAGATCCAGCGCGAGTTCCGCCAGGGCTACCACGACCACCTCCTCACGAAGCTGCCCCTGCACCTCGAGGACTGGCTCGCGGTCGTCCGCGAGGACCGCAAGGCCGCGCGCGCGCGCGCCGAGGCCATGGGCCAGAACGTCGTCGAGGAGGTGCAGACGGCGGAGATGCTCGCGAAGATCGCCGAGGAGGAGAAGCGCAAGATGACCTGCACCTGGACCCACAAGGACGACGCCAGCAATCGGCGCTACTTCTGCAGCAACGCGCGCTACGTGCACCCGACGCGGACCGTCTTGGACGAGTACGGCGTCTCCGTGCCGGACACGCTCAAGGTCTGCGCGTGGCACGCCAACTCCTGCGCCGGCGAGCACGGCATGCGCATCCGCACCATCGCCATCCCCAACGACCAGGCGCTCTGCACGTCCTGCTACGTCAAGGAGATGCACGTGCCGCCCTGTGTGCAAATCAAATCTTCAACCCGACTTCAATGTGCGCGTATTCGAATGTTTTGACACGAGCACTTCCGCCGTGCTTCGAGAACTCGCTGAGAGCAATCGATTCGTCCAAAAATCAGCCGAATCGACTTCGATTTGACCGAGCTAGAGAATTCTCAAGTTTGGCCCCGACGTCCCAGCTCACTGGTTGATTTGCACACAGGTGCCGCCGGACGAGATCTCCGCGCTGCGCGTGCCGGGCGTCATGATCCAGGCGCCCCAGAAGGCGGCCCACTCGAAGACGCGCGCGGAGATCGAGGCCGAGGAGCGCGCCCTCGTCGTCGCCGAGGCGGAGAAGGCCTGCGTCGAGCGCCGCGCGAACCTCACGGAGACGACTGTCTGCACGCGGGTCGCGGCGCGGGACGAACTTCCCAAAGGCGCCTCTCCCGGCCGGTGCCCACTCGTGTCGGCTGATGTTTGGACGCGCGATCATCTAACGGAGCGGTCGAGAGGGAGAGAGAGGTCTCGATGTTTTCTTTCCGGAGCGCGCTCGATGTTGTTCTTTCCGGAGCGCGCGCGCGAGGAACACCGAAGCACTGTCACCCGTTTTTCCGCGCAGGTGGATCCCGGACAAGCTGGCGCCGCGCGAGCGGGGCCTGTGCTGCACGAACGTCATCATGGCGGACCCGGAGCACGGCACGCTGCTGCCGGTCTGCGGCTGGCACCGCACGGCCTGCGTGCTCACGCACCAGCCCGACAACGACCCCGCGTCGAAACCGGTCACGATCCCGAACGCGGACGGCCTCTGCGTGTCCCATTCAGGGCAGGAAAAAGGGCGATTCAAGTTTGCTTCAACCTGAGTGTTCCGCGCGCGCGCGTCCCGGAGAAAACAGCCACGCTTCGAGAGCGCTCCGAGAGATGATCGCTCGTCCCAAAATCAGCCGAAACGAGTGGAAATCGGCCGAGAGAGGAGCCTTTGAAATGGGGAATTTCGCACCCTTTTCCTGCCCAGGTCCCACTACGTGGCCAAGTACGGCCGCCCGCCCGACGACGTCGGCTGGCCCCTGCCGGGCTGCGATTTGCTGTCGAAGGTCCACGCGGAGATGGCCGAGATCATGGTCAAGAAGCACGCCTTAGCGCCGCGCGAGCCCTACCCGGGCCCGCCGGCGCCGCCGGCGCGGTACGTGCCGCCGCCGCAGCAGGACGTCATCGACGGCCTCTTCAGCGCCTTCAGCAGCGGCAAGAAGTTCGTCTACGGGCGCCAGATCAAGAAGATCCAGTGCTTCTACCGGCGCCACCTCGCGGCGCGGTGCGCGAACCGGCGGCGCCGCGCGCGCGTCGCGCGGAACCGCGTCGCGGCGGTGACGATCATCCAGAGCGTCACCAAGAGCTTCACGCAGCGCGTCATCGCGCTGCGCGAGGCCAAGGAGCGCTTCGACGCGCTCTACCTCGTGCAGCGGCTCTTCCGCGGCCTCGTGATCCGGCGGAAGGCGCGGAAGCGGCGCGACCAGCTCCGGCTCAACCGCGTGGGCAACTTTTTGTACCGGCGCATGCAGCAGCAGACCGTGGTGACGCTCCAGCGGAAGCGGCGCGACGCCTGGCGCGAGCGGCGCGCCAAGGAGATCGTGCACCGCGTCGTGCTGGGCGCCGTCGGCCGCTTCAAGGCCGCGGCCGCGCGGCGGCGCTTCCTCGAGCGGGAGAAGTCCCAGAGCCGGTTGGCGTCGATCATCCGGGGCCGCATGAGCCGCAAGACCGTCGCCATCAAGCGCAAGCACCAGGCGAAGATCGTCGCGAACACGACGTGGATCCAGGCGATCACGCGGTCGGCCGTCGTGAAGCGGCGCATCCACGGCAAGTTGATGCGGCGGCGCTGGGCCTTCGACACGATCAATAGGTTGGGCCGGGGCTTCATCTGCCGGCGCCGCGCGTTCCGGAAGCGGCGCGTCGTCGACGAGGCCTGGGCCATGGTCGGGCCCATGTCGAAGGGCCGCCGCGCGGAGCTCGAGCGGCTGCTGCCGCGGAGCTCCTACCCCATCTGGGACGAGGGCCTCGAGCCGGAGGAGGAGGAGGCGACCTACGACTCCATCGCCGAGGCCACGCGGAAGACGACGGACACGTGGTTCCACGAGAGCGACAAGAGGCCCTTCGTCAAGTACGACTCGACGGAGGTCGGCAGCGTGAGCCGCTTCGAGTTCCGCCTGGCCATGCACGCGCTCTGGCGGACCAAGGGCCTCGTCATCCAGCCCGTGGAGCTCGAGCCCTTCGTGAAGATGTTCGACAAGTACTCGGACGGCTCCGTGTCCTGGAAGGACTTTCTCAACTTCGCGCGGCTGTCCTACCGGCCGTGCTCGCTGCACCGGCGCATCGTCTGCGCGACGTGCATCTCGCGGGGCCCCTGCCAGCGCAAGGGCTGCCGCTGCGACGCCTACGAGAAGGACACGGCGCAGCTCAAGGACCTGGTGTGCAAGCACTGCGGCCACACGCCCTTCACGCACATGCTCGTGCCCAAGTGCTGCGTCGAGCCGGAGATCGACGTGTCCCAGGTCACCAAGGTCCAGCTCACGGACATCTTCGAGAACCGGTCCGACGCGCCCATGCGGCCCGACGCCGCGCTCGGCACCGCGGCCGAGGAGGAGATCGTCGCCCAGGTCGACGACCGGCCGCCGGCGCCGCCGACGGCGCGAAATCCGCGGCCGTCGAAGCCGCCGACCGCGGCGCTCGCGCTCGAGGGCGCCAAGGTCGTCGTCGTCCGGGACGTCGAACACCTCTTCGACGACGCGGCCTTCGAGAAGAAGAAGCCGCTCGCGCCCGTGTCCGAGGCCGTCTGCGTCGACCGGCCCGCGCGGGCCAAGGCGAAGCACGCGAAAGCCGCCGCGTCGGCCATGCGCGCCGGCGCCGTGACCAAGGCCGAGACCCAAGCCCTGGCGCTGACGACGGCCAAGTCCTTCGCGCGCGCGGAGACGGAGACGATCCGCGTCACGGAGCTCGAGGAGTCGATGCTCGAGCGCCACTTCGAGGGCGCGACGCAGTCCAAGGTCGAGCTCGAGCGGGGCTTCCGCATCACGAGGCCCATCCCCATGATCTTCGACGACGAGCTCCGGCTGACCGTGAAGGCCGCGGACGTCTACCTCGAACTGTTGGACCGCTTCTCCGACGAGGAGCTGGTCGTGCGGAAGCACGAGGACCAGGCCTTCGTGAAGCTCATCTTCGAGAACGACGTTTTTTTGGAGCGCCACTGGAAGAAGCTGCTGCGCGACGTGCGCTACGGCAAGATCAACCGCCACCTGCCCATCTCGCCCGAGCGCCGCGCGGCGCTCGAGTCGCGCATGTACCCGAAGCCGCAGCAGGCGAACAAGATCGACGCCGCGCTGAAGCGCCTCGGCTTCCACGTGCGGTCCAGCGGCCTCTACGGCTCCGCGGCGCTCGCCGCGACGAAGTCGACGACCGCGGACGCGGCGCCGCGCGACGACGACGGCGGCGCCCCGGCGGACCGCTTCGGCGGCTCGCGGCCCACGGACTTCCTCTGGGACAAGACGCTCAAGCTCGCCATGGCCGACGACGAGGACATCGCCGCGCAGGTCGAGCGCAAGAAGCGCGCGCCGCCGCCCAGGGCCGCGCGCGTCGAGATCCCGCGCCGCGACTCCACCGAATCTTTACCCGACGGCTTCAAGGTCGACGCGGACCGCGCGACGACGACCAAGTCCGTGCGCTTCGCCGACAAGTCGCTCGCGTCGTCGGCGTCCGCGCGGTCGCTCGCGTCGCCCGCCAAGAGCGAGTCGACGCACCGGAGCGGCACGCGGCAGACCGCCGCGTCGTCGGCGTCCGCGCGGTCGCTCGCGTCGCCCGCCAAGAGCGAGTCGACGCACCGGAGCGGCGCGGCGCGGACCGCGCGGAGCGACCGGTCGCTCGCGTCGTCGAAGAATAGCAACCGGTCCCAGCGGGGCCGGCGCTGGGACGACCCGGACAAGGGCGACAGCGACGGCTCCGACGACACGGTGCTCGAGCCCGACCTGCCGCTCGAGCGGCGGTCCTCGCACGGCGACGTCGACGCGAAGGCGGACCAGGCCGCGGTCTTCGCGACGGCGCACGCGATCTCGACGCTGCCGCGCGCGAGCAACGACGAGGTCCTCGAGGAGCCGCGCGACATCCGGCCCTGGCTCTGCCCCCACCCGGGCTGCGGCAAGGTCTTCAGCGAGAAGGAGTCGTGCGCGCGCCACGTCAACGAGGCCCACGCGGGCCGGCACCGCCTCGCCGTCGCGACGCCGACCCAGGACCAGTTTTTACGGAAATACTGGCCCGAGGAGATGCCCTGGGAGCGCGAGGACATGCTCGCGGCCAAGGCGCCGGACGTCGCGGCGTACAACTGCCCCATCTGCTTCATGCCGCTGCTGACGCAGGAGGACCTGAAGCGGCACCTCAAGGTGTCGCACAAGAAGGAGGAGGTGAAGAAGTGCTACAAGGAGCTCAAGGCCGAGGCGAAGAAGGCGCCGCCGAAGAGCGGCGGCCGCCGCGGCTCGGGCCCCGCGGACCGGCGGCCGCCCGGCGCGGCGACGGTGGCCGGCAAGCCGATCCTCGTGCCGCCCTTCTGCCCGCCGCGGCGCGCGCCCATGGCCATCTGCCTGCGCCACGCGCGGTCGTCCTTCCGCTGCCTCGACTGCGGCGACGCGCGGTTCCGCGGCGGGCCCAGGGCGCCGTGCTCGTTCTACCCGGAGGTCACGGTGAAGATCACGCAGCCCGCGGCGAAGCCCGGCGACCTGCCCGTCGTGGCGGACCTGCGCTTCCTCGTCCAGAGTGAGCGGACGCCCTTCGTCGTGGACCGCGAGACGGGCGCGCTCCGCCACGTGCAGCTCGTCGCGGTCTGCGTCGACGACGCCGCGGAGACGTGGGTCTGCGTCGCGTTCCTCTGGACCTACGAGGACCTGCGGCGGCGGGGCGTCGACGTGCCGCCGGACTTCGACAAGCAGCGCGAGTGCTACGAGGACAACACGGTCACGTGGATGCGCGCGGGCCGCATCGCGGGCTACTGCTACACGCTCATGTGCGACCGCCTCGGCTTCGGCAACCGGCGCAAGGCCGACGCGCTGCCGAGCCACCCGACGGACATGGTCCGCTTCGCGAACCTCATCTTCGACAGCGAGCACGGCGCGCCGGGGCCCAAGCGGAACCTGGACAGCGACGCGGACCCGCTCCTCGTCGGCATCAAGCCGACCTTCGCCGTCGACGACGCGCACTACGCCTAAGCCGTCGTGTTGTGGCTTGTGGCTTGCGGGTTGTGTTATGGTCATCGATCTTGGGGGGCGGGGACGCGACCGTCGCGGTCGTCGTCGCGCGCGGCGCGCTCGTCCGTCTTGGGTCGTCCGTCTTGGGTCGTGGTCGCGCCGCTACCAGCCGGGGTAGCGGCCGGCGAACGCGTAGGTCGGCGTCGCGGCGCCGCCGGCGCCGCGGCCGCGCGGCGAGAACGCGGGCGCGGACGCCGTGAGCTGCGACTTGGGGCTGTCCGGGTCGAGGGGCCCGTGCGGCGCGCCCGCGGGCCAGGTGTAGTCGCCGAAGCCGCCGGAGCCCGCGGACTCGGGCGACGCGTCGGGCGACGGCGCGTCGCGGAAGCCGTCGTCGTCGAAGCCGCGCGGCGGCGGCGACCGCGGCGGCTCGTCGAAGGACGCGCCGCCGGACCGGAAGGGCGACCCGTCGGCGAAGCGCGTCCCCCGCGCCGGCGACACGGCGGGCGCGAAGCCGTAGGGCGACGCCGGCGGCGGCGACCGCGGCTCGGAAACGGGCGACGCGGGGCTCCGCGGCGCGGCGCCGCCGCGGCGGGCCCGGGGCGGCGAGCCGCCCGCGTTGGGGCTCGCCGGTTGCGTCTCCTCGACGAGGCGCACGTCGACGGCCTTGGAGCGGCCCTTGTGGACGCCGCGGAGGAACGTGACGCGGTCGCCGATCGCCGGGTTGTAGTCGTCCGCGGCCTGGGCAGCAAAAGAGAGATTCAACGTCGCTTCAACGTGAGTATTCCGCGCGCGCGCGTTCCGAAAAAAGCATCCGCGCGTCGAGAGCGCTCCGAGCGATGGTCGCTCGTCCAAAAATCAGCCGAAACGAGTGGAAAACGACCGAGATAGGAGCCTTTGAAGTTGGGAATTTCGCTCTCTTTTGCTGCCCTGTCGGCGGCGTCGGACGGGTGGAGGAAGAGGTCCTCGCGGCAGATGCCCTCGTCGTTGAGCATGGCCGTGTCCGGCCGCACGAAGCCGTACCAGCCGTTGTAGTAGGTCGCCACCGTGCCGTCGAGGCGCCGCGACGTGAACGACCCGCAGAGCCGCCGGCTCAGGTGGACGATGGACCCGCCGAGGCGGCCGTCGCTCCGCGGCGGCGGCGGGTGCCCCCGGGACGAGCCCTGGGTCGGCGTGCCCAGGGCGCCGCCGGGCGTCGCGAGGCCCACGCCGGGCACGAAGGGCGGGCTGCTCGCGAGCGCGACGCTGAGGTCGCCGGCGCCGCCGGCGAGCGGCGGCGGCCGCGGCGCGCCGCCGGGCGACGCCGGGCCCCCGAGGCGGTGCGGCGCGCGCGCGCGGGGCGTCGGCGTCACGGCCGGGGGCACGAGCAGGGCGTTGGCCATCTCCAGCGCCTCCGAGCTCGGGATGCGCCGCAGCGTCGGCGCGGCGCTCGGCTCGTCCTCCGGCAGCGCGTCCAGGGCGCCCGCCGCCGTCGCGGCGCTCAGCAGCTCGTCGTCGTCCTGGTCCATGGCTCGTTCACGGTGGGTCTAGGTCCCCATGGGCGTCGGGGTGGGCCCCGCCGAAGCCGGCCTCCCAGTCTCACAGACGTCCTCTCAGGCAGTGGCTTTCGCCTGCTCTCCCGTACGGCCGTATCTGGCGCTTGCAGTACAAGTTGCACCCGAAGCCCTTGGCAACCAAGGGGATATAAATCTAGATGGGGTGGCAGGCGAAACGCGAGGTCCTCGTACTACTCGGGGCCGCCGCTAGCGTTTTCTTTCTTCTTCCACGCCGCAGCGCGCGGGCTGAGTGCAACGATGGCGGGTCGCGCGGCGCGGCGCGGCTGCGGAACCCTTCGACGGGGCGGGGCAGCGAATTTGGGCTGCTGAGATCATTGCGTTGGCTCGCGAGCGCGACGGTTGTTCGGCGGCGGGACGAGAGGGCGGCGGTGTGAGTCGAGTGTGCGATATTTTCTTGTCCTTAGAGGTTGGAGGCGCCCTATGGGTACCCGCGGGGGGCTCGAAACCTTCAGGACACACTTTTCCCACGATCTCAGAGCCTGCGCAGCCCCGGCGCCGACGGTGTCGCAACACAGTTTCTTGGGCAGCGTGCGGGCATTCGAGGTCGAGAACTTTTCGTGTCCTGAGATGCTCGAGCCCATCCATAGGTACCAACGAAGGGCTCTGCAGCGCCAGCAGACGGTCCACGACCATCATCATCGCGAACACGTCCAAGAGCTGCCCCAAAACCCCCTTCCTCGCGTGGCGCCAAACCGGACACGGTGCCCTCCAGCGCGCCTCGGTTTCCTTCCACCGGACCCGAACCGCCCGGACGCGTAAGTCTTGTCGCGGGCGCCTTCGCGGGGGAGCGAATACCGCTGCGGTCCGTCTGGGGCCGCGTCGACGACGGCGGCGTCGAAAAGTCCCCGGCCAAAAGTCGTCAACATTGCCCCAAAACGATGGGTTGCAGTACGAGGAGCTCGCGCAACATAATCTCGTTGAGCTGCCACCCCATACTATTTATTACCCCTTGTGGCAACGGGATGATGCTGCCCTCGGGCGGGGATTCTCGATGATGTTCACGCGGGAAAAGCGGTCGCTGTCGAGCGACGAGCCCGACGACTTCGCGCGGAGCCTCGCGCTCAACCCGGCGACGCTCCCGCGGCGCCTCTGCTACCTCTGCTGCCTCGTCGTGGCCACGGTGGCGCTGCTCGCGGCGCGCGTCTCCGGCCGCCTCGCGCTGGCGCCGGCGGCGGCGCGCCCCGGCGGGTCGCGCGGCGCGGAGACCCTCGCCTGCGCGCTGCCCGCCGGGCGGCCGGGCCTCGCCTTCCGGACGAAACCGTTCGCGCGCCGCGTCGCGGGCGACCTCGTCGTGTCGCTGACGACGGTGCCCGAGCGGCGCCGGTCGCTGCCCGTCATGCTCGGGAGCCTCGCGCGGGCGCCGACGCTGCCCGCCGCCGTCTTCGTCGTCGCGTCGGACGTCGGGCGCCGGTGCCCGCCGCCGCTCGTCGCGGCGCGGCGGCCCTCCAGCGACGCCGCGACGCTCGCGGTCCACTTCGTGCGCGCGGCCGCGGACCGGGGGCCCATCGAGAAGTACGTCGGCGCCCTCGCCGCCATCCTGGCCTTCGGGGCGCCGGAGTTCCTGCTCGTCCTCGACGACGACCACGAGTACGACTCGCGCGTCGCGGGGCGGGAAAAGAGAGCGAACTTCCCACCTTCAAAGGCTCCTCTCTCGGCCGTGTTCCACTCGTTTCGGCTGATTGTTGGACGAGCGATCGTCTCTCGGAACGGTCCCGAAGCATGGATGCTTCTTCCGGAACGCGCGCGCGCGGAACATCCACGTCGAAGCGACGTCGAATCTCTCTTGTCCCGCCCAGGCGCGTCGTCGGCGCGTACGCCGCCGCGCTCCGGCGGCGGCCGGCGTTCGCGTTCACGGTCCAGTCGCCGCCGAGCCAGCTGCGCTTCAACGCGTCCTTCCCCGTCGCCTTCGGGAGCCGCGGCGTCGGCTTCCGCCGGGCGACGGCCGACGGCCTCGCCGCGTTCCACGCGCGCGCCGTCGCCGCGGAGCCGCTCTGCCGCGTCGTCGACGACATCGTCGTGTCGGGCTTCTTCGCCGCGATGCACGTGCCCGTCGCCGACGTGCCGGGCTTCTCCTTCAAGCACCGGCCCTGGCGGCAGAACAAGTACGTCCACGAGACGTCCAAGGTCAAGCGCCTCCGCTCCGCGAACCGCACGCTCGACAACGCGCGCTGCCACGACGCCATCGCCGCGACCCTCCGCCGACGGAGGTAAAGGCGCTCTGTCCGACGCGGTCCGGGCGCGTCCCGTTCGCGCCGTGGTTCGCGCAGGCTGCGCGTTGAAGCCTCGTTGAACTTAGGTGTCTTCCTCGTATATTCTGGTGCTCTCGCGAGACGGCTGCCCCGAGGTGCGCATGGCGCGCTCCCTCCTCTGGCTCGCGTGCTCCGCGGCCGCGGCGGAGGTCCTGCACGTCGCCCAGGACGACGCCAGCGCCGATTTCGCGACGCTCGTCGCCGCCCGCGACTACCTGCGGTCCCTGCCCCGCGCCGCGGCCGCCGGCGCCACGGTCGTCGTCCACCCCGGCGCCTACCACGAGACGCTGACCCTCGGCCCGGACGACTCCGGGAGCCCGGGCCGCCCGATCACCTGGCGCGCGCTCGACGGCCGCGGCGCGGCGCTCAGCGGCGGCGTCGAGGTGCCCCGCGCGGCCTTCGCGGCCGTCGGCCCGTCGTCGCCCCTCGTGCGCGCCGACCTCTACGCGCAGGGCGTCACGCGCGACGACCTCGGGACCATGGTCACGGGCAGCGGCGTCGGCGACTGCCAGCACAACAAGACGGATCTGATCTTCGGCGGCGCGCGGATGCTGCTCGGCCGGTGGCCCAACGCGGACGTCGGCGCCGCGTCGTGGACCTTCGCGAACATCGACGTCGGCGGCGAAACGTCCGTGGCGATCAACGCGAGCGTGCAGCCCGAGGCCGCGGCGCGCGCGGCCGGCTGGGCGGGCGCGTGGCTCCACGGCTACTGGACGTTCGACTGGACCGATTCGTACGTCGCCGTGGCCGGCGCGTCCCGGGCGGGGGATCTGCTGTCCCTGACCCTGCGCAACGACACCGCGACGGAGATCAAGGCGAACGCGCGCTTCTACGTCGTCAACGCGCTCGGCGAGGTCGACGCGCCCGGCGAGTACTTCGTCGACGAACGCACCGGCGCGCTCACGTTCTACCCGCCGAAGCCGCTCGCCGAGTGGACGGCGGACGACGCCGTCGTGCTCACGGCGAGGCCCGTCGTGCTGAATCTCACGGGCGCGTCGAACGTCGCGGTCCAAGGGCTCACGATCGGCGACGGCCGCGGCGTCGGCGTGCTCGCGGAAGGCGTCGCGAACGTGACGCTGCGCGGGTTGACCGTGCGCAACCTCGGCCGGACGGGCGTCGTGCTCGACGGCGCGGGGTCGGCCCTGCTCGACTCGAAGGTCCACGACACGGGCTGCGTCGGCGTGCGGGCGTCCGGCGGCGACCCGCTGACCCTGAGCCCGGGGAACAACGTCGTCGCGCGCACGGAGATCCGGCGGCCCGCGCGGTGGAAGCGCACGTACATGGCGGGCCTGAAGTGGGGCGGCGTCGGCGACGCGTTCGTGAACAACACGCTCGCCGACGGGCCGCACAACTGCGCCCTGGGCGGCGGCAACGAGATCTGGGCCGTCGACTGCCGCTGGGAGGGCAACACCATCTCGAACTGCGCCTTCGAGGCCTCGGACACGGGCGCGTGGTACAGCTGCGGCCAGGCCGGGGCCTTCACGAACCGCGGCAACGTCGCGGCGCGGAACACGTTCTCGGGCGTCCGCCGCGGCATCGCGGGCCGGAGCGTCGAGGGCTGCGGCGGCGGCGTCCAGGCCGTCTACCTCGACGACCAGATGTCGGGCTGGACCTTCGAGGAGAACCGCTTCGTCGACTGCGACACGGGCTTCTTCGTCGGCGGCGGGCGGTCCACGACGCTCGCGAACTCGACCTTTGTGAATTGCTCGCTCGCGGTCCACGTCGACAACCGCGGCATGAACTGGGAGGCCGCGCAGTGCGGGGTCAACGGCTCCTCCATGGTCGATGTCGCGGCGGTCCTCGCCGGGCCCGCGGCCGCGGCGTGGTCGCGGCGGTGGCCCGAGCTCGAAGCCATGAGCGACGTCTGCGTCCCCGTGGACAACCGCGTCGTCGACAACCGGTACGACGCGCGCACGGCGACGTTCATCGACGCGAGCGACGCGGACCTCGCGGCGTGGCGGGACGTCGTCCGCGGGAACTCGCGGGGGGTCTGACTCTGACGACGGGGTCGGGCGACGTAAGTGTAAACAAGGGTGTCGTTACTGGGGCCGCAGATAGAACGACGGGTCCCGCGCGTACTTTGCGTCGAAGCGCGCGAGCCAGCGGTCGACGACGTCCGCCGGCGGCGCCGCGAAGGACGTCACGAAGGCCATGAGGTCCCGCGCGATGGCCCGCGCGAAGCCGCGCCGGTCGCTCGCGCCGGAGCCGACGAGGTCGAGGTTCGCGGCCGTCGCCTCCGGCTCGAGCGCGACGCCGACGCGCGCGACGGCCGCGCCGGCGCCGAGGTGCGGCGGCAGGCGGAAGATGCCGCTCGGCTTCTCGGCGCTCAGGCTCCCGAGCACGGTCCACGCGCTGTCGTCCGCGGAGAAGTAGAGGACCGCGCACGTCGCGGGCGGCAGCGCGCAGCGCGGCAGCAGGAAGAAGCAGAGCTCGCCGATGTCCGCGGGCCGCTCGACGAGCGCCGTGCACTTCGCGCTGTCGACCATGACGAAATTGGACACGACGGGCCGCCCGGGCGCCACGACGCCGAACCAGTCGACGGCGAACTGGGCCATGTCGTGCGTGCTCAGCGCGCCGCGTGCGACGACCGATGCGCGATTGCGCGCCGGTGCGCGCTGCTGCTGCGCGCTGGTGCGATGCTGCTGCGGCACCACGGCGCTGCGCAATGAGCGCTGCGCCTGCCGACGGCGCGCTCGGAGACCGATCGATTTCGAGCTCGGCTGCGAGTCGATCGAGTGCGGCTGCGGCATTCAGCGATTGCCGACCCTTGACGCGAACGCCTCGACGATGAGCCTCTCCGACCTGCGCCTCGAGGAGGTCCGGCGGGCCTGGGACGCGGCGGGCCAGGGGCACGTCCTCGCCCACGCGGCGTCCCTCGCGCCCGCCGAGCGCGACGCCCTCGTCGCCCAGCTCCAGACCATCGACCCGTTTGCGGCGACGGCGGCCTTCGCGCGCGCGACGGCGGCGCCGCCGGCGGCCGCGCCGCGCGAGGCGCTCGCGCCGCTCCCGGACGTGCCCGCGCTCGCGGGCCACCCGGAGCGCGCCGCGTGGCGCGCGCGGGGCCTCGCGGCCGTGCGGGCCGGCGAGGTCGCCGTGCTGCTCCTCGCGGGCGGCCAGGGCAGCCGCCTGGGCTTCGACGGGCCCAAGGGCTGCTACGACGTGGGCCTGCCGTCGCGGAAGTCGCTCTTCCGGCTCCAGGGCGAGCGGCTCAGGAAGCTCGAGGCGCTCGCGGGCGCGGCGAAACCCGTGCCCTGGTACGTGATGACGTCCGCCGCGACGGACGCGGCGACGCGCGCCTACTTCGCGCGGGAACACTACTTCGGCCTCCGCGCGGACCAGTGCTTCTTCTTCGCGCAGGGCGCGCTGCCGGCCTTCGACGCGGCCGGCAAGGTCCTGCTCGAGACGCCGTCGCGGGTCTGCGTCGCGCCCGACGGCAACGGCGGCGTCTACGGCGCGCTCGCAGCGTCCGGCGCGCTCGCGGACATGGAGCGGCGCGGCGTCGCGTACGTGAGCCAGTACTGCGTCGACAACGCGCTCGTCAAGGTCGGCGACCCGGAGTTCGTCGGCTTCGCCGCGGCGGAGCGCGCGGACGTCGCGTGCAAGGTCGTCCGCCGCGTCGACGCCGGGGAGAGGGTCGGCGTCGTCGCGCTCCGGGGCGGCCGGCCGGGCGTCGTCGAGTACTCGGAGCTCGACGCCGCCGACGCCGCGCGCGTCGACGGCGCCGGCGCGCTCGTCTTCCGCGACGCGCACGTCTGCGTCAACTGCTTCGCCGTCGCGTTCCTCGCGCGCGCGGCGGAAACGCTCGTCGACGCGCTGCCGCTCCACGTCGCGCGCAAGGCCATCGCCCACTACGACGGCGCGCGCGTCGCGGCGCCGGCGGCGCCGAACGGCGTCAAGCTCGAGCGCTTCATCTTCGACGCGTTCCCGCACGCGGCGCGGTTCCGGTGCCTCGAGGGCGACCGCGCCGCGGACTTCGCGCCCGTGAAGAACGCGCCGGGGAACGCCGACTCGCCGGACACGGCGCGCGCGCTCGTGTCCGCCGCGCACGGTGCGGAAGCTGGGTTATCCCAACCAAACTTCAGAACTCTCTAGCTCGATCACATCGAAGTCGATTCGGCTGATTTTTGGACGAATCGATTGCTCTCGTCGAGTTCTCGAAGCACAGCGGAAATTCTCGCGTCAAACCGTTCAATTACGCGCACGTTGAAGTCGGGTTGAAGATTTGGAATCCACGCAGGCCGCGCACCGCGCGTGGCTCGAGGCCGCGGGCGCGACCGTCGACGGCGCGGGGCCCGTCGAGGTCGACGCGGCGCTCTCCTACGACGGCGAGGGGCTCGAGGCCTTCGCGGGCGTCGCCGTCGAGGCCGGACTCGTCCAGGCGGAGCACGCGCGCGGCGCGGGCGGCCGACTCGCGAACCTCGCCACCTCTCACGACCCCTCTGCTCGCACATAGCTCCTCCGAAGTCCCGGTCCCTTTGGGCGCTCCAGAGCAACGCTGGCGGGACGACGGGCGCGCTCTCGGCCGGCGGCTCATCTAGCGCGGGGCGGCGCGGCGTCGCGCGCCGGCGCTGCCCCCCTAAAACATGACACGAATGTCCTTACTTCCACTGCGGCGGCGGCCGCCCTGGGGGGAGCGGCGGCGGCGGCCGGGCGCCGGAGGCGGACCGTATGGATCCTCCGCGGGGCGCCCGATGGGAGGCCGGTCCAGAGGTCTGTTTTGTTCCCCGCGGACCGGTCTCGCCGTATAGAACAAGGGGGGCTCTCCTAAAGGCGCACCTCGTCGTCGGCGGCGCGCGCGTCGTAGACGCGCGCGCCGCGTCATCGGATGGGGCGGGCGCGCCGGCGAGCCCCGCACGCGCGGGCCTCACGAGGATCAGCTCATCCAGCCGACGCCGCCGGTAAGGTGCGCGTCGTCGGGCGCGCGGCGGAAGTAGGCCTCCGAGTCGGCCTGGGCCTGGTCCTCGGCGTAGGGGCGGCGGAAGAGGGCCGCGAGCCTGTCGACGACGGCGCCGTCGCCGCGCTCCGCGGCCTCGTAGGCCTCGACGAGCATCCACTCGCGCGGCACGAACGCCGGGTTCGCGGCGTCCATCGCGGCCGCGTCGGGCCCGAGGGCCCGCCAGTCGTCGAGCCACGCGCGCCACGCCGCGGCGAGGTCCGCGTCCGGCGCGTCGTACCAGGCGCCGCCGAGCGCGCCGAGCGCCGCGGCGCCGTCGGCCGCGCGCGCGGCGCGGCCCAGGAGCCGCCAGAAGAGCGTGTGGTCCGCGTAGGGCGGCCCGCGCGACAGGAGCGCGTCGGCCCGCGCCCAGAGCCCGAGCGCCGCGGCGCCCCGCGGCGCGTCGACGCGGTCCCAGCGGACGGCGCCGTCGACGGTCGCCGCGGCGAGCGCCGCCGCGCCGACGAGGCCCAGCTTCGCGGCGCGCATGGCCCCCTCCGCGCGCCGCGCCTCGGCCGGCCAGCCCCGCACCGCGGCGTCGAGCGCGGCGTCGCGGCCGCCCGCGAGCGGGCGCAGCGCGTCGACGAGCGTCGCCCAGTTGCGCCGCGCGGCCTCGAGCGCGTTGCCGAAGGCGAAGTGGTCGCCGGAGCCGACCCACATCGCCCATGTTTTGTCGTACCTTTCGACGAAGCCGAAGGGGCCGTAGTCCACCGTCGCGCCGCCGACGAGCGAGTTGTCGGAGTTGTAGTTCGACTGCGCGTAGCCCACGCGGAGCCAGTGGCACGCGAGCGAGGCGAAGCGGCCCCGCGTCTCCGTCGCCGCGGCAACGGCCGCGTCCTCGAGCGCCGCGCCCGCGGGGCCGAGGCCCTCGCGGTCGTAGGCGTAGCGGAACAGGGCCTCGAGCTCCCGCCGCGCGCGCGGCTCGCCCGTGCGCCGGAGCCGCCGCGCGAAGAGCTCGAGGCTCCCGACGCGCACGAAGCTCCGCGCGACGCGCGTCGTGATCGCGCGCCGCTCGCGCCGCAGCACGTCGCCGCCGTGCCTGACGGGCTGGAAGTCGTCGTCGACGGCCGTCCGGTCGCTGTACCAGGGCCGCTCGGCGACGTCGGACGCCGACGCGCAGAGCGCGAGCGCGCGCGTCGTCGGCACGCCCAGGGCCGCCATCGCCTCGGACGCTAAAAACTCGCGCGTCGACGAGCGGACGACGGCGAAGCCGTCGCCGCGGCGCCGGAAGGGCGTGGGCCCCGAGCCCTTGAGCTGCGCCTCCCAGGCGCCCGCGACGAAGAGCGACGCCGCGCGGCCGTCGCCGTAGCCGTCGCCGACGCCGCCGTCCGTGACCTGCTCGCTGCCGTAGATGGACAGCGCGTAGGGCGTCGCCCAGGGCGCCGCGTGGAGCGGCGCGAGCGCCGGCGCGCGCGGGTCGCCGCCGGCGAAGACCGCGAGGAACTCGGGCCGCGCCGCCTCCGCCGCGTCGAGCCCCAGCAGCGCGAGCGTCGCGTTCGAGAACGCGAGGAGCCGCGGCGCGCCGAGCGGCGACAGCGCGAGGGGCCGGACGAAGTGGCCGCCGCGCACGTCGCGCGCGGCCGTGTTCGGCGCGTTGGCCGCCGCGTCGGGGTCGACGTCGAGCGCGGCCGCGAAGTCGTCGGTGACGCGAGCCGCGAGCTCCTCGAGGTCTTCGCCGGCGTCGTCGCTGCTGCGAGCGCCTCGAGCGGCCGCGGCGAGCAGGATCAGGCGCAGCATGCGTGTGCAGGTGCTACTGCTGGAGCTGGATGGATGGTCGTGTATGCTAGTGCTGGACGGTGGTCGCCCTGCGCTCACGCATTCAGATGAGCAAAGCCGAACTGCACCGCGTAGTCCTGGTCGAGCTCAGCTTCTCGCCCCCATTCCAATTTACGACGCCAATGTGACGGCATCTTTACTTCAGCGTTAGTCGCTTGTAGCCTGCTTGTCTCTCCCGACTGCGCCGTCCTTTTAAAAACAGCCCCCCTCGAGCGGGGCTAGTGGGCGCTGTGCTTCGAGAAGACGATGGACGCCTGGAAGATGTCGCGGAGCGTGCCGATGAGCTTGGACGTGTCGTAGCAGGAGAAGCCCTTGCCCGGGGGCAGCTCGTCCTTGATGGCCTCCGCGGCCTCGAAGTTGGAGGCGATGAAGAGGGCGTAGGCCGAGACCCGGGGGTCCGCGGTGAGCGCCGCGCCGAGGTCGCGGCCCGTGAGGTCGTAGCGGCCGAAGTCCGCGTCGGAGAGGAGGAAGACGAAGTACTCGTCGGCGGCCTTGGCGGCGACGTCGGCGACGGCGCGCTTCGTCGCCTGCAGCGTGTGGTCGCCGCTCTTGCAGGTCTGCGCGTGGGTGACCATCTTGCGCACGAGCTTGAGGCGCTCGAGGCGCGTCTTCGGCGGGCTCCCCAGGGCACAAGGAGCACGGCGGACGCGGCGCCCGAGTGGCCGACGACGGAGTACTCGTACTTGTGCTCGAAGCCGTCTAAAGCCTCCATGAGCATGATCAGCGCCTGGAGCGCGCGCGTGAGCCGGCCGTCGAGGCGGTTGTACGTGTACATGGAGCCCGAGATGTCGAGGACGAACTTGATGCGCTTCGGCAGCTGCTGGCTCAGCAGGCGCGCGGCGTCGTCGGGCGACCGCCGCTTGTAGATGTTCGTCGCGCCCGTGATGCCGTCGACGAGCATGAGCTCGTCGAGCTCGCCGTGGGTCTGGAGCCGCTTCCACGTGCGCTCGCGCTCGCGCGCCTCGCGGCCGAGGAGCGCGGCGCGGAGCACGCCGACCTGCGACTCGACGGCCGCGTAGAGCTTCTCGTACTGGCGCGCGTCCTTCTCCGTCATCTGCAGCTGGTGGAGCGTCTTCCGCCGGTCCTCGGCGCCCAGCGCGCTCGTGACCTTCTCGCGCTGCGCGCGCTCCTCGGAGGTCTCCCCCTCCGACGCGACGGGCCGCTCGTCCTTGATCCTGGCGGCGCCGCCCGGGTCCGCGGTCGCCCGGCCCCGGGGCTCCGTCGACGCGGGCGCGCCGGCGTCGTCCTTCGCCTCGACGTCCTCGGCGCCGCCGGCCGCGGCGGGCCCGTCCTTGAAGCCGAGCGCCTGCGCCTCCGCGGCCTTGGCCTCGCCCGAGCCCTCGCCCGCGGGCGTCTTGGTCGCGTCGCTCCCGCCCGGCGCCGCGCCGCGCCGGTCCCGCGGCGGCGGCGCCGGGCTCGGGTCCGCGTCCCGGTCCGTCGGCGCCTCGGACACGACGCCGTCCTGCGTGGCCTTGGCCGTGCCCTGGGCCTCGCGCTTCGCCTCGCGACCCGCGTCCCGCCCCTCGGCGCCCTCGGGCGTCTTCGCGGACGCGCCGTCGCCGTCGGGCTTGTCCGTGTACTCGACGCGCGTGTTCGGGCCCTCCTCGCCGTCCTTCGTGTTCTTGTCGGCGACGTCGTCCTTGGCCTTCGGCGGCGGCGGCGGCTTCTCGGCCTCGGCCTCGTGGTGCGACTCCTCGACGGCGTCCAGCACGCTCATGAGCTTCGCGTGGAGCTGCGGGTCCTGCGCGTCGAAGCCGAAGACGTCGGCGACGGCGCCGCGGAGGCCGTCGGCCGGGAAGCGGTCGAGGTGCTGCACGAGCTTGACGAGCTCGCGCGAGCTGTAGGGGTAGCTGATCGCGCCGTCGTCGTACATGGCCCGCAGCTTCTTGAAGGCCTGCGTGAGCTTGACGACCTGCTTCACGCGCACGCCGGGCCCGTAGCGCCGCAGCATCTGCACCTCGGACGCCTCGTCGGCGTTCTCGACGGCGTGGCACGCGAACGCGTCGCCGCACTCGCGGTAGAAGTCGTTGCCTAGAAAGGGGAAGCCCGGCCGGTTCGCGAGGACGACGAGGCGGAAGCCCGGCGCCACGGGCACGTCGCCCGCCGCGCGCGCCGCGGCGTCCGCCGCGGCGTCGGCGCCGGCGCCGCCCGTCGCCGCGGGCCGCGCGAGCCGCCGGCCGTCCGCGAGCTGGAGCTCGCCGTCGTCGACGAGGGCCTTCAACACGCAGACGACCTCCAGCGGCGCCTTGTCGGCCTCGTCGACGACGAGGCAGCGGCCGTGGCGCGCGGCCTTGACGAGGGGCGAGTCCTCCCAGACGACGACGCCGCCTTTCAGCGTCGGCGACGCCGTCAGCGCCTGCACCGTCGTGTCGCGGTGGAGCTGGACGTACTCGCGCTCCGCGTCCAGGAGCTGGAGCAGGCGGTCCGCGAGCTTGTTCTTGCCCACGCCCTGGTTGCCGATGAGCAGGAGGTGGCGGCCCAGGCTCCAGTCCACGAGCATGTCGCGCAGCGCCCACATGTGCGCGGCCATCTCGACGAACGGCGGCCGGGGCACGAGGTCCCGGCGCCGCGGCGACCGCTTCTCGCCCGCGGCGTCGCCGAGGTAGAAGGTCGACCCGGCGCCAAACGTGACGCACGGCGCGACGTGGCACCGCGCGGACGCGGCGCGGTCGCGCTTCCGCGACACGCGGCGCCCGAAGCTCGCGCCGCCGCGCTCCTTCGCCGTGGGCACGCCGCGCGTCACGAGGGCGTCCCGGAGCATGCGCCGCGCCGTCGCGCGCTTCGGCGCCGGCAGGAAGTCCTGGTAGGCCGCGAAGATGTGGTCCACGGCGTCCTCGACGCCGTCCTGCGGCCGGGACCGGAGGTGCGCGCCGATCTGCGCGAGGCGCCGCGCCGTGAGCAGCAGCGGCTCCAGGATCGACTCCGTCGCGACGGCCCGGCGCAGGGCGTCGCCGTAGTCCAGGAGCGCGCGCTCCTCGCCGGCCGCGAGCGCCCGCGGCTCGCCCGCGCCGCCGGCCTCGAGCGCGTGCCGCACGAGCGACGTCTGCTCCGCGGACGACAGCGGCGCGAGGGCGTGGTAGTGCATGAGGCCCGCGAGCTCCGCGGAGATCCAGGGGTTGTGGGCGCTCGGGGGCTCGCCCGCGCAGACGACGCGGAACGCCGGGTGCGCGCGGAGCACGCCCTTTGCCTGCAGCGCCGCGTCGTCGTAAATCTCCCGCAGCGCGGCGTAGGCCGCGGGCGCAACCAACCGCGTGCCGTCGGGGAGCTGGATCTCGCGGTCGCTCAGGAGGCGGCCGAGCGTCGACCGGAGCACGCCCGGCGCCAGGCGGTGCGCGCCGTCGAGCACGGCGAGACCGCCGTCGAGCGCGGCCTCGATCAGCGGACTCCGGCGCCACTCCGTGTTGCCCCGCGCGTCCGTGACGCGCCGCATGGTCAGGTCCCGCGCGCCCATGTCCTTGTAGCAGAAGACCGTGCGGCAGCGGTAGCCGAGCGCGGCCGCGAAGTCGCGAATAACCAAAGTTTTGCCTACTCCTCTTTCGCCGACGACGCAGAGGTCGACGCCGACGACGTGGTCCTGGACCATGGCGCCCAACACCCGGCGCTGCGACCCGCTCAGGATCGACGGCGCGCTCGGGGCCTCCGCGCCCGCGCCCGCGACGGCGACGGCCCGGACCTCGTCGCCGTCCGCCGTCCGGAACGAGAGGAGCCGCCGCGCCGCGCCCGAGTCCGGGTCGTCGGCGTGGGCCTCGACGCCCGCGAGGAGGTAGGCCGCCGGCGAGACGCGCACGGGCGCCGGCGCCGCGCCGTCCGCGGGCGCGGCGTCGCCGCCGTCGACGCGGACGTAGTCGAGCTCGAGGCCGGCGAGCGACGACGTCTCCGAGTCGCTCGAGCCCTCCTCGGCCGCGACGGCGACGCCCGCGTCGGCGTCGCCGGAGACCCGGAGGAGCTTGGCCCGCGCGGCGAGGACCGCGGCGCTCGGCGCGGCCTTCGCGACGGGCACGCCGTCGGCGTCGAGCGACGCGTCGTCGTCGTCCGAGTCGTCGTCGCCGCGGCCGACGGGCATGCCGTCGGCGTCGAGCGACTCGTCGCTCTCGCTGGAGGCGCCGTCGTCGAGGCGGCGGCCGTCGGCGTCGTAGCGCACGCGGACGCGCCGCCCGTCGGCGTCGTACTCGAATTCCGAGTCGCTGTCCGAGTCCGAGTCGCCGCGGAGCCGCCGCGCGAGCGCGGCGCGCGCCACGTTCGGCGCCGGCTCGGCCGCGGGCGCGCCGTCCGTGCGCGGCGCGGCGAACTCGGGCGCCTCGGCGCCCGCCTTCTTCGGCTTCGGGGCCTCGCGCGGGACCCGCTCGCCGGCGGGCGCGGCGACCTTGCCCGCGAGCCGGGGGGTCGGCCCGAAGGGCGTGGACCCGCGCGGGTCCTCGGCCTCGACGACGTCGAAGCCGGCGTCGTCGAGCCAGGCGTCGAGCTCCGCGCGGCCGTCCGCGTCGAGTTTTAAAGATTCGAGGAGGTCGTAGCAGTACGCGCGCTTCAGCGCCGCGCCGGGCGGCAGCCGCGGGAACGCCGCGAGGAGCGCGGCCGTCGACTCGACGGCGCCGTCGGGCGCCCAGGGCCGCGCCGCCGTCGGCTGCTCGCGCATGACCTGGTCCGCGCGCCAGTCGGGCACCTGCGTGGGAAACGACCGGTGGAATGGCCCCGTCCGGCAACACTTCAAACCTCGCTATCTCGGTCACATCGAAGTCGTTTCGGCCGATTTTTGGATGGATCGTTTTCTCTCGGCGAGTTCTTTTCAGACAGGAGAAAAACGATGTCGAAATCGTGCAAACATATGAATATTGAAGTCGTGTTGCATATTTTGTTTCACACCCAGTCGGGCACGTGGACCTCGCCGCCGCTCTTCGCCGCGGCCGCGTTGCTCCGCATGCGCGCGGTCTTGCGCAGCGACGGCTCCCAGAGGCGCCGCAGGGCGCTGACCATGGCGCAGAGCTTTTTGGTCTTGTCGAGGACCGCGCGGCGGTGCGCCAGCGGCGGCGCCGCGGGGAGCGCGCGCGCGTAGACGCGCTCGACGGCCGCGAGCGCGGCCTTCTCCAGTTCGACGCGGCTCGGCGGGCCGAGCGTGTAGGCCGAGAAGCGGGAGCGTAACGGTGGATCGAGGGGGTTGCCCGCGTGCTTGGGCACGGCGACGCCGATGGCGACCACGATGAAATCCTCGTGCGTGCGCCGGAGGCCCCGGACGTCCTCGAGGCGCGCGCGCGCGGCTTTCACAGCGTCCGCCCACCCCTCCTCCCCGTCGACGAGGCCGCTCGCCCGCTCCGCGTCCTCGGCGCAGAGGGCGTCGAAGCGTTTGGCGTCCATGAGGAAGGTGCCGTCGTCGAGCGCCATCTCGCGGTTCTCGAGCAGGTTGTTCAGCAGCGGCAGGACGTTGCGCTCCGCGCGCTCGACGCCCGAGAGCACGAGCACGCGCCCGTGGAGCGCCGCGAGCACGGGCGGCTGGTTCGCCCAGACTAACGCGCCGTCGCGGATCTCGCGCCGCTGCTTGAGGTCGCCCTCGGACGTGTCGCGCGTTAAAGCGACGAACTCGCACTCGCGGCCCAACAGCTCGCAGAACTGCAGAACGAGCGCGCGCGGCCGCGGCCCCGGGTCCCCGATGAGGAACATGTCGTGCTTCAGCGCCAGCTTCTGCATCATCCAGCGCAGCGCCGCGATCCAGGTCTTGGGCATGGGGCTGCCCTCGCGGTCGTCGGGCGAGTACGCGCGCGCGCCGCGGCAGCCCGGCGAAAAGGGCACGAGCGCGGCGTCGCCGCGGCGCTTCGCCGCGGCGACGGAGCCGCCGCGCGCGTCGGCGACGACGACGGCGCTCTCGTCGACGTCGAGCGCGAGCTTCGTGAGGTCGACGCCCGCCTCGCGGCGTTTTCGGAGCGCGCGCTTCTCGTCGGCCGCGAAGTTTTCGTCGTCGTCCTCGCGCATCGCGCCGCACATGACGAAGCCGTCCTGCTTGAGGGCGTTGTCCAGCGTGACCTTGAGCGGCGGCACGTGGGCGTCGAAGGCGAAGACGTCCGCGAGCGCCGCGTCGACGCCGTCGTCGGCGAACGCGTTCAGGTGCTCGCAGACCTTGACGAGCTCGCGCGCGGAGTAGGGGTAGGCCAGCCGCGCCTCGTCGCGCTGCTCCCAGGCCTGGGGCGACTCGGCGAGGTCCCGGAGCTTGCCGAAGGTCGTCGAGAGCTTCGTCACCAGCGCGTCGGGCACGGCCGGCGCGTACGCCTTGAGCATCGCGACCTCGGACCGGACCTCCGGGTTGTCGACGCCGAAGGACGCGAAGGCGTCGCCGCACTCGCGGTAGAAGTCGTTGCCCTGGAAGGGCCGGCCGGGCCGGTTCGCCAGCACGATCATGCGGAACGCGTCGTCGATCCAGAGCGTGTCGTCGTCGGCCTCGGCCGCGTGCCCGCCGAGCGACCTGGGCAGCAAAAGGGTGATTCAACGTCGCTTCAACGTGAGTGTTCCGCGCGCGCGCGTTCCGTAAAAAGCATCCACGCTTCGAGGCCGTTCCAAGAGATGATCGCTCGTCCAAAGATCAGCCAAAACGAGTGGAAAACGGCCGAGATCGGAGCCTTTGAAGTTGGGAATTTCGCACCCTTTTGCTGCCCTCCGAGCGACCGCCGCAGGCACCGCCGGCCGTCCGCGAGCTGCAGGTCGCCGTCCTCGACCAACGCCTTCAAAATGCACACGACCTCCAGCGGCGCCTTGTCGGCCTCGTCGACGACGAGACAGCGGCCGTGCCGGAGCGCGCGGACCAGGGGCGAGTCGCCGCGCGAGACGACGCCGTCCGAGAGCACGGGCGCGGACGTCAGCGACCCCACGGTCGTGTCGCGGTGGAGCTGGACGTACTCGCGCTCGCACCTGAGCAGGTGGAGCAGCTCGTCCGCGATCTTGTTCTTGCCCACGCCCTGGTTGCCGATGAACAGCAGGTGGTGGCCCGCGCGCCAGTCCAACAACGCGTCGCGCAGGAGCCACATGTGCGAGTGGATGGGTACGAATAAAGGATCCGGCACGAGCTCGGGCCGCGCCGGCGCCCGCGTCGGCGCGGCGACGTCGCCGAGCACGAGGTGCTCGACGCCGCGGCGCTCCGCGTAGTCCGGCGCGGGCGCCGCGCGGCCCGCGCGCTTCGCCAAGAGCGCGAGCTGGCGGTCCTTGCCCGGCGCGGACCGCGCGCCGTTGATCGCGACGCTCCCCTCGACGCAGGGCAGCCCCGCCTGGCGGCAGGCCGTGTTCGCGTAGCGCTGCACGGCGTCGCGGTCCGCCGGGTCGAGGTACTTCGCGTAGGCGCCGACGGCCTTGTCGATGCAGTCGTCGGGGTCGTGGTCGAGCGCCGCGGTCCGGGCGGCTCTTAACAACTGGCGCAGCGACAGGGCGCAGAGCGCCAGGGACGTCGCCGGCGCCGCGACCTTCTTTTCCATCGCGAGCTTGTCGCGCTGGTACGCGTGGTCGCGGATCGACTTGTTGTAGCTCAGGAGCACGTCGACGACGACGTCGCCGTCGGGCGCGGGCCCGAGCTCGCGCTTCATGAGCTTGCGCTCGTCGTTGGGCTCGAAGACGGGCGCCACGTGGAAGTGGAAGAGGGACGCGAGCTCCGGGTCGAGCCACTGGCCCCGCCGGTCGTCGCGCGTGCCCGATGGCACGGACCCCGCGATCGCGACGACGCGGAAGCTCGGCGACACGCGCCGCAGGCCCCGCGCGCGCAGGTCCGTCTCCGACAGGCCACCGTGGAGCAGCTCCGCCCAGCGCCGCGGCGCGCAGAGCCGCGTCCCGTCCGGGAGGTCGAGCTCCCGGTCGCTGACGAGCCGCGCGAGCGTCGCGTACAACAAGCCCCGGGGCAGCCGGTCGACGCCGTCGAGCACCGCCACATCGCCGCGGAGCGCCGCGTCCACCAGCGCCGAGTCCTTCCAGCCCGTGTTGCCCCGGTCGTCCGTGACGCGCCGCTGGAGGAAGTCGCGCGCGCCCATGTCCTTGTAGCAGAAGATCGTCCGGACGCGGTAGCCGAGCGCGTCCGCGAAGCAGCGCGCCAAGGCCGTCTTCCCGACGCCCCGCCAGCCGCAGAGGCAGACGTCGATGCCCGCGCAGTGGTCCCGGAGCATGGCGCTGAGCACGACCTGCTGCTTCACCGTCAAATCCACGGCGAACTTCCGGGGCGCGTCGCGCCCTCCGAAGACGCCGTGCTGCGTCATGGCCGGCGGCTCCGCGGAGTTCGACGGCGTCTCGAACCGTAAAACGACGCGCCGCTCGCCGTCGCCGGCGTCGAGCGACGCCGACGTCGCGAAGCGGTAGAGCGCGTCGCCGTCCAGGCCGTCGAGCACGGGCAGGCCCCGCGCGTCGAGGCGCGTCTGCTTTAGACCGAGCGCCTGGTACGCCGCGTCCACCAACCGCCGGTCCGCGGACGACGGCGCGAATAACAGACCGTGCGGGTAGGCCCGCGCGAGCTCCGCGTGGACGGGCATGCGCGGGAAGAGCGTGCCCAGCAAACAGACGGAGCTCGCGGCCGTCGCGGGAAAGAACGGCGCGGCCGCGCGCGCGTAGACCGTCGCCGCGGCCGCCTTGGCGTCCCTGCCGCCGGCCCGCTCCGCCGCCGCGTCGGCGTCGGCGTCGCGCGCGCCGTCGAGCGCGTCGGCGAGGCGCGCGAGCTGGCGCACGGCCGTCGGATCCGCGGGGTCCTGCGCCGTGCCGACGTTGACGAGCGTCGCGAGCCGCGTCGCGATGCCCTCGCGTTTGAGGTCGAAGCAGGAGAAGCGCGACCGCAGGGGCGGGTCCAGGGGGTTGCCCGCGAACTTGGGCACCTGGGCAGGACAAGAGTGCGAAATTCCCAACTTCAAAGGCTCCTCTCTCGGCCATTTTCCACTCGTTTCGGCTGATTTTTGGACGAGCGATCATCTCTCGGAACGGTCTCGAAGCGTGGATGCTTTTTTCAGAACGCGCGCGCGCGGAACACTCACGTTGAAGCGACGTTGAATCACCCTTGTCCTGCCCTGTTGGGCACGGGCACGCCGATGGCGACGACGACGAAGGCCTGCGACGCGCGGCGGAGGCCCTCGGCCTCCAGCGCCGCGGCCGCGTCGGCCTCCGTCGTCGCCCCCGCCGCCGCGCGCTCCCGGGCGAGGGCGTCGAAGCGCTCCGGCGACGTGAGGAAGGTGCCGTCGTCGAGCGCCATCTCCCGGTTCTCGATGAGGTTATTTAACGTCGGCAGCACGTTGCGCTCGGCCTTGTCGACGCCCTCGAGCACGAGCACGCGCCCGTGGAGCGCCGCCTCGACGGGCGCCTGGTTCGCCCACACTAAGGCGCCGTCCCGGATCTCGCGCCGCTGCTTGAGGTCGCTCTCGCAGGTGTCGCGCGTGAGCGCGACGAATTCCGCTTCGCGGCCCAGAAGGTCGCAGAACGCCGCCACGAGGCCCCGCGCGCGCGGGCCGGGCTCGGACACGAGGAACATGTCCTGGCGCAGCTCGACCTTCTGCATCATCCACCGGAAGGCCTCCAAAACTTCCGGCGACAGCCAGGGCTTCGCGCCGCGGTGCGCCGCGGGTTTCGGGACCCGCGTGGCGTCGCGCGGCGACACCTTGGCCGCCGCGACGTCGCCGATGCGCACGGCGGCGACCACGCCCGCGCCCGGCGCGTCGCGGGGCCGCGCCTCGATGAGCGCGCGCCCGTGGGCCATGACCAGCTCGTTGCGCTCCGCGGGCGACAGGTCCCGCTCGCCCTCCTTTTCCGCCCGCGTCGGCCCCCGGACCATGGACCACGTCTCCGCGAGGGGCGGCGTCGCGTCGATGGCGACGAAGCTGCCCGTCTTCGCCAGGGCCTCCGCCTCCTTGACGGCGCCGGCCTGCTTCACCAGGAACTGCTCCGAGCGGATCCAGTCGCCGCCGTCGTCGTCGTCGCTGTCGGCCTCGTCGCGCGCGCGGAGCCGCGCGGCCTCGTCGACGCCCGCCCGCTCCTTGAGCAACGTCCGCAGCATCTCCACGTAGGGCTGCAGGTCGCGCGTCACCATGAGCGCCGGGTTCTCGTTGACCAAATTCGCCAGATCCTCGAGCGCGCGCCGCGATTCGCCCGCGTCGCCGACGCCGCCCCCGCGCTCGAGCCGCTTCAGGCACTCGCGCAGGCGCTTCTTGTCGACCATGAGGCGCAGTTCCACGTGCCGCAGCAGCGTGTCGGACAGCGTGACCCAGCCCTTTAAATTGCCCGCGGCGTCGTTCGCGGATTCGTCGACGAACGCGCGCGTGACCGCCCGGTCGTGGTAGAGGTGCGCGGCTTTCGCCCAGGGGTCGCCGGGCGTCGGCGCGTCGGCGACGAGGATGCTGCAGGTCTCGAGCGCGCGCACCTCGCAGCCCTCGGGCACCGTGCCGACCTCTTTCGAGTGCAACTCGGGCCGCTCGCGGACCTTGAGCCCCAGCAACCCGACGACTCGGTAGGGCTCGCCGCGCGCGCCGTCGACGGCGTCGGGGACCTTGCGCTTGTGCTTCACGAACTCCTCCGGGTCCCGGAAGTAGCCCGTGGCGCCGTCGCGCGTCGTGAAGAAGTAGCCGGCGCGGAAGCCGGAGAACTTGGCCGCGTCGACGAAGTCCGGGCCGGCGATCTCTTCGACGACTTCGTAGGACGACGCGTCCGAGTCGAAGGACTCCGTGTCCGAAAACCCGCCCTCCTCCTCCGCGAGGCGCGCGAGGGCGACGGCCTCCTCGGCGGCGCGGCGGTCGTCGTCGATCTGAGCCTGGTCCTCCGGGTCGGCGGCCTCGTCGACGGGCTCCGGCGACGTCTTCGGGTAGAGCTCGACGTTCTTGAAGGACACCCAGCCGTTGACCGGCGCGCTGATGCGCACGCGCGCGCCGTTGGCGTTCTCCATGACGCCCACGGCCGTCACGACGACGCGGTGCGGCAGCTCCGCGACCATGGCGGACCCGAAGCCCGGGCCCTCCCGGACGATCGCGCCGCACCGCGTCTTGACGAAGCAGCGGCTCGGGCGGAGGGCGCTCCGCGACTCCTTGCGGCCCGTGGGCTTGGACCCGGGGAAGTTCACCGTGCCGGGGAACTCCATGGCCGTGGGTCTCGTTCTCTCGGCGTCTTTTTGTCGAGGTTTTCCGTCCGCTCTCGCAGCGAGGACGCGCGGGCGTTCGAGGCGCTGTTTTCGAGCGCTTCTTCGGCTGAGCGGCTGGGTGCTCGGTGCCGGCGGCGGCCCGGCGCCACGCGGCCGGCGTAGAACGAAAAGTCGCCTACCACCTCGAGCTGCGACTGCTGCCAGTCGTCGAGACAGAGCCTAAAAACTCCTGTCTTGCCTTTTTTTACCACAGCATTTTGCGATAAGCCGATGGCGCCTCGCGCTGCCGCCATCGTAGCCGCGGCAGCCGCCGCAGCCGTCGTCGCAGTCGCGCTGCTGCGCCGCCGACGGCGCAAGAAGGCCTTGCCGCCGGGCTTGACGCTCTTCGAGCGCGTCCTCGACGCCGGCGCCTGCGACGCGCTCGCCCGGGTCGTCGAGGACCTCGCGGCGCGCGGCGCCCGCGGCGAGCTGGGCCCGCGGTGCTACACGCCCGTGTCGTCGCCGTCCTTCGCCGAGCGGCGGCAGAGCCGCGTCATGCTGCAGTTCGGCGCCTACGCGAACGCGAACCGCGTCGAGAACGCCGCGACCGCGCCGCTGCCGCGGGAGCTGCGCGCCGTGGCCGAAAGACTCGTCGACGCCGGCGTCTTCGCGGCGGCCGAGGCGCCGGACGCCTGCTGCGTGAATCTGTACGAGGCGGGCCAGTGGATCCCGGACCACGTGGACAACGGCAAGTTCGCGAGGCCCTTCGCGACCGTGTCGCTCGTCTCCGCGCAGGACACGGTCTTCCGGCGCGACGGGGCGGAGGTGCGCCTGCGGCTCGACGTCGGCTCCTGCCTGCGCGTCGCCGGCGAGGCCGCGGACGCCTGGACCCACGCCGTGCCGCCCGTGACGGCGCGGCGCGTGTCGCTCACGTTCCGCAGGTTGTCGGCCGCGACGCGGCAAGCCTTCGACGCGGCCAACGACGCGACGGCGTCGCGGCGCGCGCGGAAGAAGGCGGAGCGCAAGGCGAAGAAGCGCGCGCTGAAGCGGACGCCCGCGGCGCCGGCGCCGGCGCGGCGCGCGAACCCGCGGTCCGCGCCACTCGCGCTGTCGGAGCCGGCCGGCGCCGCGACGCCCGCGGTCGAGGTCGAGCACGTCTGGAAGGTCTACGACGCCATCGCCCCCCAGTGGCACGGCACGCGCTACAAGGCCTGGCCGAGGGTCGCCGCCTTCTGCGAGGCGCGGTGCGGGCTGGGGTCCTTGGTCGCGGACGTGGGCTGCGGCAACGGCAAGAACGCGCCCGCTTTGACGGCCAACGGCGCGCACGTCGTCGCCTGTGACATCTCGCTGGCCCTCGTCGAGATCGCGAAACGCGAGCACGCCGGGCGGCGCTACGACGCGGCCGTCGGCGACTGCACGCGCGTGCCGCTGCGGTCGGGCTGCTGCGACGTCGCCGTCAACATCGCGGTCATGCACCACCTGTCGACGGACGCGCGGCGCCACCGCGCCGTCGCCGAGACGCTGCGTGTCTTGCGACCGGGCGGCACCGCGCTCTTCTACGCCTGGGCGCGCGAGCAGCGCGAGTTCGAGGCGCGGAGCAGGGCAGCACAAGAGAGCGAAATTCCCAACTTCAAAGGCTCCGATCTCGGCCATTTTCCACTCGTTTCGGCTGATTTTTGGACGAGCGATCATCTCTCGGAACGGTCTCGAAGCGTGGATGTGTTCTCCGTAACGAGCGCGCGCGGAAACTCACGTTGAAACGACGTTGAATCACTCTTTTGCTGCCCAGGCGCGGAGCGGCCACGCGTTCGCGAGCGCGGACGTGCTCGTGCCCTTCCACCTGCGCAAGCACGGCGCCTACTGGGACGCGGCGACGGCGCGGCCCGCGCCGGCCCACGCCGTCGACGACGCGGCGAAGAACGCGACGGTGCTCCAGCGCTACTGCCACGTCTACGCGGAGGGCGAGCTCGCGGCGCTCGTCGCGGCGCACGCGCGCGTCGACGACGCCTACTACGACGAGGGCAACTGGGCCGTCGCGTGCACTAAGGTCTAGGGGGCGCGCCGTCTCCGGCGGGAGCGGCGCCAGGAGCGGCGGTCGTCGCCGCGTTCCCAGCGGGACGAGCCGACGCCGTCGACCTCGCAGCGCGCGAGCTGGAACAGGCTCGACGACGTACCGCGGAGCGTGCGGACGCGGCAGTCGACGAGGAGCACGTCGCTCCCGTGCGCGCGGATCGCGCCCTCGACGACGACGCCCTCGAGCTCGAGGGACGCGTCGGCGACGTAGAGCGCCCGCGACGACGACGACGCGAGCACGGCGCCGGACGGGCGGCTGAAGAGGCGCAGGTGCTTGCCCATGATGCGCCCGCACGCGAAGTCGTCGCTCGCGTAGCGCACAAAACCGTCGAGCGCGATCCAGTCGCCGCTCCGCGCGCGCTCGCAGCAGCGCCGCAGCGCCGCCGCGTCCGCCGGTGCCCAGCACCGCGGCTCGTGCTCCTCGAGCTGCGCCAGCGCGTCCGCCGGTGCCCAGCACCGCGGCTCGTGCTCCTCGAGCTGCGCCAGCGCGTCGTTGGGTACCCATTCGTTGGATGCTACATCACCGGCGAGCGCGTCGAGCCGTCGTCTGGCGCCGTCGTCGACGAGCCGGTGGATGGCCTTGGAACCAACTGCTTGTATCGCCGCGAGGTCGCGGCCCGACGCGAACTCGAGAATTGCTGCGATTGCGTCCTCGGGCATGATTGCGAGGTTCGACGACAGGTACGCGTCGCACATAATTTCCTTCCGAGCGCACGTCCGAGCGCGCTTCAAATATCGGTTCAACTCCATCGTGTTACCCGAGAAGTTACGCCGGCCTCCCGGGCTTCGCGAGCACGCCGCTCAGTCCTTCTTCTTCGGGTTGCCCGCCTTGGGCTTGCGCGCGACGGCCTTGTCGTCGTCGGCGGCCTTGTCGCCGCCGAGGAGGTCCGCGAGCGGGTTCGGCGGCGCCTTGAAGGGCCGCTCGAGCTTGCCCTCGGGCTTCTTGCCGAGGAGGTGGATCTGGACGAGGGGGTCGTCGAGCAGGTTCATGGGCTGCATGATGCACTGGAAGAGGAGGGGCATGGGGCTGCCCCACTTGTAGTGCATCGCGCTCACCATGCACACGCTCACGAGGCCGCTCTTGACCTTCTTGAGGGCCTCGGCCTGGTCGTAGTTGCAGATGGTCCAGGTCTTGGTCTCCTTCTCGCCGGGCTTCATGGGGTTCGTCGTCGTCACCGTGATCTCCGTCGCGTCCGCCTTGCCCGCGGCGATCGACTTGACGAGGAAGTGGACGCCGAGCGTCAGAGCGCACGCGCAGCCGAAGCCGATGCGCAGCTGCTCGACGTAGGGCGCGAAGTCGAGCTTGAGGAACTTGACGGCCATCATGAGGCACGGCACGACGAGCATCTTCGGCGAGAGCTCCGGCGCCGGCGGCGCGTCTCCGGCCATCGTGGTCGAGCGCGCGCGACCTGCGCGCGCGGGTCAGCGGCGGCATCGGCGCGGCGCGCGCGCAAATGAGCGACGGCGTCGGCGCGCGCGCGCGGCGGTGCAGGCGCGCGCGCGCGGCTGGCGCGCGGCGCCCGCGGGCGGCTCTCGCGCTGTGGAGGCTGCGGAGCCGCGCCGGCGCCGCCGCTGAAGGCTGCGCGGCGACCGCGACGGTTCCGGTCGCTCTCTGCGCTGCGGAGCCGTGCAGGCGCCGGCGCGAGGCTGTCTGCGGACGCTGGCGCGCACTGTGGCGAGGGACGAGGGCGTCGACGCGGACTTTTGCGATGCGGCACCGCTGCGGCACGATCGGCCGAGAGCTCGCCGCCGCCCTCCACTTGTGCCCCCAACGCTTGCCGTGCAGCTCGCGCGCCTCTCGGACCGCCCCGGGCCTCCAGCGCGCCGCCGGGTCCGGCGCTCGGGACGCGGGCGCAGCGGAACGACGCCCGCGCAATTCATAGGCGGTCGCTTCGGCCACCATGACGGACACGAAGATCCCCAGCGAGCTCGTTATTTCTCAAAAGTGGGACAAGCTCCTCGAGCGCGTCGCCATCAACGCCGGCACCGGTTTCGTCATCGGGCTCTGCGCGTCCTTCGTCTTCACCCGCGGCTACGCGCGCGCGGCCGGCGCCCGCTCGCCGTCGTCGCGCGCGCTTCGAACGCTCGCTCTTTCCCCTCTTCTGAAGCCTCGAAACGCGCGCAGGTACCGACTGGCCATGTCGACCTTCGGCGCGGGCACGGGCGTCGGCATGGCGTACGAGAAGTCGTCGGCGGAGTTCAGCCAGCGCTAGGCGGCCGTTCGTAACCGGCGACTCGCCGTCGATCTCTGTATACACGTGGACGGGGGCGCTCGATACCCGGGGCTTCGGGTTGGGTAGCGCGCGGGGGGGTCCTATCGTCGCTTGGCGCGCTCGAGGATGCGGCCGCAGTCCGCCGCGTCGAGGCCCTCCTTGGCCACGCGGAACGTGTCGCACGTGCCGCGGCGGTCGGCCTCGCCGATGTTCTTCGCCGAGTCGTCGACGAAGAGGACGACGTTGGGGTGCCACTCGTTGTGCTGCATGAGCTCCTCGATGAGGGCCGCCTTGACGTACTTGCAGCGCTGGAACGCCGGCGTGTCCTGGCCGATGACGCGGCCCTCGCCGAAGTAGCCGTTCAGCCCGACGACGCCGAGGTGGTGGCGGATGGCCGTCGCGAAGCCCAGGCTCAGCACGTAGAGCTCCAGGCCGTCGTCGCGGAGCCGGTCGAGCATGGCCTTGAGCGTCGCGACGCGCTCGGCGCCGCCCAAATTCGCCCAGACCTCCGCGTCCGTCATGGACTGGCAGAGCATGGGCTTGTCGGCGATGGCCCACTTGCCGAAGCGCTCGAGGAACTGGGGCGTCGACAGCGTGCTGTCGAAGTCGAAGATGACGCACTTGAGCCTCTCCGGCGCGACGACGCGCCGCGGCGCCGAGGCGCCGCGCGGCGCCGCGGGCGTCGACGCCGCGGCCGCGGCCCCGGGCGGGTCCCGCGGCGACGCGGCGCGCAGGGCGTCCAGCGGCGGCGTCGCGCCCGCCGCCTCGGCGTCGGGGGTCACGAGCGCCGCCATGACCCGGGCCGGCTGGCGGACCTCGTACTGGATGGCCAGCCGCTCCAGCTTTCCCACGGGGCCGCGCGGCCGGTAGGCGCCGCGCGGCGGTCGGGCGGTAGTGCGGTAGTGCGGGAGCTACGGCGGCGGCGGCGCGAGCGGCGCCGCGCGGCGTTCCTCCCGAGGCGACGTTTTTACAAGAGGAGATTAATCTCGTTGCGCCCAGGCATCGATGGTTGGATTTGTTGAACGAAAGATCAGCCCCTGGGGTTCCATCCACGATGGGCAGCCCATCCCTGATGCGTCCGGTGCCCGCGCGTCGATGAACACGCCGCCGCCGCCGCCGTCGCCCGCCGGCAGCGCCGCGGCGCGCGCCGAGGGCCGGCGGCGCGCCGCCGGCGCCTTCGAGGACACGGCGCCCCCCGACGACTTCGTCGAGCCCGACGACGAGGCCGTCGTGCCGGAGAACTGCTACGAGGGCTACGCGAGCGACCGCCTCAACGGCTGGCTCAACGACGCCTGCGTCGGCGGCGGGCCGACGCCCTACCCCGGCGTCAAGGAGGGCCCGCGGCGGCCGTGCGATTTGGGCCTCGTCCGCGAGCTCGTGTCCCGCGGCGCGTCGCCAGGGCAGGAAAAGAGTGATTCAAGTTCGCTTCAATATCAGTGTTTCGTGCGCAGCCGTTTCGGGAAAAACATCCACGCTTCGAGAGCGCTCCGAGAGATGATCGCTCGTCCAAAAATTAGCCGAAACGAGTGGAAACTGACCGAGATATCAGTCTCCAAAGTTGGGAATTTCGCACTCTTTTCCTGCCAGGCGCGTCGCCGCGCCTGACGGGCGCGCTCCACACGGCGGCGGCCAACGACCAGGCGGCCTGCTGCGAGCTGCTCCTGGAGCTCGCGGCGGGCGAGGCGGTCCACGGCGCGCGCGTCGACGACGTCGACGACAGCGGGTCGACGGCGCTCCACGTCTGCGCCGTCGTCAAGGCCGTCGCCGCCATGGAGGTGCTGCTGAGCCACGGCGCGAACACGGACGCGCTCAACGACCTCGCGCAGACGCCGCGCATGGCCGCGATCCGCGAGCGCGAGCTGACGGACGAGTGGTGCGCGGCGCTCGACGTCACGCTGCCCGACGACCTCGTCCGCAAGAACGAGGTCGACTACCCGAAGATCCTGGCGCTCCTCCCCGACGTGCCGCCGCCGACGCCGCCGCCCGTGAAGCTCCCGCCGGCCGCGTCCGCGCCGAAGGACGGCAAGCCGTCCCAGTTCTGGTGGCTCAACAAGGACGAGCACGGCCGCATCACGACGCCCATGCCGCCGGACGAGGAGTCCCCCGACACCTACGACGACGCGTCCTGGTTCGGCGGCGCCGAACGGCCGCCGATCCCCCGCGCGCCCGCCGTGCCGCCGTCCGAGGCCGCGCGCAAGGTCGCCGCGCGCGGCAAGGCCGCGCGCGAGGCGAAGCGCGGGCGGGCCGAGGCGAAGCGCGAGCGGCAAGAGGACGAGTCCAAGGCGGCGCCGCGGGACGACGCGAAGCGCGATGCGAAAGCGGGCACGTAAACTTGGTTTGTTGAAGTTTTGAAAGCGTCGTGCGATGGGCGGCTAGCTGCTTTTGGGCAGCCTCGTGGCTCGCGCACAGCCTTGCGCAGCTCGCGGGCAGCCCTGCGCATCGCCCGCGGGCAGAAAAGCTCGCGCACAGCCTTAGGCAGCTCGCGGGCAGCCTCGCGCTCCGCAGCTCGATCTTCGTAATCTCTCGGACAGTCTTGCGCAGCTCGCGGGCAGCCGCGCGTGTCATGCGGCGCCGCCTGCTCCTGGTCGCGTGGGCGTCGACCCTGCGCTGCGAGCCCGAGCACCCGCTGGCCCACGTGCGGTGCACGCGCGCGGGCCGGCCGGCGCCGTGCCTCGACGTCGCGACGTGCCCCGCGGGCGCGTCCGAGCGCGCGGCCGTCGTCGTCTTCTTCGACTGCCACGGCCCGCTCCACAGGACGCCGCGCCTGGAGACGACGGTGCGCGTCAACGGCGAGGCGGCGCGCCGGGACGGCTTCGACTACGTCTGGGCCGTGCCGCCCGCGGCGGACCGCGAGAACGACTTCCCGGAGTGGCTCCACAAGGACTACGGCGTCGAGATCATCGAGTTCCCGCTGCCGTGGATCGTGCCGCCGAACCTGAGCGCCGGCGTCCCCGTCGAATCGGGAGGCTGCTGCGGCGCGCGCGAGTTCGCGAAGCTGCAGTTCCTCGCGCTGGACCGCTACGACGCCGTCGTCGTCCTCGACGCGGACGTGAGGCTGTCCGAGACGGCGGCGCGAGATCCGCCGCGCGGCGTCTTCGACTGCGCGGCCTCCGGCACGCTGCTCACGACGCGCGGCTCGCGCTCGGGCGTCAACGGCGGCTTCGTCGCCGCGCGGCCGGACGCGGCGCGCCTCGCGGCCATGCTCGCCGCGCTGTCCGCGGCGACGGTCGACGAGGCGTCGGGCTGGGACGGCCGCGGCTTCGGCCCGTTCCGTCGCGTCGACCACCCGAAGTTCGACGCGCGCGTCCAGGGCTTCCTCTACCACTTCCTCTACGCCGACGCGGAGCCGCCCTTCCCCGCGGAGCAGGTCGACGCGTGCGTCTTCAACGCGCAGCACAACCTCGCGCACCTCTGCGCCTACGAGCTCTGCACGGACGCCGTCCGCCTCTCCCACGGCGCCGCGAAGCCCGAGGCGCGCCACTGCCAGGCCGCCGTCCAGAGGCGCCGGCGCAACGCGACACACGCCGGGATGATGAGACGCGCTTAGACGAGGAGGAACGCGACGGCCATCGCCGAGTAGAAGAGCTTCGGCGCGTCGCGGGACCGGTAGGCGACGTACTCCGCGGCCGTCTCGACGATGGCGCGCACCTCGCGGACGATCCTCTGGCGCCGCACCTCGGCCTTGCGCCTCATGCGGCGGTCGTAGTCGCGCCGCTTGGCCTCGTCGCCGAGCGTCTCGTGCGCCTCGCGGAGCGCGTCGAACGCGAGCTGCGCGTCCGGGCTCGGGTTCTTGTCCGGGTGGACGAGGAGCGCCTTCTGGCGGTACTTCTGCTTGACGGCCGCGGCCGGCGCCGACCGCCGGAGCCCCAGGACCGCGTAGTGGCCCCGGTCCGCCAATTTCCGCACGCGGTCGACCTCGTCGTCGCAGCGGCGCCGCTCCCAGGGGCTCAGCTCGCCCCAGGCCTGGGCGCGCCGCGCCTCGTAGGCCGGGTCGTTCTTCCGCCGCGCCTTCTGGGCCTCGAGCGCCGCGGCCTCGGCGGCGGCGTCGGCCTGGCCCCGGGCCAGCAGGTCCTCCAGGCGCGCCATCGTGTCGCCCTCGGCGATGGGCGGCGCGCCGGGCTTCCGCTCCGGCGCGCGGCGGTCCGCCGTCGCCGGCGGCAGGTCGCTGCGCCGCTCGTGGCGGATCTCTTCCGTCTGTGTTCGGAAGTTGGCGTTCGCGCGCGACGCGGTCGCCGGCCGCTTCGGCGCGTCCGCCGCGGGCTCGGGCTCGGGCGCGGCCGCGGCCGCGGCGGCGGCGTCGGCGCGCTCCGCCTCCGCGACGGCGGCCTTCGCCGTCTCCGCGTCGCGCGCCGCCTCGGCGTCGGCCCGCGCCTGCGCGGCGGCCGCGGCCTCCTGCTCGCGAATCATCTCCGCTAAAACCGCGTCGTCCTCGCCCGACGCGTCGTAGTCGTCGGGCGGCGCCATGGCCTCGCTGAGCGCGGCGCGCCGCGCCTCGAAGGCCGCCGCGGCCTCGCCCGCGGCGTCGACCTCCTCGGCGTCGGGCTCCGGCGCCGCCGCGGCGGCGACGATGAACTCGCCGCCGAGCGTGTTGGAGCTCGCCATGGGCTCCGGCTCCTCCGGCGGCGGCGCGGTGTCGCCGCTGGCGACGGCGACCAGGAGCGCGGCGGCGAGCCGCAGCAGCCGGCGCATCGTCGCGCGCGTCGACGACGACGACGACGCTCTTGCGCGGACCTCAGCTCGTTCAAGCTCGTCGATCGGCGAGCGTCATGTTAACGCGAAGTTGCAGCCGAGCACGTATCGCGTCGGCCTTGGACTTGGCCTTGGCCACTCACGTGAGTTGGCACGGGCCGGCTCCGGCAAGCAGGGAGCGCTTCGGCCCAACCCCGCTACTTCTTCATCTTAGGCGTGATCCCGAGGGCGACCATGGAGGTGATGGCATCCTCGAGGGACGTCTTCAGGGGGATGAAGCCCGCGTCGAGGACGTGGGTCTTCGCGAGCGTGTTCGAGAAGTGGATCGGCGTCGTCATGAGGAGGCGCTGGAATTCCGTCATGGCGTACTTGCCGACGACGGGCAGGTGGCTCGCGGCCATGGCCAGGCTCAGCTTCCAGGGCGGGAGCAGCGGCACGGAGCGGAGGTCGTAGTCCGGGAACGAGGCCGCCGCCGCGGCGCCGAGGCCCAGGATGTTCATGCACGGGTGGTCGTTGACGAGCACGAAGCGCATGCCGTCGAGCTCCTCCGCCTTCTCGAGCGCCGTCGCGTGGGCCGCCGCGACGTCGCGGACGTCGACGAAGTTCGCGCCCTCGCTGTTGGGCACGGCGTTGCCGTAGATGAGGTCGCGGACGAAGAGGGGAGAGGCCTTCGTGTGCGCCTTCGTCATCACGGGCCCGACGACGATGCCCGGGTTCAGCGCCACGAACTTGCGCGATTGATCCCCCTCGGCGAAGTGGGCCCGCGCGATGATCTCGCCCCGCGTCTTGCCGTAGCCGTACGCGTCGCCGTTCTCGATCGTCGACCAGTCGTTAAAGTCCGCCTCGCTGAAGACGTGGCCCGCGCCCTTGTCGTAGCGCTGGATGGCCGCGATGGACGACGTGTGGATGAAGCGCTGGACCGTGGGCGCCCTGTCGACGCTGCGGAGCACGTTCCTGACGCCGTCGATCGACGCGTCGGCGATGGCCGCGTCCGCGCCGACGACGACGGTCGCGGCCGTGTGGACGACGGCGTCGGCGCCGGCGAAGGCCTCGTCGAAGGACCCGTCGACGGACAAGTCGCCGCCGTCGATCAACGTGACGCGGTCGCCGCCGGGCAGCGCGAGCAGGTGCGCCGCCTTGGCCGGGTTCGCGTCGCAGCCGCGCACGGCGGCGCGCACGCTGTGGCCGCGCGCGAGCAGCTCCGCGACGACGTAGGAGCCGATGTAGCCGCTGGCGCCCGTGACGGCGACCGTCGAGAGGCCGCGGTGCGTTGCTGCTGCTCGGCGAGCCACGAGCATCATCTGGCTTTGCCCGGCTCGGCGACTCACTATCGCAAGCGCCATCACTTGTGGGCAATGAGAGCACAGGATGTTGAACGCACGGAGCAGCCCACGAATTGGCGGCCGTCAGCATGGGGCGGCCCGCGCGCAGCGGGCTGGCCGTCGCGGCGCTGGGCCTGCTCGCCCTGGGCTTCGTCGCCCGCCCGCGGGCTGCGCTCCTCGCGCTCGCGGAGCGCCTGGCCTTCGGCGACGCGGCCGCGGCGAGCATCGTCGCGACGAACAAATACAGCGCCGCGCACGGCCACGCCGGCGCGGACTACCCCTGGCTCGAGACGGGCAAGCTCGTCGAGCCCCACGTCGCGACGACGCTGACCTTCGAGGGCGTGACGGCGGCCTACGACGCGTCGCGGACGTCGTGGCGCGTCGACGCGCGCGCAACGAGCGGCGCCGGCGTCGTCTCCGCGGCGGCGTCGCCCGTCTCCGCGACGGCGCTCTTCACGGCCGTCGGCACCTACGACGTCACGTCGGTCCTCGCGCTGGCGACCGGCGGCGAGCTGGCGCTCGGCGACGCGGTGACGTGCCGCTACGTGCGACGCGAAATCCGGACCCTGGACCGCGCGGACCGGACCGCGTTCTTCGCCGCCGTCGAGGTGCTGGTCAAGACGCGCGACGGCCCGGGCCGGGCGACCTACGGCGACGAGTGGCGCGGCATGGACCACTACGTCGCGCTGCATCTGGCGAACGCCGTGCCCAACATGCGCGAGGACCACTTCCACGACGGCATGGGCTTCGTGAGCCAGCACGTGGCCATCACGGCGGACTTCGAGCTGGGTCTGCAGGTCGTGAACCCGGCCGTGAGCGTGCCCTACTGGGACTACACGCTCGACTGGACCCTCGCGAACGGCACGGACGCGGACCACCCGGAGCGCGCGCTCTGGGACCTGGAGCTCTGGTCCGACGCCTTCTTCGGCAACGCCTCGGGGAGCGCGCTCCACACCGTGGAGACGGGCCGCTGGGCCTTCACGAAGGTGGCGAGCGTCGGCGACGTCGTCGACGCGAACTATCCCGGGACGTGGGCGAAGAACCCCTTCGGCGTGCTCCGCGCGCCCTGGAACCTGAACCCGTCGCCCTACGTGACGCGCTACCACAAGCAGTGCGACCACCGCATCGAGGCGTCGAACTGGCCCACCTGCGAGACGCACCGGGGGCTCGTCTACGACACGGAGACGCTCGCGGATTTCGTGCCGTACGCGGCGTACACGGCCCACGCGGGCGTCCACCTCATGATCGGCGGCTCCGCGGGCTGCGAGTCCTGGGCGGAGCTCGAGGGCCTCGTGGGCGCGGACAACGTCAAGTCCTTCTACTTCCAGTCGTCGTTCCTGTTGCGGAACGTCTACCGCTTCGGCCTCTGCGCGCCGCCGGAGTCCTGCGCCTTCGACGCCGCGGACAACTGCACGCTCCAGTGCCGGGGCTGCGACGACCCGGCGGCGATGTCGTCCTGGCAGCTGAGCCAGTACGAGCAGTGGTTCCCGGACGTGGAACGCAGGGCAGGACAAGAGAGCGAAATTCCCAACTTCAAAGGCTCATATCTCGGCCGTTTCCCACTCGTTTCGGCTGATTTTTGGACGAGCGATCATCTCTTGGAACGGTCTCGAAGCGTGGGTGCTTTTTTCGGGACGCGCGCGCGCGGAACACTCACGTTGAAGCGACGTTGAATCACCCTTGTCCTGCCCAGGTCGAACGCGACCCGTTCATGCGGGAAGCCGTCGTGCGGAAGCTCGTCTGCGGCGCGTCCTGGCGCGTCGGCGACCACGTCGAGGCGTCGTCGCCCGCGGACGTGTCCTTCTGGCCCGCGCACCCGACGATCGAGCGCCTCCTCCAGTACAAGTTCCTCGCCGCGCCGTTCGCCGATTTGAGCTGGAACGCGACGGGCAACGCCTACGGCTGGAACGACCTCTGCAAGTGGGGCGCCGACTTCGACCAGGCCGTCAACTGCGCGGGCCACCGCGCCGACGACCTCACGGCCTTCTTCGTGAAGACCCAGGACGGCAACGGCACCTACGCGAAGGCGCGGCTCTCGAACGAGGAGATCCTCAACCGCGAGACGCAGGCCGGCACGGAGAAGCTCTCCTACGTCTACGACAACTTCAACTGGGCCCACTGCGATAACTTCGACTAGATTCGTGGTTTGTTTTGCGGGCGGCGACGCCGGGCGCATCTTGCGGCCGCCGTCCGACGTTCGAGCGGCCACCGCACCGTGGTTGCAGTCAAAGCGATTGAGCTCTCGACGAGCTCGAGCGTGATGGCTAGCTGAAGCGCTCTTCCCTGTCTCTTGCGCGCGTCATATGACCGGAGCCATGCGGCGCCGCCTGGTCGCGGCGCTCCTGAGCCCGCTGCTCGCACGATCCCTCGTCTGCCCGCGGCGACGCCAAACGCGCCTCCCGCCGCCCGGTGCGTCGGCCACGGACATGCCCGAGCCCTGCAACGTCGTGCTCACGACGACGAACGCGGACTTCGACAGCCTCGCGGCGGCCTGCGCCCTCGCGTCCCTCTGGGGCCACGACGAGCGCAAGTCGTCCGTGCCGACGCACGTCGTGCTGCCGCGGGGCGCTTTACCGGTCGTGCAGCGGTTCCTCGCGTACCACAAGCACGTGCTGCCCCTGCGCGGCTTCAAGACCATCGACGGGGCCGACATCGAGGCTTTGGGAGTTGTCGACGCGAGCTCGGCGGCGCGTTTAGGGCGGTCGAAGCAGTGGCTGAAGGTCGCGGAGACGGTGCACGTCTACGATCATCATATGCAAGGCGACTCGAGCAAACCGCGCGAGGAGGACGATTTGGGCGCGGCGGCGACGGAGCTCGTGGTGGAGCCCGTCGGGTCGACGACGACGTTGATTGTGGAGCGGCTGCGGTCCGCGGGCGTGCGGCCGTCCGTGCCCGAGGCGACGCTGTACGAGGCAGGGCAGGGAAAGAGTGATTCAAGGCTTCAACACGAGTGTTCCGCGCGCGCGCGTTCCGGAAAAAGCATCCAGGCGTCGAAAGCGCTCCGAGAGATGATCGCTCGTCCAAAAATTAGCCGAAACGAGTGGAAAACGGCCGAGATATGAGCCTTTGAAGTTGGGAATTTCGCACCCTTTTGCTGCCCAGGTACGTGCTCGGGATCCGCGCGGACACGGGCGGCCTGACCTACGAGTCGACGACGGCGCGCGACGCCGCGGCGCTGACCTGGCTGCTGCGATGCGGCGCGTCCCAGGCGGCCATCGCCGAGTTCGGCGTCGAACGGATCTCCGAGACGCAGCGGGAGATCCTGTCGACGGCGCTCAAGGACGTGCGGACGGAAACCTACCGGGGCGTGTCCATCGCGCGCGTCGTCTGCCGCACGCCCGACTACGTGCCCGGCTTGGCCGCCGTCGTCGAGGAGCTGCTGGAGCTCACGGCCGCGGACGTCATGCTCATGGCGGCGGAGCACGGCAACGGCGTCGATTTGATCGGCCGCGCGCGACCGTCCGCGGTCTCCGTCGACCTGCGGGACGTCATGTCCTCCTTCGGCGGCGGCGGCCACGCGCGGGCGGCGGCGGCGGCCGTGCCCCTCGACGCCGTGCGGTCGCTGGACGAGGGCGCGCAGGCGACGCTCGACGCGTGCGCGGCGCTCGCGCGCGACATGGTGCCGCCCGAGCTCACGGCCCAGGTCATCATGACCAAGGACGTCGTCACCATCAGCGCCAACGCGACCGTCGCCGACGCCCACGGCACCATGAAGGCGTCGGGGCTCAAGTCCTTGCCCGTCGTCGACGGCAACGACGACCTCCGGGGCACGCTCAAGCTCAACGACGTCATCCGCGCCGAGAAGAAGGGCAACGCGGCGCAGAAGGTCCGGGGCATCATGCGCACGCAGGTCGCGTCCGTCGGGCCGGAGACGACCGTCGGCGAGCTCGAGACGATCCTCGTCACGACCGTCGGCCGCGTGCCCGTGATCACCGACTCGGGCCGGCTCCTCGGCATCGTCACGCGCACGGACCTCCTCCGCCTCCGCAACTACTACTCCACGCTCCCGGGGCCCTCGGCGTCGAGGTGATAACAGGGTAGATGCATCGACTCGGGAGGGGAGCTTGAGGTTCAAGCTGCACGGCAAGGTTGTAGAGCAGGATGGCTGCCGGGCAGCCTCGATGATGCGATGCTGACGCGCCGCTTTGCGCGTGCGCTCCTGCTCGCGTCGGTGGCCGCCGCAACTTGCGACGATAGCAAACGCAATCATACGGTCGTCATTCTCTTCGTGGGCGCCAACCAAGATGATCCCACGTTCCAGCTGCTGCGCTGCGCGGCCGTGCGGTCCGCCGTGCGCGTCGCGCGGCGGCGGCTGCCGAAATTCGCCGTCCGCACGCTCTTCGTCTCGCACGACCGGAACCGGACCGTTCCCGGCGCGCGTTTCGACGCCGTACTCGACGCGCCGCGGGCGCTCGACGTCGCGACCGTCGCCGTCGCGCGCTACGAGCACGTGCGCGCCATGCTCGACGCCGTGTCCCTCGGCGCGGCCTACGCCGCCGACGACATGTGCGCGGGTTGGGTGTGGCGCGTCCGCCTCGAGATGCTCGTCGGCGCGTTCGATCTGCCCGACGACCCGGACGCGGCGGTCTGCTACGGCTACAGAAACCAGTTCGCCGGCAAAATGGTGTCGGAAAACCTGCTCTTCGGCACCGCGGCGACCGTGCGCCGCATGTTCGCGCCTCACGACTGGGATCCGGCCGCGCCGCCGGACCCGACGATCCTCGAGCGGCTCCGACCATCACCCGATTTCAAGAACGGGCCCGAGGCGCTCATGGAGGCGAGGGTCGGCTCGGGCGTTTGTGATTTTGCCGGCGTGCCGTACTCCCTGTTCCTCGCGCACGACGTCTCGCCCGTGCGGCGCTGGTGGGGCAGCGGCGCGCGCGGCGACTGGGACCACAGCCGCACGTCGGTGCTGGACCACGCCGAGCTCCGGCCGGACCTCGCGTCCTGCGGGCGCGACAACCCGAAAGCGAACTGGTCCGCCCTAGAGCTAAGGCGCCCCTAGTCCTCGTCGTTCCCCGCGATGGCGTCCTCGGCCTGCTCCGTGAGCTCGGCGATGACCTCGGCCTCCTGGACGGCGGTCTTGGCGACGGCCGCGACCTCGGCGACGACGGTGGCCTCGGAGATGGCCGCGCGGATCAGGCGCCGGTTGCGGAAGGCGAAGCGGATCAGCGCGCCGAGCAGCTTCCGGATGATCTTGCCCGGCCGGATCAGCTTGTGCTTCTTCGGGGGCTTGGGCAGGTGGTGGAGCACGAAGCGGAGCGGGTGGTCGAGGCCCGCCGCGTGCGTCAGGAAGGCTGCGAGCTTCGCGCTCGCGAACGACAGCAGCGGCGGCGAGACGGACAACGCGTCGACGACGAACCACCAGCTCGCGAGGTAGGCCCACGCGAGGGGCTTGAGGTTGCCCTTGACGCGCTTGCCGCTGACGAGGTGCACGACGATGTCCGCACAGAGGAAGAACCAGACCAGGTCGGCGAGGTACAGGGACCAGGCCGCGAGGTCGTCGTCGATCAACCGCTCGGGGACGCCGAGTCGCTTCCGGAAGAGGCGCCGCTTCGTCACGAACTTGCAGCTGACGCCCTCGACGAGCTTCGGCGGGGGCTTCGCGAGGCAGGCGGCCGTGACGCGCTTCGCGTGCGCGGCGTCGAAGTGGACGTAGAGGTCCGTGCCCGTCTGGGCCTACGGCACGCGACTGTTTTTTTCGAGCGCGCGAACTAAAAATGGTCTTCGGTGGACGGACGCCGGTGCCCGCCAGGAGCAGCAGCACGCCGAGGCCCCGCCAGAAGCGGCAGACGAAGCTGTGGTGCGACACGATGGCTGGAAGCGTCATGCTGCCCGATCCTGTTGTACAGTGCAAGTTGCGAGGGCAACGAGCCGATACATCCGCAAAGCTGCCCAGAGAGACGCACACCCATCTCCTTCGGAGCGGAGGGCAACCTAGTTTGTCTCCGACGTTCTCTTCCCCGGCGACGGACCGTGGCACGGACATGGGCGGGGCGCCGTCGCGCATCCTGGAGAAGCTGTGGCTCGGGGGCGCGGACGTGCTCGACGACTTCGAGGCCTTCGCCCGGGAGAAGGGCATCGACGCCGTCGTGAGCCTCGGCGAGGAGACGGTGCGCGCGGGCATCCCCAAGCTCCACCTCGACGAGCAGGACACGCCGGAGACGGACCTGCGGCGCCACTTCAACGCCATCGTCAACTTCATCCACGACCACCGCTGCCGGGGCCTCGGGGTCTACGTCCACTGCCACGCGGGCGTCTCGAGATCCGGCGCGGCCGCCGCCGCGTACCTCGTCGCGTGGCTCGACCTCGGCGTGCGCGACGCCCTGGGCCACCTCATGCGCTGCCGCGACACGGTGCTGCCGAACCCGGGCTTCCGGGACCAGCTGTTGGATTTCGCGGACGACCCCGCGACGGGTTCCTTGAGGGACCAGCTCCGGCGGACGCGGGGCCCGCTCCTCGCCGAGGACCTGACGGACGTGGCCCGCGAGCTCGAGGCGTCGCGGGACCGCGTCGAGACGACGCGGAAAAGCGAGTGGCTCTACGAGTTCTCGGGGAAGCCCGTGCCCGAGGACGCCGAGATCGAGCGCGACGACTACGGGCTTTTTGTGAGGGAGGACGGCAGCCGCTGCTCCGTGGCGCGGGCCGGCGCGTTTTTGGCGGAAGCGGAGCACGACTGGTCGCGGAGCGACGCGGCGCCCCTGGACGTGCTCGACTACGAGGGCCAGATCTCGCGGCTGCAGGCGAAGCTCGCGCCGGCGCTCCGGAGCAAGCGGCCGACGCCCAAGAGCGGCCTCGGCTGGCTCGCGCGGCCCGAGGAGAAGGAGGCCTGGGCCGAGCCCGGCGACGCCGGCGGCGACGCGCGCCGCGGCGACGACGCCAAGGGCTGGGCGTCGGACGCGGCCGCGGACTGCGTCCGGTCCCAGGTGCTCGACGAGGTCGCGCCGGGGGGCCGCGAGGCGAGCCGCGGCGGCGGCGAGGCCGGCGACGCCATCGACGACGACGACCGCCTGCCCGGGGAGTGCCTCGGGGGCTGCGGCTTCTTCCCCGCGCGCGGCCAGCGCTTCTGCCTCCACTGCAAGGCCCTCCGCCTCGCGGGGTCCTTCGACGACGACGACTTCGACGAGACCGACGCCGAGGAGGAGTGAGGGGGCGGGGGGTCTTCTAATGTGTGTCTGCTGGTGTTGCGAAAGCGGGACCCCCGGCGAGCTTCGCGAGGCAGTCAAGGGCGCGCTTTTATCGAGAGCATGGAGCCTCTCCGATGATGAGGGGCCTCGATGGTGGTGAGCCGCCGATGAGCACGCGTTCGCAGTTGCTCGCCCAGCTCGCAGCGCGCGACCCGCGGAAACGGCGGCGCGCCGCGCCGGCGCCGACGCCCGACGATTCCGACGACGAAGTCGTGCTCCTGGGCTCGCAGACCGAGGCGGAGCGGACGCTCGCGCGCAAGGCCGAGGCTGAACGCTCGGGCGCCGTCGTCGACCTCGTGCAGAAGAAGAAAAAGAAGAAGAAGAAGGCCTTCGACGACCCGCTCGCGGCCGCGCTCGCGGCCCCGCCGCGGCCGAGGCCGCGCGCGCCGGCGCCGGCGCCGGACGCGGACACAGACGCGGACGCGGAGCTGGCGGCCGCGCTGCGGACGGCGCCCGCCGCGATCACCGCCGCCTTCGCGGACGACGTCGTCGACCTGACGAGCGAGCCCGACGCGCCGGCGCCGGCGCCAGCGCCCGCGCCGCGTCCGGCCGAGCGGCGGCCGCGGACGACGACGACGCCCGCGCGCGAGCGCGCGATCGCCGAGATGCGGGCGCGCGACGAGGAGCAGGCGCGCGTCGCGGCCGAGCGCCAGGCCAAGCGCGACGCAGAGCTCGCGCGCGTCGCGGCCGAGCGCCGGGCGGAGGAGGCGCGCCTCGCCTCGGAGCGCGAGGCGAAGGAAGCGGAGGTGAAGGCGAGGCGAGCCGCGGCGAGAAAGGCGCAGAGACAGGCCGAGGCACCCCGAAGGCTCAAGGAGCGCATGGCGAAGCTCGCGGCGAAGGCGATGGGGTTTCGCTTTGCGTCGAAGGAGGAGGAGGAGACCGCGGCCTTGAAATTGGAGTTTTTCAATGCAGTATCTGCAGCGGAAAGCGCCGAACTCCTTGTCCTCAGACTCAAGCGCGACGGGACGGTGCCGCTTGGGCACTTGGGACACAACTGGAAGAAGACTATGGATTCGACCGGGATCAAAAATTTCCTCTCAACGCATTCGACTATTTTTATCGTCAAGGGAAAAGGAGGCGGAACCGTCGTCAGCCTCGCGCCACGCCACGAGGCTTCTTTACAGCGTCTCCGGGACGAGTCGCGTCCGACAGCTCATGGCCGCTTTCTGGTCCACGAAGCTCGCGCGGAGTACGCGCCGGCCGATCTTCGGCGCGGCCGGAGCCCCGCGCCGCGCCGGAGCCCTGAGCGCCACGCGCCGGTCCCGGCCTCCGCGCACGCGCCCGCGCCCGGCGGCAGCGGTTTCTCGCCGCCGGGCGGCTGGCGCATCCCCGCGCCCGCGCCGCTGCCGCGCCCCGGCGCCGCGCGCGCGCCGCCGCCGCCTGCCTCCCCGCTCGCGCCGCTGCCGCATCCCTGGACGGCGCACCGCGACCCGTCGAGCGGCCGCTTCTACTACGAGAGCGCGGTGACGGGCGCAACGCAGTGGCATTCGCCCGCGGCCCCGGCGATCATCACGCGCGGGCAGACCACTCCTGCCCGGACGGGCCTCCCGGCGGTCCTCGCCGCCGCCGCGGCCGACGCCGCGGCGCGCGCGCGCGGGCCGCCGCGGTCGACCCCCGAGGCGCGGCTCCCCCGGTGCCGCGTCGTCCTCGACCTCGACCAGACGCTCATCCACATGATGCGAGGGAGCGAGATGCCCGCGACGGCCTCGGAGATTGCCGAGGCCCTCGTCTACATGGGCCCACACGCGATCGCCGTCCGGCCCGGCGCGGGAGCGTTGATCGACGGGCTGCTGGCGACGGGCGTCGTCGACGTGAGCGTGACGACGCTCAACCTCGAGGGCGCCGAGGCCGTGCGGGCCGTCGGCCGGTCGACGGCGCCCTACGCGCGGAGCTGGGCGGGTTTGGACGTGACGGTGGTTTCCGGGGAGGAGCGGACGCGGCGGGGCGGCCGCGAGTCGAAGGTCCTCGAGAGCGGCGCGCGCTGCTACGAGCCGGACACGACGACCGTCGCGCCGGGCATGCTCTGCATCCTCGACGACCAGCCCGAGGCCTGGAAGCCGTTTCTGCGGCCCTTCGTCGCGAAGATCGAGCCCTACCGCGTCGACCAGCCCATCGAGACGCGCGAGGCCCTCGCCGCCTCGATGCGCTACCTCGGCGACCTCGCGGCGGACATGCTCCCGCAACTGCGCGCGCGCGGCGTCGTCTGGCCCCTGCCGCCGCGGTGGACGCGTAGCGGCTAAGGGAGGACATGTAGCCTACATGTCGGAGGGGTGCGGGTCGCCGCGCTCCTCACTTTGAGAGTGGTGCTCGGCCGCCTCACAAAAATCAAAAAGGCGATGCGAAGCGACTAGTTTTCAAGGAGGATGAGCGCTCGCGATGAACTTCTCGCGCAGCTCGCGGCGCGCGATCCGCGCAGAAAACGGCGAGCGGAAGCGGGGGAGGCGTCGAACGTCGCCGATCGAACCATCGTCGTCATCGACGACTCGGACACCGAAGAGTCCTGGCGCGATCCGCGGAAACGTCAGCGCGCCGCGCCGGCGCCGGACGACTCGGACGACGAGGTCGTGCTCCTGGGCTCGCAGACCGAGGCCGAACGGACCGCGGCGCGCAAGGCCGAGGCCGAGGCCGCGGGCGCCGTCGTCGACCTCCTGCCGTCCGCCGCGCCGTCGTTTCGACCCGTGCTCCCGGACTTCCTCGCCCGCCCACCTGCCCCGCGCCCGCCGGCGTCGCGGCCGCCCGCCCCGCGCCCGCCGGCGTCGCGGCCGGTTCCGGCCTCCGCGCACGCGCCCGCGCCTGGCGCCAACGGCTTCTCGCCGCCGGGCGGTTGGCGCATCCCTGTGCCCGCGCCGCTGCCGCGTCCCGGCGCCGCGCCCGCGCCGCCGCCACCTGCCTCCCCGCTCGCGCCGCTGCCGCATCCCTGGACGGCGCACGCCGACCCGTCGAGCGGCCGCGTCTACTACGCGAACGCGGTGACGGGCGCGACGCAGTGGCATCCGCCCGCGGCGCCCCCGGCGCTCTTCGCCCGCGGGCACACGACGCCGGCCTGGATGGCGAACCGGCCCGCCCCGCGCCCGCCGGCGTCGCGGCCGCCACAGCGCGGGTCGCCCGAGATCGAGAGCCTCGGCTTCGTCCAGGACCCGCGGGGCCACGTGGCCGCCGCCGTCGCGCCCGTCGCCCCGGCGGGCCCGGCGGGCCGCGGCGCGGGCCGCGTCGTGCCCGCGTGGCTCGCCGCGACAAGCGGCCCCGCGACGCCGGCGCGGGAGGCGCCCGACCTGGTCCAGACCCCGGGCGACGGGGCGCCCTCGCCGCCGCCCGCCGAGCCGTCTGAGCTCGAGGACGGCAAAGGCGTGCGCTGTTTCTGCAAGCCGAGCCGCCTCTTCGTCAACCTCGCGGCCTTCCGGAGCCACTGCGTCGCGAAGCATGGCGGCAAGCAACGGCCCGTCCGCGCGGACGACAGCGCCGCGTCCCTTGCCGCGTACGCGACGCGCGAGCGATTGAAGGCCACGGCGCCCAAGCCTGCGCAGAATCCTCTGAATCTGTCCCAGGAGCAAAGAGTCGGTCTCGCGCGCGAGCGGCCCCTGGCCGGCTGCTCGGTGTTCGAAACCGTCAATTTTCTCGTGAAAACGCTGAAGATTATGAATCTACAGTACCTCGAACTCAAACATCTGCTGGAATACTGGGTGCCACCTTCCTCCACGCTGTTTCGTTATACGCTCGAGGGCATTCTTCGCAAGTTCCCTCCCATTTTCGAGTTATCAACCTCGTGCCCCCTTTTTGTCAGACTTGTGGATGGCTACGAGCGCCCCCTCCGAGTTCTCGCGGCGGAAGCGGCGCCCGCCGCGGCGCCCGCGCCCGCCGTGCCCGCGCCCGCGCCCGCGCCCGCGCCCGCGCCCGCGCCGGTCCGGGCCGCTCGAGCGAAGCCTCTCGCGCTCCGCCGGCCTCTGGCGGGCTGCTCGTTCTTCGACGCGCTCGAGTTCCTCGTCGAAAAGCTGAATCACTGTTACTCTCCCAAAAAATTGGACGTGAATGTGCTCCGGAACTACTTCGTGCAGCCGGCCAAATTTAGCGATGGACTCGAGGCCTTCTTGCGCAAGTTCCCCGGCATTTTCAAGACACATCAAAACAGAGGAGCCACGGGCATTACCGGTGTCTCCCTCACGTGCGTGCCAAAAGGCGAGACCTTCGAGCGCCACCTTCGAGCCGTCGCGGCGGAAGCGGAAGCGCAGTCGCCGGTCCAAGCCGCGAGCGGCGCCCTGAGGACTACGAGGACGTGGGCCCCGAGCGTCCCCGCGGCGCATCCCGAGGCGCGGCTCCTCCGGGCCCACGTCGTCCTCGACCTCGACCACACGCTCATCCACATGATGCCCGCGCGCGAAATGCCCCTGGCGGCGTCGCAGATCGCCGAGACCGTCGTCACCATGGGCGAGCACAAAATCGCCGTGCGCCCCGGCGCGGGAGCGTTGATCGACGGTCTGCTGGCGACGTGCGCCGTCGACGTGAGCGTCGTCACGCTCAACCTCAAGGGCGCCGAGGCCGTGCGGGCCATCGGCCGGTCGACGGCGCCCTACGCGCGGTCTTGGGCGGATCTGGACGTGACCGTGGTTTCCGGCGCCGCGCGGACGCGACAGGGCGGCCGCGAGTCCAAGGTCCTGGAGAACGCGCGTTGCTTCGAGCCGGACACGACGACCGCTTCGCGGCGGACGACGACCGTCGCGCCGGGCATGCTCTGCATCCTCGACGACCAGCCCGAAGCCTGGAAGCCGTTTCTGCAGCCCTTCGTCGCGAGGATCGAGCCCTACCGCGTCGACCAGCCCATCGAGACGCGGGAGGATCTGGGTCTGCTACTGCGCTACCTCGGCGACCTCGCGGCGGACATGCTCCCGCGGCTCCGCACGCGCGGCGTCGTCTGGCCCCTGTCGGCGCGTTTCACGCGCGACGCCTAATTTTAGATGCGGAGTTCCTAGGGCGTGAACGCGAGCTCGAGCATGTCCGCCAGCACGCCGGCCGCCGTCGTGCCCGCGCCCGCGCCCGCGCCGCGGACGACGAGCGGCGACGGGTCGTACCACTGCGTGTAGTACTCGACCAGGTTGTCCGTGCCCGACAGGGACCCCAGCGGCGACGCCAGCGCCACGGACGCGAGGCCCACGGTCAGTTTCCCGTCCTCGACGTTCGCCGCGTAGCGGAGCGCCTCGCCCGCCGCCGCCGCCGCGTCGGCCTTGGCCTTGAAGCCGGCGTCGAGGCCCGGGAGCGCCGCGAGGAAGTCCGGCACGCTCAACGCCGCGAGCTCCGGCGGGTAGAGCGGCGTCACGTCGACGTCGCTCATCTCGAGCCGCCAGCCGAGGCCGCGCGCGAGGATCAGCGCCTTGCGCGCCACGTCGACGCCTCCTAGATCGTCGCGCGGGTCCGGCTCCGTGTAGCCCAACTGCTTCGCCTCGAGGACGATCTCCGAGAAGGGCCGGCCGGCCTGCAGGCCCGTCATGACGTAGCCCAAAGTCCCCGAGAACGTGCCGCTGATCTTCTTCACGGGGTCGTTGGCCATGACCAGCCGCTGGAGCGCCGCGATGGCCGGCAGGCCCGCGCCGACGCTCGACTCGTGGCGCACGCGGTCGACGAAGCGGGGCTGGCCGCACAGGGCGTCGTAGTCGGCCTGGGGCCCGCTGAACGGCTTCTTGTTCGCGGACACGACCTTCTGGCCGCCGGTGACGGCGCGGATGAGCAGGGGCACCGTCGCGTCCGTCGCCGAGCAGTCGACGACGACCGTGCCGGGGCCGAGGCCCGCGACGGCTTCGGCGACGTCGGCGGCGGCGATCGCGCCCTCCAAGCTCGACACCTTCTCGCCCTTGGCCTTGGCCGCGACGGCGCCCCGGAGCGCCGCGTCGTCTAAGCCGCCCTTCGCCACGAGGGCGCCCGAGGAATCGGCGACGAGGCACGCCGTCAATTTCACGCCGTAGGTCTTGAGGTGGTGGTCCCGGGCGCCGGCTATGGCGTCGACGAGCGCCGACCCGACGCCGCCGACGCCGAGGAGCGCGTAGTTCACGTTCTTGATGGCCATGTTGCACGTTTCGGCTGCGAAAGCGGTGGTGAGCAGCAGTGCTAAGCGCTTGATTACGCAATGCCACATGCGCGACTCGTCAGCCTATGTCGATGTTGCAGGCAAGCGACTTCAACGTGCACCCCAAAGGACCATTCCGGACGCGCCCATCACCCGCCCATGCCACCCAGCCTTAGGTCCCCTCGCGCGGCGGGCTCATGGGCGGCGGCGCGGGCTTCTTGCGCTCCTTCTTCTTCGGCGTCCGCGTCGCGTAGGACGGCGTCTTCTTCGCGAACTTGTCGGCCATGAGGAGGTCGATGTCCTCGAAGACGGAGTCGTCGATGACCTCGTCCATGTCGGGCACGCCGGCGTCGACGTCCGTGAACTCGGCGACGAAGCGCGGGCCGACGAAGGCGCCGTCGTCGTCGACGTCGCCGTCCTTGACCGCTATGGACGCGAGCATGACGTCCATCTGGACCTTGAGCTCCTCCGCCGTCACGGCCTCCAGCGAGTTCGCGAGGTGGCTCTGCTGCTCCGACGACCACTTGAGCGGGATCTGCTCGCAGGACCCGTCCAGGATCTCGATGAGGAACAGGAGCCGGTCCCGGGGCTGCTCGACGGTCACCAACGTGTAGAAGTTGTCCGGGTGGCCCCGGACGACGCTCCGCAGCGCCTTCACCGCCCGGTACAGCCGCGTCGGCAGCCGCACGCGCAGCTTCTGGGGCGGGTTCGGGTCGTTGGCCTGCGGGTTCGTCCGGAGCTCGTCGAGGTAGCGCCGGACCATCCTCGCGTCGAAGTGGCCCGCCTTGCCCTTGGGCTCCTCGCGGAAGGGCTCGTCGAGGACGTCGAAGGCGTCGTCCAAGAAGACGCGCTCCTGGTCGGGCGCGAGCAGGGGCCGCCGGTCGCGCGCGTCGACGCCGGCGCGGTCGCGCGGCGGCGCGTCTATTTCTCTCCGCAGCCACGCGTCGAAGCGGTCGCGGCGCACCCACTTGCGGTCCAGCGCCTCCGCGACGACGACGGGCGGCCGGCCGCCGGGCCGCCGCCGCCTCGGCGGCCTCGGCCGCGGCGCCTTGCGGAAGACCGCGGCGGGCGAATTCGCCGGCGGCCGCGGCGCGGCCGCGCACTCGCGCGCGCGCGCGGCGACGGCGCGCCGCGCGTCCGACAGGTGGTTCGGCTCCGAGTAGATGGACCCGTCGCGCGCGTCGTCGGCGTCGTCGGGTTTTGGCTTCTCGGGGGACGCGACGAGCGACCGCGCGCCCGTCGGCGGCGTCTCGAAGCCGTCGCGCGGCTCCGGCGGCGGGCTCGGCGGCGGCGTCGCGGGCGCGGGCGGCGCGTCGGTCTCGTAGTCGAGCACGAGCTTGGCGTTGTAGAGCAGCTGCCGCGTCGTCTTGTCCCAGGCCGTCGAGTAGCGCCGCGTGATGCAGCGGTGCGCGTCCAGCTCGACCGTTTCGCGGTCGACGGCCGGCGGCCGGCCCTTCTTCGGCCGCTCCGGCGCCGCCCGCTTCGCGCGCACGGCCTCGAGGAACTGGCATTCGAAGACGGCCGTCGCCGCGTCGTAGGCGTCCTTGTCCGCGAGGTACGCCGCCGCCTCCGCGGCCGCGACGGCCGCGGCTTTCGCCGCGCGGACGTTGCCGGGCGTGTAGCAGAACATGGCGGCGATCTGGTCCGGGTCGCCGCGCGCGAAGCGGCTGCAGTCCAGCGCGTGGAGCACCATGGTCAGGGAGAAGGACCACTCCTCGCCCCAGTAGCAGACGAGCTCGTAGGAATCGGAGTGCGTCTTCGAGTGCGCCTCGTCGCGCGAGAGCCCGTCGACGACCCGGATGAGCTCGTACATGACGAGGCGCACGCCGCCGACGCGCGACACGCCGCCGGCGACGCGGTGGCCGCCGCGCTTGACCTCGCGGCGGCTCGGCCGCCGCTTGAAGAAGTCGCGCCGCGCCGCGCGCCGCTCTCTCCCGCGGAGCGCGAAGCCGAAGCCCGGGTTCGGCGGCGGCCTCGCCAGGGCCGCGCGGACCTCCGGCAGCCGCGGCGGCGGCACGACGGTCATCGCCAGCGTCTGCTTGCCCGGGAGCTCCGCGAGGCGGTCCGGGTCGACCTGCGACTGGCGCGGGCCCACCACCAACGTCTCGATGGAGCCCGTCGACGTCTGGGGGCGCGCCTCGTAGGGCGGCGGCCGCTTCCAGACGCGCTTCTTGCCCGTCGTCTGGAACTCGCGGTCGCGGCGCGCGCGGAGCTTGTCCTCCGAGTCGAAGCGGCAGACCTCGGGCAGGCGCAGCACCATGAGGTGGTTCACGTCGGCGTCCGTCGACGGCGGGCACTTGAGCCACTCCGCGAGCTCCTTGTAGGCCACCCTCAGCGTCCACTCCAGGAGCGTCGCGCAGTGCGTCACGGTCATGAAGAAGACCTTGGACCCGCCCTGGGGCGGCTCGACGATGCGGATGCAGCAGCGCTCCTTGCCGAGGTGCGCGGCGAAGTTGACGACCGTGCCCCGGAACCGCTTGGGCGTCGCGAGCCACTTGGCCATCGCGCGCGCCTTCGCGGCCTCCTCGTCCCGCAGCCGCGCTTCGCGGTCGCGCGCGCGGACCTTGTCCGCGGCCTCCCGGACCTCGACGCCGACGTGCACCGACGGCTCGACGCGCACAGTGTAGGCCGTGTACCACGCGACCATGTCGAGGCGGTCGTAGTCCTCGAAGCTATGAGAACCGTCGTCGTTCTGCACCATCCGCTGCTTCACGCGGTGCTCGCCCCGGAGGACGGGCGGCGCGCCGCCCTTGGCCATGACCTCGGGCGACGTGTGCCAGCGGTCCAGGTCCTCGTAGCGCGTCACGCGGCGGCCGGCTAAAAACGGCGACGACGCCTCGCACGCGTTGAGCGCCCTGGCTTTGTCGCCGTCCGACAGCGCGCGGCCCTCGAGGTCGACGCCCGTCGACGGGTCGCAGCAGCCCCGGGGCGGTTTCTTCGAGGTCCACCAGCACTCGACGAGCGCGTAGCGCAGGTACGTCTGCTCGCGCAGCGCCGTCAGGAACGCGCCGCGGTTCCCGGGCTTGAGCAGATCCCAGTAGTCGGCCCGGTGGCCGAAGAGCGCCTCGACGTCCCGCGTCCCCAGCGTCGTCTCGCAGTACTGGGCGCACTCCGCCACGTAGCAGCGCAGCTTGAGGCAGCGGTTGATCGCGTTGACCGCGTGCGTCGGCACGTAGATGCGCCCCGCGAAGCCGACGCCGAGGAGCGTGACGTGGCAGTAGCTCCGCGACAGGATGTAGCAGCGCCGCTCCAGGACCTCCGTCGCCGCGGCGCAGCCCACGAAGCCCTCGTAGTTCGTCCGGTCGCGCGCGCCGTTGAAGAGCGCCGTCGCGACCCTCTTGGGCGGGTAGCGGCCGAGCTTGAGCCGCCGCGGCTTCTTCCGCCACTCGAAGCGGAAACTCTCGAGACGCCAGACCTTGTTCCGGTCCCGCACGGGCTCGGCGAGCGCCGCGAAGCGCTCGCGGTTCGCCGGGCGCAGCAGGGGCATGACGCGGCCGATGTCCGCGCCCTGCACCAACCGCAGGTCGAGCCGCGGCACCTTGCCCCGGGGCCGCACCGGGCCGCGGTCGTGCTCCAGCACCACCAGCGCGTCCTCGCGGATCTCGCCGAAGGCGCCCGACGCGCCGAGCGCGGCGGTCCCGAAGCGCCGGACGCCCGCGACCTTGAGGCCCGCCGTCGGCGGCGGGCCCGGGGCGGCGGCGAGCGCCGGCGGCGGCCGGTCGCCGACGGCCTCGGGCTTGCTCAGCAGCGCGGCGATGCGCCGCTTCGCCGCGGGCGCCTCGAGGAACGCGTCGCGCGTCGACCCGACGAGGCCGGCGACGAGGCTCGCGTCGTCGCCGCCGGACGACGCCCGGGGCAGGAACCGCGCGGAGCTCGGCGTGGGCGCGCGCGACTCGAGGGCGAGCTCGCTCAGCTTCGGCATCGCGGCGGTCCAGGACCGCGACAGCAGCGCGTCCGCGGTTTTCGGCGCCCGCTCCGACGGCCGCGCCCCGCCGCGCTCGGACGGCGGCGGCCGGGACCGCGCCGGCGCGAGGCGCCGCTCCGACGACGGCGGCCGCGACAGGGCGAGGCTCCGCTCCGGGAGCGTCCGCTCCGACGCCGCGAGCGCGAGGCTCCGCTCGGTCTGCGGCGGCAGGAGCGACGCCGACCGGCTCCGGGCGACGACGTTTCGCAGCTTCTCCGGTTTCCGCCGCCGCATGGCCGCGCGGAGCGCCATGGCGTCCGAGAGGATGCCGCCGCCCTCGGGCGGAGGCAGCCCCAACATGGCTGCTGGGAGAGCCCAGGCCCAGGCCCAGCGTTGCTCGCGTCAAGGTGCCGTACTTATCGACATGTTGAGGAGCACCGGGCTCACGAGCTCGGTGGTGACCGCGATCTCGACCACCGCCTCTTGACTTTGCACGAATGAAAGGCCTCCTCGCCCTGCTCCTCATCGCTCCGGCCGTTGCCAGGCTCGCGCCGACGCCCGTCAAGGCGTCGACGCGCGCGTCGTCGGCGCTCGCGAAGAGCGGCGGCTTCTCCTACGGCGAGTTCGCCAGAAACAACGCCGGCGCCAATGGCATCATCATCGGCGGCATCAAGACGGGCGCCGCCGACGCCATGGCCCAGTTCGCGACGCCCGGCGACTTCGACTTCAAGCGCAACGTACGCGCGGCCCGCGTCCCGCCGTTCCGCCGCGCGCGCGGCGCCGGCGGCCGAGCCGACCCCCTTCGCAGGCGCTGTTCGCGATCTTCGGCGCGCTCTACCTCGGCGCGTTCCAGTACTGGTACCAGGTGAACATCTTCTCCAAGGTCTTCACGTCGACGGCGCGCTTCACGTCCGAGTCGCTCGCGGAGAAGGCGCGGGACGTCGACGGCTTGGTGCAATTAGCGTTCCAGATCGCGCTCAACTGACGATCCTCAGCGTCGTCTACCTCCCGACCTTCTACCTCTTCAAGGCCCTCTTCTTCTCCGACTGCGGCCTCGCGTCCTGCTTCTCCGACGCCTGGGCGACCTACACCTCGAACCTCGAGACGGACCTGCCGGCGCTCATCAGGTGCTGGGCCCCCGCGGACCTCGTCTGCTTCTCCGTGCCCCTCTACCTCCGCATCCCCATCCGCCACCTCGTCTCCTTCTGCTGGACCATCTACCTCTCCCTCGCCCGCGGCTCCGCGTGACCGCGGGCCGACCAAGCCCGGCCCGCGCGGAGCGGGCGCCCGAGAGCCTTCGTCCGTAACGTTGTTCGGTGTGCCCGCGGGGTGGTCGGCTCCGGACGGTGCGCTGATATCCCATATGGTACGGGCGCTTCGACTCGGGCTTCAACCCTGGGCAAACCTCCGAGGTGGACCGCGAACGAGCCCCTCCGTGTAAAAATCGACCCGCGTTACCACCTGGCCTTCTTCGCCGCGGCGTCGACGGGCCGGAGGACCCAGGAGACGTCCGGGACGAAGTAGCAGAGGAAAAGCCGGAGCGCGACGCCCCGGAGCTCCGCGTCGACGGGCGCCCGGAGGTCGGCCGTCGTGACGCGCGTCTTGTCGTCCCACGACGACGCGCGGTTCGCGCGCTGGTTGGCAAGCGCGTGGGCCGCAGCGCTCCCGGCGGATATGACGGGGAAGTCGACGCCCCTCGGGATGCGCCGCGGCTTGGCGTTCTTCGCGTCGACGACGAGGAGCGCGGCGGCGCCGGCCCGCGCGGCGTCCTCCGCGAGCGCGGGCACCTCCGCGGAACTCGCGACCGCGGCGACGGCGAGCTTGAAGCGGACGTCATCCGCGGCTTCCTCGGCCTCGCGGTCCGCGCGACGGGGCCGGCCCCAGATGACGCCCGTGCCGCCGGGGTCGACGCGCACGTCCCCGGCTCGACGCAGCGTCCCCAGCTCGAGCGGCCAGCGACACGAGAGCGCGCGATCGCTCGCGCGGACCCGGTAGGCCCCGCCGAGCGCGTAGCGCCCGCCCGAGAGCGCGAGGACGCGCGTCGACGCGACAAAGTCCTCGACGAGCAGCCCGTTCGCCGGCTGCGGGCTGTGGCAGGACGGCCGGTTGTCGACGAGCACCGCGCGCCGCCGCGACCGGTCGCCGATGGCTAAGCGTCACGTCCTTGCCCCGGCTCGGCTGGTCCGCGAGGACCCGCGTGAAGACGCGCTTCCGCGGGTCCAGGAGCTCGACGACGTTGGCCGCGTAGCCCGGCGACGCGGCCGTGCTGACGTGCTGCTCGACGCCCGGCACCATCGCCAGGCCCCGCAGGAGCTGCAGCGCGAGGGGACGGGCCGTCGTGACGAAGTGGATGCCGTCGTCGTCGACGTGCTCGATCGTTTCGTCGCCGCGCTTCAAGACCTTGCACCACTGGTCCTCGCGCCACTTGTTCTTCACGCGTTTGCTGCTAATCAAGGTCTCGTCGAGGTCCCAGACGATCTGCAGCGGCGACGCCACGTTCGCCGCCGTCGCCAGCCCGATGTAGCCGCCCAAAGGCATGGCCACGCGACGCCACATGCTGCCGCAGTTTCGTGCTCGATGCGCTCGTTGGCGCGCGACGCGAGCGGTGGTGGCGTCGAGCGCGCTTCCACTGCAAGGCTAGAAATTACAGTGCATCTTGATCTCATCTTGAGGAACTTTGGCTTCCACTGGTTGCGAGTTGCAGTCGATACTCTGCCATGTTGACGCTCGGCGTGACATCACTTGGTTGACTCCAGACCGCCTCGCCCAGGTTTGGGCACGCGATGCAGCGGTTCCAGGACTTGGCGCGGCGCTCGGTCTGTGGACCATGTCGCGCCTCGGGCCCGGCTGCGAGTCGCTCGGGAAAGACCATCGGTCGAAGGCGAGCAACTTAGTTCGCGTCGGGGCAGCCCGTGGATGTCGAGAACGGCCGTTATCGGTGGGGGGCGACCGACGAGGGGCTCGCATTAGTGTTGAGGTCCGAGACCTGCGACCAACTCCGAGGAAACACCCCCTGGAATGTCGCTCCCGAGGGGGCTGTCCGGGCTTGGTCGCAGGTCTCGCCTCATGCATTGCGTGGTGAGCACCGTGTCGCCCGCGGCGCCGCGCGCCTCCCGGAGCCGGTGAGGTGATCTCGATCAAATCCACTCGAGCCGAAGAGCTGCCGCGAGGGCATCTGGTCGCCCCCATGACGAACGATCCCCGACGCTCTGTGACTCGAAGGGGACCGAAAATCGGGTCGGGGGAAGCTGCCGCGCCTCATTCCACCCCCTGGGGCTGCCCGTTTGCGTCGCCTCGCAATCGTCCGGATGTCGCGTCTTTTCATGTGCCTCACCCACATGTTTGCGGACCTCAAAGCCACTGGGATCGTTGCACGTCGCTGCATATTCGAGGAGCACGGGGCCCTCTAAGGTGGAAATTCCATCATCGGCCGCTGAAATACTCCTGCGGAGACACCGTCTCTAGCCCTCTAGAAGCTAGGATTTCTTCAAAGTTTGTCGTTGCATGCAAAAGTTCAAGGGACGGGGTATCCACTGCAACTCGCAACCAGTGTTCCTGCCAAAATAATGTTGTTGTTCGTTCGCGACAATGTTGTGCTGAACTGACGGTGTCAGCTCGTGTTTGGGGTAGACGAGCGCCCAAGTCGCCGCGGACCCGCGGCGGCAGCCCGGAGATGATCGCCAACTTCTGGAGCCCGCGGTCAACGCTCTCGCCCCAGGGCAGCATCCGGGGCTCGGGCAGCGTGTCGAGCCTCAGCTCCGACGACAACGACTTCGCGAGCGAGAAGGAGGAGGTCGCCTTCCTGCGGCGCGAGGTCGAGGCGCTGCGCGCCGCCGCGGCGGACCGCGCGGCGCCCGTCGAGCGGCCGCGCGGCGCGTCCCCCGCGTCCGACGGCAAACGTCGCGAGGCGCGCGCGGGGCGGAGGCGCAAGGGCCCGCCGAGCGGCCGGGCGCTCCTGCGGAACATCGTCGCGGTGCTCGTCCTCAACGTCTGCGGCATGTTCGCCTTCAACTACGCGGAGCTGCCCCGGGAGATGCGGCGCGCGGCGAAGGAGCGGCGGCACACGTACGAGAACCTGAGGCTCGTCTTCTTCGGGACGGAGGAGAACAAGTACGTCATGGGCGACAAACAACAAAACTTCGTGCTGGACAAGATGGACGGCATGGACATCAAGTGGAAGTGCGGCATGTGCCGGAGGCGCATCGACGAAGATATCGTGGCGCGCGTCGAGGCCGCGATCGCGCGGAACAGGTCCGTCGCGCTCGACCGCCGGACGGGCTGGTCCAACTACGACGACATCTGCCCGAGCCGCGACCGCGACTGCAACTGGCGGCCCATCTCGTCCTTCTACTTCACGCTCACGCTCTTCACTACTGTTGGCTACGGCAACTTCGCGCCGCGGACGGACCTGGGCAAGGTCTTCGTGTGCTGCTTCACGCTCATCGGCATGATTTATGCTTTCGCGACCTTCAACATGTTCGGCGAGCGCGTCGCCTACTCGCTGCGCAAGCTCGGCCGGCGCATCGACGAGATGGTCCACGCGCGGCGCGTGCGCGCGGGGGCCATCCCCTTCGACGCGGGCTGGGAGAAGCGGAAGCACGGGCTGTCGGACCGCGGCTTCGCGCTGGCCGTGAGCCTGTGCTGCGCGGCCTACCTCGTCTTCGGCGCGTGGCTCGCGATGGCCGTCGAGGACTTCTCCTTCGGCAACGGCCTGTACTACGCGATCTGCACGCTGTCGACGCTCGGGCTCGGCGACTACACGCCGGGCATCGAGACGCGGTCCCTCGTCGTGGCCTGGATCTACATCACCGTGGGCCTGGGGTTGTTGGGATGCACGGTGCGCATCATCCAGTCGGCCGCGAACCGCGAGGCCGGCGCGAGCCACGACGTCCACCCCCGCGGCCGCTGGCGCGGCGCGTCGATGGTGCAGAAGAGCAACCTGTTCGAGGACGACGACGACCCGGACGACATCCTCGCGCTGGACGACGACGACGCGACGACGCCGCCGCGGCGGCGCGACGAGGAGAAGCAGGCCGACACGCCCCCGATTTTCGTCGAGGACGCGTCGTGCGACGACGGCGCGGGCAAGGACGGGCCGGACTGGCTCTGCGCCGTCGGCTGCGGCGTCGCCGGCCTCGACGGCGCCGCGCCCGCGGACGACGACGCCGCCGCGCGGGGTCCCGACCTCGCCCAGTACGCGGACGACGCCGCCGCCGCGCGGGGTCCCGACTTCGTCCAGTAACCCATCGCGGGCTCAGACGAGGGAGAGGACCTTGCGCGCGAGGTGCCAGAGCGACGAGAAGAAGAGGAGCACGTTGACGGCGCAGAGCGGCCAGTTCACGGGCGAGATGACGAGTGAGTACTTGGAGAAGATGGCCGCCGTGAGCGTCAACGCCGAGTACTGGCCTACCAAGTGCGACGGATTCGGATTTCTTCACATCTTCAGGCGAAATTCACGCGAAAAAAACACTCCTGTCGCTCGACGCCGAGTACTGGCTCAGCGAGATCTTGGCCACGGGGCGCCACAGATCCGTGAGGGACGCGAGGCTCAGGAAGAGCTTCGTCACGGGGGGGTACGGGTGGATCGTGAAGGGCCCCGCGGCCGACGCGGCGTAGGACCCCGGCGGGGACCGCGCGCGCAGGCCCGGCGCGGCGTAGCTGAAGGCGCCGATGCCCGCGAAGAGCGCCCCGAAGCCCAGGCCGAGCGCGCGGAGCTCCGCGGGCGCGGTCTCGGGGAACGCCGCGAGCTGGTAGCCGACGCAGCGCCGGAGCTGGTTCCCCTGCGCGAGCAGGTTGAAGAGGTGCGACCCGGCGAGGATGTAGTTCGGCGGCGTCACGACCGTGGACCACTGCAGGAACGCGCCCGAGTAGAGGAGGAGCGTCAGCGTCATCTTGAGGCTGATGAGCTCGGGACCGGCGCCGAGCGCGTCCGCGACGCCGGACGCGCCGAGGAACCAGCTGCACGTCGCGCCGAGGAACCCGAGGAGCCGCGCGGGCGACGTGTTGCACGTCGCGACCTCGTTCGCGACGGACCGCGCGATCTCGCCGAGCGCGCCGCCGCCGCGCAGCTCCTTGGCGACGTGTGTGGCCGGCGCCGCAGGCTTGGCCGCCGCGCCGCCGCGGAGCGCGACGACCGACGACTTAAGCTTCAGCGGCTTCAGCCCGCGGCCGTGTGCGCTGCCGATCAACGCCGCGAGGAGGACTTGCAACTTGATGATGGCCATTATGCTCTCGTTTTGGCGGCGACCTCAAGGACATGTGAGGCGGGGGCGTGTTGAATCCGCACTTTTTTAGGCTGTTGAACTTTTTTAGTTATTGGCCTTGCGCGCAAGACGACATTGAGCCCTTTCAGATGCAACAAGAACCAAAGGAATCGGTGGCCATGGCGCCGAGAACGAGCATGCCAAAGTAGCCCCTCACCATTGCCAGAGCCCTCTTTGCCATCGATTTTCTCAAGATACAGGTCCGCCCTTCGAGTGCAGATTCTAAGCGCCCCCGCCTCATGTCGAAGAGCTCGATCCTCGCAAAACCTATCTCGCCGCGCGCGCTCGCGCTAGCCAGACGGACGCACAGTACTAGGATCACCAGGGGCGGGGGCTTTTGGGGGGGGAGCGGGGGTCTTTGGTTTTGGTCCGCGCGCGCGCGCGGCTCGTCAGTTCGAGCGGGGCCGTCTACTTGATGCCCTTGGCCTTGAGGGCCTCCATGCGGCCCTTGGCGCCGTACTCCTTGATGATGGGCTTGCGCTGGAGCTTGTTGGACGCCGTGAGCATGCCGTTCTCCGGCGTCCAGGGGTCCTCGAAGGCCGGCGGGATGGTCTCCTTCGCGCCCGTGCCCGGCAGCAACAGCACGCCCGCGAGGATCTCGTTGCTCCCGAGCTTGCCCGCCTTGCCCGCGGCGACGAGGGACCGCAGCACCTCCGCGTTCATGGCCTCGTCGGCGCAGAGCGCCTCGAAGGAGGCGTAGGCAATGCCGTGTTCGTCCGCGTACTGCTGGAGCTTCTTCTCGTCGGCGACGACGAACGCGACGGGCCGGTCCATGTCGGAGTCGCCGTAGCACAGCAGCCCCCCGTTCGCGCCCGACACGTAGGGGCTCGTCGAGTACTCCTTCTCCATGGACTCGATGGCGATGTACTCGCCGCCCTTGAGCTTGATGAGGTTCTTGAGGCGGTCGACGATCACGAGCATGCCGTCGGGCCGCCAGACGCCGACGTCGCCGCTGCGGAACCAGCCGTCGGCCGTGAAGACCTCCGCGGTCTTGTCCGGCTGCTTGAAGTAGCCCGCCGTGAGGGGCGGGCCCTTCATCTGGACCTCGCCGCGGCCGCAGCAGGGCGCGCCGTAGTGGCTCTTATCGGTAGAGAGGTACGGCTTGCCGTCGCGGTCGTTGATGTCGCACGACTCCAACCGGATCTCCACGGACGTCAGCGGCGGGCCCGCGACCCCATCCAGGTTGTTGTCGTCCATGGGCTGGATCGTCGCCGAGCAGCACGTCTCCGTCAGCGCGTAGCCCTGGACCGCCGGCGCGGAGAACGCCGTGCGCACGAACGTCTGCACCTCCGACGCGATGGCGCCGCCGCCGGAGATCGTGCCCTTCAAATTGCCGCCGAGCATGGCGGAGAACTTCTTGAAGACGAGGAGCTTGAGGAGCGGCGAGTCGCGGTGCTGGCGCAGCGCGTAGGCCCGGCCGACGAAGCAGATCTCGAAGACGAGCTTCTTGAGGAACGACATCTCCGCGACCTTGTCCTCCATGCCCTTCTTGAGGATGTCCCAGACCTTGGGCACGCCGGCCATGAACGTGGGCTTGAACTCCTGGATCGCGCCCGGCGGGTGCACGTCGCTCGGCGCCCGGTTGATCGTGCCGTCGGGCCGCTCGCGCACCGCGCCCGTCGACGTCAGCGTCCGCGGGTCCGCGTAGCCGATGTTCATGCCGAGCGTGAGGCACGTGAGCTCCGCGCAGAACTCGAGGATGTGGGCCTGGGGCAGGTAGCCGAGGTAGTTGTCGCCGGGCGACGACACGGGGCCCAACACCTCCATGCAGCCGGATATCGACGAGAGGATCGACTCGTGCTTGAGCATGACGCCCTTGGGCTTGCCCGTGGAGCCGGACGTGTACATGATCACCGCGACCTGCTTCGGGTCGAGGGTCGGCGCGGACGTCGCGCCGAGGACGGAGTCGCCGAGGGCGAGGGCGTCCTCGAGCGCGAGCGCGCGCACGCCCTTGGCCGCGTCCGGCGGCGCACCCTGGTCCGCCGGCGCGACGTTGACCTCCGTGTAGACGATGGTCTTGAGCGACGGGCACCGGGCCTTGAGCCCGCAGACCTTGGCGACCTGCTTGCGGTTCGCGACGACGACGGGCACGTGGCTCTCGTTGATGGCCTCGCCGACGGCGTCGATGCCCAGCGTCGCGTACGACGTCGCCACGACGAGCGACTGGCTCAGCGCGCCGAGCGCGCAGATCATCCACTCGGCCGACGTGTCCTCGAAGAGGAGCACGGTGTGGGGGCCCGTGACCTTCTCCACATCGCAGCCCGGGGGCAGGGGCTTCATGCCCACGGACTTGTCGACGAGCGCGGCGCCGAAGCGCGTGGACCGGTCGTGCAGTTCCTGGAACGTGATCCACGTCGTCTCGCCGAATTTCTTGAGGGGGAACTTGGCGCCCTCGGGCTTGTAGTCGCCGAGGAACGTGCGCGTGCCCATGGCGCGGTAGGAGCCGTACTTCTTCGCCACGTGCTTGAGCAGGGCGCCCGTCGTGCGGACGTCGCCCTCGGACGCGGGCACGGGGCTCGTCGAGAGGCCGCCGAGCGCGCTCGTCTTGCGGCGCACGGCCGTGCCGCCGCACTCGACGGAGTAGGGGCCCTTCATCACCTGCTTCAGCGTCTTCACCCAGCCGAAGAGGGCGAACCACAGCAGGAAGTCGAGGATCCAGAGGAGCCAGGCGAGGGGGTTGAGGAGGAGCGCCAGCGACGGCGTCGCCGACGCCTTGAAGGGCGGGGCCTTGGCCTTGCCCATTTTGTCGATGCGAGCGCGACGAGGTCTGTGTTCTTGCGACGACGCGACGCGACTGGAGTATTGCACTCCGCCGCAAAGCGCAATCCTCGAGCACTCCGACCTACGCAGCCGATGTTGCTTTATTAACCTAGCGGTGCCCCTAGCGCGCGATGCGCGGCGTCTCCCGAGGCATGCGCGGTACCGGTGGACGCAGCATACTTGTGCGCATCCCCTGGACACCTCGCGCGGCCCGCAAGTCGCGAATCGCGGCGCGCGCGCCCCGAAAACAGCGATATTTTGCCAAATCGGCAGATCTGACGCTTTGGGGCAGCCCGGGAGCAGCCCTGGCGGCGCCGCGGCGCGCCGCGCGGCCATCCCATCGAGAGCACGTATGTATGCGACGGTTCCATGGGCCGGGCGTCGAAGTTCGACGCGACCACGCGCCGGGGGCCCGGCCCGAGCGTCGTTTCGACGACGAGCGGAAACGGCTGACGCGGCGCCGAGTGGCCCCAGGGCGTGCGCCGGGCGCCGTAGGGCTCGGGTTCCGCGCCGGGGGCGCGGAGCGGCGCCGCGGACCGCTCGAGGCCTTCGTCGGCGACCGGAACGTCGACCCGGCGCGGGCGGCCGCCGGCCGAGAACGCGCCTCCGGGGCCCGGCGGCGGGGGACCGCGCGGGGCCCGGGAGCGGGCCGGCGCGCGCGGGTTCGGCGCCGGCGACGTGCCCGACGAGCCTCGGGGCCGCGGAACCGATCACCGACGCCGCGTCGGCTTCGAGAAGGGGCGCGCCGGACGCGTCCGCGGGACGCGGGCCGGTGGCGCGGTCGCCTGTGTAAGCCTGCCATAACAGTGTGTCTTGCTTAGTGCCCCTTGTCCTTGGGTCGTCAGAAGCGCGGCGTCGCGTCCTCCTTGACGACGATGGCGAGGTGCTTCTCCGCCTTGAGGTAGTCACGCGTTCGACGTCGCCGAGTGCGACGACCCACTCGGACGCGAGCCGCTCCCCGGGGACAGGAACGCGACGCGCGTCCTTGGTGGTGGTGACCTTGAGGTGGGCGCCCGAAGTCGTCAGCGGGACGGACGCGCCGCCGAAGCAGGTGGACTCGAAGACGCCCGACGTCACACGCTCCGGGCCGGCCTCGTCCTCGCCCTCCGCGACGTCTTTCTCGAGCGTCACGACGTCGTCGGGGTCGGCGACGAAGAGGCCCAGCTCGCGGCATGTCGCAGCGACGTCGTCGTCGACGCCGTCGTCGTCGATGTCGTCGTCGGATACCTCGGTCCCGACGGACGCGGCTTGAGCGTCGCTGCCGTCGTCGTCGTCGTGGCGTTGCGACATCACGCCGTCGTCGTCGTCGCCCACGGCGGGCGTCCCGCCGACGAGCGGGACCGGCGGCAGCGGCACCGCAGGACCCGTCGGCGGCGCCGTCGGCGGCGGCGGCGGCGCGGCCTCGAGGAGGCTCATCATCGAGTGTTCGACGCAGCTCGTGCTCTGCGTCGCGAGCGAGAAGCCGCCGTAGGCCTGCGTCTTCGTCGAGGCCCGCTGGTGCTCGACGACCTCGTCGTAGCCCATGCCCGCGTCCTGGGCGTAGGCGAAGGTCTCGTGGTTCGACTGCTCGCGAAGACGGCCATGGTCTCGGCGACCCGGAAGACGAGCGACTTCACGTGTTCAGCAACGCTGGCGGCGGCGCGGCGGCGAGGCTGGGCGCTGGCGGCGTTGTGCGCGATGGCTCGGCTCTCCCGGGCGACGGCGGCGCGTGGTGACGGGGCTGGTTTTTTTTTGCGAGGCAGCCCAATCTTTGTTGCAGCCTCGCTGAAGTGCGGACGGCGCGCCAGGCCCGCGCGCGCGCGCACGGCCCGGCCCGGCGGCGCGACGACGTCCCGCGGGACTCGCTCCTAGCCGCCGGGCCCCAGGCGCCGCTCCCGGCGACCGCTGTAGGTCGCCCCGGCGAGCTAAGCTAACTAGAATTACGTACAATACCCAGCAAAAAACACCAAATTTGAACAGGACCAAAAAAAAAACACCATGAAATTCACCATCAAACTGCCGAACTTCTTCAAGAATTTCAAGAAGGCGTGGGCGTCGCGGAAGGCGAAGGCGAAGTGCGCCGCCGCTCTCGACCGCCACTCGCTCGACGCCACGCTGACCGCGATCGCGGTCCACAAGGCGGCGCCCGCCGGCGAGCCCCCTCTCGCGGTCTACGCGGCCCCGGAGATCGTTTCGGCGCCCGTGGCGCCCGTGGCGCCCGTGGCGCCCGTGGCCACCGAGGCCCCCGAGGCGCCCGAGGCGCCCGAGGGCGAGCCCAAGCTCCACCCGATCATCGCCGCGCTCATGCGCTCGTGCACTCATAAGTCCTGCGCGCGCGGCCGCAACGTCTCGATCCTCAACTTCGTGAGCGAAAAAGAGGGCCGCCGCGGCGAGTTCCACGCGGCCGCCGCCGCCTACGTCGCCGCCGGCGCGATCCGCAACGAGCGCTCTCGCGCTAAGGCGCTCAAGAAAGCGCGCGCTGCCCTCGATGAGGCTGCCGTCGGGCTGTGCCTGCCGTGCCGCGACGTCAAGTGGCTCGCGAAGACGGACCCCAAGAAGGAGGTGCAGCTCCGCAAGAAGCTCCTCGCCTACTGGCGCGAGCACCAGGCGCTCGGCACCAAGTGCGTCGGGGGGCACTGTGGCGGCCTCAAGTTCGACGAGCTACTGATCAAGTGCCTCGAGCTCGACCATGCAGGCAACGCGCACCTCAAGAAGAAGCGCAAGGGCGGCACCTCGACCAACGGCCCCTCCGAGGTCGAGGCCTTCGTGGACATCGCCGACATGTTCCGGGACGTGCTCAATTGCACGCCCAAGTGCGCCTACTGCCACCGCATCGACACCACCGCCGAGCAACGCGCTCAGGCCGCGGCCGAGGACCTCCGGCGCGCGACCGTCCCCGAGGGCGAGTCCGCGGACGAGCGCAAGTCCCGCGAGGGCGCCATCCTCCAGCGCCAGAACCGCGTGGACAAGCAGGACTACATCAACGGCCTCAAGCGCGCGATCGGCCGCTGCCAGGAGGCGTCGTGCGACGTCCCCGGCGGGCGCCTCGTCGTCGAGGGCAAGGAGTCCGGCCACCACATGGCCCACCTCGAGGGCCACGAGAAGCACAAGCACCGCGACTCCGGCGGCTCGGGCATGGCGCGCCTCGCGAGCGACGGCGCCAGCCTCAAGCACAACAAGCCGCTCATCGACAAGGAGCGCACGCACTGCCGCCTCCTCTGCGCCAACTGCCACAAGATCTACGACACGGACGCCCTCCACGCGCGCCGCGCGGCGGAGCGCGAGGCTCGCCTCGCCCTCCCCCGGGTGTGCATCCCCTGCCCCTAGACGGCCCCCGGCGCCGCAATAAGTGCGACTCGGTTCCAGTCGGCGTGGAACACGATGGATCCCACCGCCCCCGGCTCGTCGCAGACCCCAGGATCGGTTCGCGCCGCCGCCGCAAAAACTCGCGCTCCGGCCCCGTCGCGGCCGGCGGACCGTTTCGCCGAAGGTCGGCACACCGTCGAGCAACCACCATCCCGCGCCCTTCGGCACGACACGTGAGCGATCGCGCCGCTCCTGCCCGCCCAACAACACGGGGAACACGCCCCGGCGCAGCCGTAAGGTTTCGGCCGTCGTCGAGGCACCGCGCGCGCGAGCGCGTGCGGGAACATGTCGTCGGTCCCGGCGCGTCGCCGCAGCGACTCGGCCGCAAAATTGGGGCGTCCGGCGAGCCGCTCGGCGGCCTCGGCGGGTCCCCGGAAAGCGCTGCATTCGTCGACCGCGTCGAGGGGCCGATTTTGCGACGCCGCGCAAACCGACGAAATCGGCGCGCGCCGACGGAATGGGGCGTCGGAGACCGAGGTCCGGTGCGGGTCTCGACGTAGGAACCGGCGCGGGGTCGGGACGCGGCGCAGCGGCGCCAGACAGCCTGTCCGCGGCGGCCGCAAGTTAGTGATGCAGCATAGGCTGCGTAGACGGCAACATGGGCAAGGTCGGCGCACCTGGGCCTCGTTGAGGCTAGCGTAGCGCCGGCTGCGTTACGCAATGTGCTCTCACTAAGAGGCAGCCCCGGCTCTCGAACGGAACACAATGCCGTCGTCGCTGGCGCAGGCCGCGAGCGCCGTCGGCGGCGCCGATGGCGCCGGCGCCGCGTCGACCCGGAGGACGCTCGACGCCGCGGACCGCAGCGTCGTGTCGTCGGCGGCGAGCGTCGCCGGCGCCGCGGCGAGTATCGCGTCGGGCGACGCCGCGCGCCGCGCCGCGCGGACGCCGCCGAAGAAGAAGGCGAAACCGCCGGTCACGGTCATCAACGACAGCTTCGAGCCCGGCTTCCGGAAGGAGATGGAGAAGGTGCGGATCGTCCAGGGCAAGAAGCGGCCGCCGGGCGTCCAGGGCAAGAAGGAGGAGGGCCCGCGGCCGCGCATCAAGACGGCGGGCAACGGCATGCTCTTCGGCAAGGAGTACCGGCGGGGCGAGATCCTCGCCTGGCACCGCAAGCGCCTGGGCAAGGACACGGCCTACTCGCGCGTCGCGCCGACCGAGGACCCCGAGTCGAAGCGCGAGCGGCTCCGCGCGGAGTGGTGGGGGCGGAAGAACGTGGCCTACGGCCCGTTGAAGTTGGAGACGTTGCCGACGACGGAGGCGAACTTCGCGGACCCGCCGAACCTGCGCTGGGGCGACGAGGAGGAAGCCCAGGCCGTCGACGCGAGCGAGGAAGTGAAGGCCGCGTGGGCTCTGGAGTCGGAGAAGCGCAAGCAGGCGACGCTCGTGACGTTGGCCGAGGAGGCGTTGACCGACGCCTGCGACGCCGAGGACGAGGCGAGGATCCTCGCGTGCCTCGAGGACGCGCGGGCCGTCGGCTGCGCGGCGGACTCGAATGCCGTCGAAGTCGCGGAGTTCACGCTCCAGGACATCGAGCGCCGAAAGGAGGCGCAGGTCACGGCGGACCTGCGCGCGCGCGGCAAGGCAGAGCGGGAGGCGACGCAGGACTACCTCTGGACCGTGCGGACGCACCTGGGCCGGTGCACGCGCGCCGTCGATCCGTTGGCGGAGCTCCGCGCGGACGCCGCGGGCATCG